GATGAGAATGTTGATAATTGGCCATTTTGTTCGATACATTACCTTTTCGGTGATTTGGAAACAGCGCTCGAATGAATTCTTAGCTATTGCCTGAGAAATGCACCGTGGTTTCTTGCAAGGAAGATTTGCTGACGAAGGCGAACCTTTTTGAATACGAACCTAAATCAAAAAATGAAGAGATCAATTTCAATTTGCCCATCGATACAGCTATGCTTCGCTGAAAGAGATTATTCTTCCCCCCCCCCCTCTTTTTTTTTGATTCACACGCTTTGCACATTGCCGTTTGATCGACACTCGATCGCCCCTTTTGTCTAGAAGACAGTAATTTAACTTCCAGCTACCTTTTTACGACGAGAACAGTAATTTAACGCATTTGTATAGATATATTATAGTTTACCGTAGATCCAAACCGTAGCAGCAATTACAACGCTTGAAATTCGAATTCCCATTTTTTCAAACAATAACTTTTTGTGTTGTGTAAGATACACGCCTAGAGCAAGTTGTGCTTGCCGATTTAACAAAATAGAGATATAATTTTGTGTATATAAAGTTACACTTTCCCGCGCGAGAATAATTTTTTAGATCCAAACAGTTACAATTAGTTGCAATTACGTGCGATACGTCAAATTCGTTCTCTTTATTTCCAGTAAGTAATCCATCCACAATACACAAAATCATAAAACAAAATTCTAGCTCTATTTGTCGAAAAAAAAAAAAAAAGACTCAGATATAGAGTCTCCAATATAAAAAAAGAAAAAACGGTACACACAGCACCTCGATGTCCCGAAAATTTCGAATTCAGCCGCTGCTTGAATGAGCGAAAATGAAGTGACGAAAGTTGGAGCTTCAATCTGGGGAGTGGGTGATACGAGGCAGCGAGTTATTCGAGCGAATGAAATCTTCCTTGTAAATCGCCAGTGTCTAGCGAGAAATACGCACTGCACGTTGCACTGCTAGCTACTGACTGTTAGCTCCCTTTGAATGTCGCATGTTGCCAAGGACGAGAGCACCGGTACACCGACGTATTTTGGTCGACGAAACGGCGGTGATCGTAACGTCGACACAGTCATGAATAGAGAAGCATAGCCCTCGTGACATTCACAGAACGTGCATTAGCCACGATATATCATGAGACATGAATCAGTGCATTCGATATCATGAACGCTGTTGCCATTCATACCTTTTTGAATCATCTCATCACGCCTGATCTATCGCTAAATATAGACTACGTAAGACTATTATCATCAAGTACGTTATATACATGTATATCTATAATTCGTAGCCTAATTCTATAGCATTTTCAAAAAAAAAGAAAGAGGTCAGAAATGAAGAAGAAAAAGAAAAGAAAAGAAGAACGAGAGAAAGAATTATGAATTAATCGACGAATTGTGTATGTATTGCTTCGAGATCACATCCGTAACGTTTTCGAAATGGAGGAGGCGCGATCGATTTGCGGACGAGCGATTCGCGGCGAACTGCGACCCGCGTGCACAGAAATTCGTGTCTTTACGATATCGTTTTATTTTAATTATTTGAAAAAAATTGAACAATTCAAAGATAATACGAGTACACATTCTACAACGCAGGATCAAGCATTGAAAAATATCACACCGCTATGCCCAACTTAATTTCACGCCAAATTCATACGTTATACAGAACTTTTCAGGCAATTCGCGATTTCTCTCAATTTGTCATTGATTTTTGACGACAAAGAGAGTATCACGACCGAATTATTTCCGAAAATCGCTGGTCTGAATTGATCAATCGTCGTCGAAAACGCCACGCGTTTCGTTCATTTCTGCGATCGCAGACTCGCCGCTGAAAAGTTGCGTCCCGTGGAAATTGCTCCCTATGAATCAACGTCCTTTTAAAACGCAGCGGCGAATTTGCCCGTAAATTGCTCGTCTGCAAACGAGTGGCAGAGAAACGTCGCGACGAAGAAAATATCGGCCGATCGACGCGCTGGATCTCATTGCAGCTTGCCGCAATCATTTCCTCGCGAATTGATTTTCACGCGCACTTCGTCGCGGTTTCCGGTCTCGCTGACACTGCCGGTCGAAACGGCACGGTTGAAAAGACGCGAGGATCGAGGAAAAGGGGGAGGGGGGGGGGGGAGATTTTCATTCGAGTTAAAACGAGACGATTCGAGCTCCTCGCCCCTCGAGATTCGTTTTCCGGCTACGGTTGCTCGCTTTAAATCCGCGCCGGATATTATACGTCCGCGAGCGAGTACCTATGGCTGCGCGTGACGACGCGTGCAATCGCGAAAAATATTTTTCGAGGGTAACGGGATGCTTTTCGAACGAGGGGAGGGAGAAAAAAAAATGATCGATCGTCGCTCGGCCGGGATCTCGTTCGTCGCGCGGCAGTTGCGATGTGATCTGCGAAGGTGGTGACATTTTTGTTCATGGTGTACAACTGTTTACAGGGTTTTTCCGTCGGGGTGACAACACCTCCGATCGCAAGCGTTAATGTAAAATAGAACACAGATCACAGACTGAGAGGAGACGCCTTGCGCCGATTAAACAAAAATAACGGTTTAATCCGGTTCTAGGTTTCTAAGGTTTCTTGCAGAGGTTTAATGTTCGACCGAGAGAGGGCGTTCAAAAAGAAACTATTCGTTCGTTGTTGCTTTCTTTTTTTTTTTTTTTTTTCTTTCTTTTTTCTTGATAATTTCAGATACGAAATTTGGAAACTGATACGAGCTTCGGGTTTGAGTTTATTTTGATTTTCAATGTATTTTAAACGAAGTTTAAGGAGCTAGTGAATCGATGAAACCTTTGAGGACGCTAATGAGTAAAGTTGTTTTATTCAAATATTGTGTTGAAAATTTTTTCATTAGTCGTTTATACTATTAAAATGTTTGAATTTTTTGCACACAGTCGGTGGAAGTGATGTGGTTGCTTGAATCTTTGTATTTTGGCGCTAGCTATTTTATTTTCATTTCAATTCGCAATTATTACATTTCGTCGATTGACGAAAGATTTTATTTTAAGATTATATTTTCGTAAATTTGATTGACGAAATTCGGAATTCCATTTATACCTTTTGGAATTGCTTTTTCCTTCCCTTTCGTCGAAACGATTTTTCGCAGATCTGTCTCACCTTCAATGGAAATTAATTTTACTCCATACGTGACCAGCCCGTGACTGTCGCAGCTTGCTATAGCTCGCTCACGTCACGGTCACGCGCTCGAAAAGGATGAAAACGGTAAAAGAATTAATAGAGGAAAAAGAATTGCCGCGTGTGTTCCTTGAATTGCGACGTATCGGAGTTCAATTTTCAAATATTTCCTCGTCGAATATTGAAACTTGAACTGCGCGGTTTATTTTTGAAATTCCTTCAATAAAGAAATTACGATTTTTGTTTCTCGTCCCCGTAGCACAAACTACGTTCGATTAATTTATTTAATAAAACGAAGCACTACGTTCTTCGGACTATTCGAGAGAAAAAAACTTTTGGTCACTTTCCGACCCACCTACGAATAAAACGTTACTATCACGCAAAGATTATTCCATTAAACGTTTTTCGCTTAATTTCCAACGTCGTATAAATCAATTCTTATCGCAACAGTTTGACAGAACGCGAACAATACAAGGAACCTGTTATATAATTTCTACGTTTCTATTCTCTTCTCTCTTCTCTCTCTCTCTCTCTCTCTCTCTCTCTCTTTCAATCTATCTGAACCACTTATACGTATCTTTGTTCACGCCTCAGTTAATTTACGACAACGCAACGCCATATCTCTTCCACCGACTGTACGTTATAGGACGCGACAGGATCGCGGCCGTGAGTAATCGTCGCTCGATAAGCGAGCAACGCGCGCGCGTAATTCGAAACGACGCGACGCGGTGGAAAAATTTTCAGCGACGGCTGTGTCGGTTTCTGTGATTTTCGTACGACGATATTATCATACGTGTTATTTATTTCCGGCACAGCCATAGGTTAAGCAACAACGTCGCGGTGATCTATTTAATCGTGCCGGTTATTGTCGCGATAACGATTTTCGCCGAGCGTTCAATTGCTCGCTGATATTAAATTATTATCGGCCGATCTCTATTTCACCGATCGCTATTAACACGCCGATCTCCTCCCTGTACAATCGGGGGCAAAAAGAACCGGCAGCAATTACACTTTAACCCTTTTTTTTCTTTTTTTCTTTGTTCCGGTTTTTTCGCCTTTTTCCTTCTTCTTTCGTTTCTCCTGTCGCGCGCACGCTCGAAAACCGATACGCCGAAGCGAGCGGCGTTCGATTAAAATTTCAATTATTCGTCGGGACTCGCTGATAATTCAATGATCCCTCTTTCGTCTGAGGAACAAGGTTTCGATCGATTCTTGCCACATTTGCTCCCGCGAAAGTGAATCGTTTCTAAAGATTTGAGTCAGGTATGCTGTTTTGATCCAATTTCGATTATTCAATTGGAGCGTCAAGGAAACTGCACAATTATCAATGTACAGATATATTACAGACACGTGTTACAGGAAAGAGTTTGAAATTTCATTAACAATGTAATTAGACTGAATTATTACGATAAAGTTTGAAACAAATCTGAAAATGTATGTAAAAGTTTACGAGATACTTGATATAATTGCCCATGGGATTAGTTTTAATAATAATAATAATAATTCGCGGTATATACATATATATCTGTCAATTTTTAATTAAATATACATTTGCAACAACCATGTAGTAACTTTTGCATTCATTTTTACATCATGTTTCAAATTTTACCAATGTAATCGTCGACAGTCGAAAAGTTTCAAAATCTTTTCCTCTAACACGTAGAAATTCTTCTACAACAAGTTCAAATAGTTTGGCCTCTCATAATTTCTTTAATTGTTTTCTTTTCCTAATTCGATTTAATTGTTAGAATTTATTTTCGTCGACAAAAACGTTGATTTGTTTCCTGCTTCTTTTCTAACGCGTTCAAACCGGCGTGTAAACGTCGACTGTTATTGTCCAACTAGTTTTTTTCACGCAGATTTCGTTTCTTCGTTTGAATTCATCTCTGATCAGTTACGAAATTAATAAATTACGGTTCGTCTAACTGAATGAGGTTGTCGGTGGCCTGCAAGGTACAGTATTCTTTAGAGATCGACGAATGAAAGAGTTTTAAAGTTCTTAGAAGCTCTTAGAGCAGTATATAACCAAATATTTTTAGTTCACGTTCGCTTATTAAATTCCAATTGCATAGGTTCACGATGCAATTTCAGCGTATTACGTTCGAACCTTACACCGCTTCCTGTCTTAGAAACACCCTAGAGAGTCGAATAAAATATGAATAACGGTCTTGCGGCTGATCCACGCCAGATTGAACGCGTTAACGTCCACAGGTCCAAACGAAACTGGACGCCAAAGATAATAATATTCACTCGAGGTATGGAGCGCAAGGTAGATCAGTATTTCCTTTCCAGACGAACTGGAGAAAATGAATCGCGGGAGTCCACGTTCACTCCTGCTCAAAGAAAGGAAACAAAAAAAAAAAAAAAAAAAAAAAAAAAAAAAAGTTCGAAGAGTGAAAAGAGAAAGAAAGAAAGGTTAAATTAGCCGATTCGAATTTTCTCTATCAATTGTGTACATGTGTTTATTACTCTTATATTGACTCAATGATGTTATTCTGTGGTGCTTTGCATGTCTCTATTGGACTCTGCATGTCATATAGGGCATCGTAAGTACTTATTAAATGAACTCATCAACGACTACCGAATACACACGACAGAAAAAAAAAAAAAAAAAATTACCCTTTGTTTCGAAATGAAAATATATATACTTGAAGAACGCGTACGAAATGCGTTGCGAGACAAGTCTAGAGTGGGCGATTCTAGATCGTTAAACACACACACGCACACGCACATACAACAAAAACACAGATACACATATTATATATATACATATTCGTGTGTATATATATATATATATTAACCACAATAGTCGTGTATATCTGTTGAAAGCTTCTGTTGGTTTCTCTAAAGAAAACGTGGAGAAGATAGCTGGAGAGCTTGTAAGAACAGTCGGACGGAGGATCGAGCAACCTCAAGACTCTCCGTTTCTCTCTCTCTCTCTCTCTCTCTCTCTCTCTCTTTCTTTGTTTCCCCTTATCCGCCGTGTATTGAGATTCCAAGCTTCCACGGGACTCGAATTATTGCGGTTCAGATCGTTTCGAGCTTGCAAGTGTAAATTGCGCTGTATTTTCGAAAACATTCCGCGTGTATCGTATCACGAGGTCCGTGCTAACTTCAAACACGTCTCTCAGACGATACGCAGGATCTACGCTAGCGAGCTTCGAATAATCTGAACGCGGAAACTGTTCTGTCGAGGAAACTGCGACATCCATCAGTATGGATTTATTGACAGATTTTTCGTTTGGGAATTCTGTATTAAATCGATTTAAGAGAGACGAGAGATACGATGGATCGGAGCAGTTGATTCTCTGAAAACCGACTGTACTTACCGCAACTTAACTTTACTCTGGATTGATTTTTTTAAGTAGAGCGATCTACGATCGAAACGCAATATCGCCTAGGAGTGAAACGAGGACAGGATGTTTCGTTCTGCTTGATTATTGTTAATACTTGATTTTGTTTAATACTTAATCGTTGAATCACAGATCAAGGTTATGTTTTTATGTTGTAATTTAAACTATAAATTTATTGCATAGAGCATTCCGATCGTCTTTCTGAATCGTCAGTATATCGTATGAAAAATCAATATCGTGATAAGCCAAGAGGAAGTAGAAATCAATTGATAATGTTGTTCATTAGCTTGTTCGAACGTTAATTCCCAACGCTCGAGAGCACTGAAACGAGGCAGGTACAACATACAATGGAGCTCGGTTCGATTGAATTTAACGCTGCGTGACGAGTATGAAAAGCCTCCTTACAGATATCGAAATCGAGGCACAAAAGGTAACAAAGAAAGCCTGAAAGGCTTTGAAGCGTTCCCCGATTTTTACGGCTGCTAATTAACCGAAGACAAAGGAGCGGGACATTCCAGAAAGATTCCAACTCCTTTGCTCGAATTACTCTTATTTCGTATTAATTCACTCTGTAATTAGATTATATTTAAATGTCTGATTAAAAGTCTCCTCGGCGCCACCGTACAATTTACAGCGGCACGCCAAAGTATTCCAACATTTGCACGAATCCTTTATAAATGCATTTTGTTGTTTTGAAACGTTTACAAATGTTTGAAATTTCATTAGCGAACGTAATACGAAAATGTTCGCACGAAATGTTTAGCGCGAGTGTATATTTCGCAGAGATCTTTAATGCTGTGATCTGTTTATCATCTTGAGATTGAAAAATATTTGAAACGGTCAATTATTCGTTACGTCAATCGTTGCCATATTACTAAGACGTAGAGTATTTAATTTCACTTGTTATTTTATGCTCTGGATTAAAAATTCACATCTTTTTGGCTTACGATTAAATCGGTCAAATGAATGGCAAAAAAAAAAAAAAAAAATAAAAAGAAAAAGGAAAGAGAGAAAAGAAAACGATATACATTCGAGTATAATAATCCCAGCAGAACGAGCATCCTTTCGACGATTGGTAAAAAAAAAAAACTTTCGTTTCAAAGTGATTTTTGATTTCTCTCGGTTTCCCAACTTTTTTTTTTCCCCCAATTTCATTTGTTTCAAACGAAAGGCTCGGGGTTGTTTTCAACAGGTTTCTCCAGCTTATTTATATCTCTTGGTAGAGATCTTAAACGTAGAGCCGTATTATTGTTATTAAAATTACGCTGCATGGCCGATGTTGATTCAACGAATTCTCCGTCTGGCCAACTGAAGCCAGCTAAACCTCTTTTGTTATTCCCTGGACCCTCTGTCAATATTGTTTGTCGGTTATGCCGCGGATGTTCGATTTAATCACCTCCTTTTCCCTGTTTCCTGTTTCCCGAAACGTCGAGAAACCCGCGGCAAACGTAATAACCGGGGAAAGAAAAAGTACAGACCAGCTAAATGAGTCCTCTCGTTTAAGAAGGAAGTTGGGGAGGTGTTATATTAATATTCCCTTCCCGTTTCGGGAGAGCCAGACGAGATATTATACGAAAACGTTAAAAGGCATTGCTTCAATATAGTTGATTGTGATTTGAAATTCTGCGAAATAATTTGGAATGGCAGCAGTAAAAGATAGATTGGAATTTCTACTAACGGTAGTACTAAAGTATTGAGACACTTTTATTTTTTGATATTTTTCATTCTTATTTTAATACTGAACACTTTTACGTGCAATTTTTTAATCGCGTGTGATTTTGTTATATTGGCACTTTGCGGATTTTTTTTTATTACGTAAAGAATCATTTATTTATTTTATAACTCTTAAATGGGAATATATATATATATATATATATACATATGTATGTATGTATATCGAAATTGTTTCTTCTAAAAAGTTATGTTGGAAAAATTAACAAGACAAAGTGTCTCAATTAATTTTCAGCTCCTGCAATTTAGATTTAATCAATTTTGCGTGCAACAATGTAGACTCGATCTGTTTTATATAAATAATTACTTAAAATCATCAAAGTGTATCAGTAATTAGTTAGTATCAAAATTTCCACGAGAAAATGCAAGATCTTCTTCGAATAAACAAAATTTCGTTCAAAGAATTACTCAATGTTCGATCTTGATATTACGAATTGATGCAATAAAATGATATGAAGTGGCGTTTAATCGATTTCACTGGGAATATCGACCACTGAAATTTCCCTTCTAAAAGGATTAAATACTTCACTAAGCCTCTAAATTACTAAGCATTTAAGCGATCCCAGTATAAGAACCATATCGAGTGGGATGATCCTCTCTAACTCCTTCCCTAAGTAGCCTGATTCATTTATCTGAAGGGTAGTCGAAAATTTAAGCTGCTCTCCGAATTTTACATCGTAGCTACAAAATCAGTTACTCAAGCGGCTAACATTTTCCCCAGTTTCGCCTTCTTTATCAACCAAAGATTATTGTATGAATTACAATCGTGATGTTTAAATTTTAGATATTAACTTCTTCGAGTTGGTCTGTGCTGTAAGAGAATTTGAAATGAGCCGCAGTGGTGTGTAAAAGTCTCTGGTCTGGCAACGTTTTATTTTTCCTTCCAACAAGTGAAAAAATAAAATGATTACAAAGATATCTCATACGAGTGGAAAATATTTTAGATTTTAGATCAAATGCCTCTTTCTGTGATTAAATATCGATCTTGAAATATTTCAAGAGTATTGACTGTTATTAATATTAATCGTGTCATCATTTTTCCTAAAATTTCGTAAACTGATTCAATCGAATATTATTAGGATAAATTATAGGAAAAATTTTCAGTGAATAATATATATGACCAGCCTCTTTTCTACGTCACTACATCCACTTCTCCTTTCTTATCTTTTTTCCTTTTTTAACATAATTTCCTGTGCAAAGGAATAATGGAATTTAGCATCAGTAGATAGTGTACACCAAAATTTTATAAAGTATAATCTCACTATAAAACTATGTATGAGATCAATACAATTGCAAGATTCTACACTTGTCACAGTAAAGTTCGCCTATCTAAATTTATGTGATAAAAGTTCAGTAATTTTCCCACCTATATATAATTTTTCGTTCGCGCAATTAACATAGATAATTCAATACTACAAGATTACCAACGAAAATTTCGTTCTGTAGAAAAGAAATAAACTGCACCTCCGCTGCATTAAACATGTCAATTGACTAAAGTTTCTGAACACGCGGTCATGGCTCGCGTATCACCGATGCAAAATTCCAACAAAAAAAAAAAAAAAAAAAAAAAAAAAAAAAAAAAATGGGAGATCGGTAGTCACGAGCAGGCAATTAGCGGATCGTTAATTACCCAGGTCTTGATACACGTTTCCTCTTTCGTTTGAAATTGAACGGCTACGCACGGACAAAGCGGCAAGAGAACAGGAACCGTCGACGTTGCCGTAACGAAAACGATGGTGGTGTGTCAGCGTCGCGACGACGACGACGACGACGACGACGACGATCACGCCGCCCGAGGCAACGGTTCACGACGCGACGTTCGTTTCCGTTTCGCGAGCTTCCCGTGCCGCGAGTCGACGATCAATTAGCGAAATCTTTGATCCACGCCGAAGGGGACGCGCCACGTCCCCTCGCGGGCAAAATTAACGTTCCATCGGCACGCACACGCACACGCACGTTTCGTTTGATCGTGTCAGGACGCTGAAAGACGCGTCGCGATACGCCAACGCCACGCCACCTTCTCTGGATCGTGCCCGGCTGATTTACGCGCGACAGGTCGTAACTCTAGCCCCGCTGAAAGCCTCGGGAAAAATCGGTGTTCCGGCGGGAACGATCGAACCGGTCGTTGTGCAATGGCATCGTTCTGATAATGATTTAGACCGCGGCGAGGGGCGGGGAAAATGGAATTCGCGAGAGGAAAGAACTTTGATACGTGGAATTTTGACGTATATCTTTTTGATATGTTACACGATCTTTAGCTTTTACGATGTGAAATGGGAGATATTTATTGTTAGGCGTGTCTGGTGGCTCTGAGTTCTGTCCGAATATAAAGAATTTGTTGGCGACTTGTTGGCGAGTTATAATTTTGAGGTTGGTAGGAAAGGAATTTCGACTTTTAATGATCAGATCAGATCGTATTTTACAATTTTGTAATTGTACGATCGAGTCTTTTTTTTTTTTTAATTTTTGTCAAGTTATTCAAGTGGACAAATTTTACCCTCATTCTCGATTGATCATTTACGATAGCTTGCTTTTTTTCTTATTGAATAGTGAAACTTATGGAACGATTGAAACAAAATTGACGAAATTACCTACCTTCTCGCCAACCTGACGTGAAAGCCGAACCAATTTTTGACATGCTTTCTGATACATGTATTTCTTGGAAACTGTAAGGGAAATAGTAGTGCAAGGGTTTGCATGTCAATTGGAAAACAGATTGTGGGTCAACTCGCCTCAAAGATAAAACTGTATTCTCCAAGGCAGACTCAAACATAACAAATGGTATTTTCGAGAAGGACGTGATTCTTGTGATCGAAAGAATAAACTAGAAACATCGATCAGAATTTCAATTTGAAAGTTAAGGCTGAAACTGTTACATAATATCGTGTAACTTTGAAATTGCGTTCCTGCGAGATTGATATTTTTCTCAAATTCATTTCCTTTTCAAATGAACTTTTTACGTGTCTATAATGTGTTTTAAGACCCACGTTAACTTCGTTCGACGTACGATGAGCGTAAGTTCCATTTTTTAATAAATTTGAATGCTGTGACTAATGCCTGAATATTCAAATGGAAGTGTGAATATTCAAAAGAATTACAGCCGCGTGAAAGTAGCTCTTTATCACGTTGCTTCACGTTTTTCTTTGTCGAATCACCAGCGAAACAAGAAGCACGATCCTTCTCAATTGTGCGAAGTATGTATACAGTGTATGTATACAATATCAAAGAAAATTAAATCAGCTCTTCGCCGCCGTTTCTCCTCGCTCGAATAAGGGAAGAGATACGACCTGATCCGATCGCGTGAATCATTCTACGTGGCGTTTATTAATTTCGATAGCACGTCTGTTCGATAAATCCAGCCGAAATTGTGTCTTCGAAACGAGTTGCCCTCGTATCTCGGTATACTTCATCGTCGGTGATTTTATTCAACTTTTATTACTTCCGCAAACATGCGTTCAACAGTTCCAATCCTTTTTATTTTACTCTTTCCCTCTATTTCGATTATTTTCCTCCTTTCATTTTCTTTTCTTTTCCTTTTTTTTTTTTTTATTCTCTCTTTTTCTCTTTGTGATGTTTAAAGAGGGACACGGGTTATTAATCATTCCACAACAGCTTGAATCTCTGTTTTTCGCGTTTCAATGCCTCCCCTCGCGATCCCAGCGATATGCGAGCAAATTTTATTTGTCATTCCCGTGCACAGCGAAGTATGCGAAGTTGATTACAACGGATACGCTTTTGCCATAGAATAAAGAATAAAGAACGGTGAAATTCGAAGCTCGAGGAAGGAAAGGGAAGTAAAACAATCGCTTTTCAATTCACCGTCGAACAAAAGAACACCCTCCGACGAGAGGAATTTTTCAATCTGGCCGTAGAAAATTGCTCCTTTTCCTTTTAATATGTACCGGTTTCAATCGAGGATATTTAATTAAGAGTCGAGATTTTTCAACTCGTCAAGATTTTCCAACTCCGTCCGGATGAAACGAGCGGTAGAATTCGGTTGGTTTCAGCCGAGGGAAGTTTCCGATCTTCTCGAAGTAAAAGAACTTGGAGAAAACGCACTTCGCAAATTTCGCCGTCGAGAAAGACATCTTTCTCCCGAGATTTTCTATCTCTGTCACTGTTGTTATCGTTCCCTCCTTCCCTTTCGTTTGATTTCTTTTCTTTTCTTTTCATTCCATTTTATTTTATTTTATTTTAGTCCTCTTTTTTTTTTTTCTTTCTATCGACGAACCCACGTAGAACGAAAATCGTTCGAGCGTTCGACTACCGATATACAGAAATCGTCTTCTCTAAATCCAGGAAAAGAAGGACGGACCGGTGTATAAGTTTTACGAGACCATACGAGATTTCGGCGGGGAGATCATGAGCACCATCAGCCATCTTCGTGACGTGACGCTGTTCGCGCCTAGCAACGCGGCCCTCGAGGAACCCGGCGTGCAGAAGATCCTTCAGAACAAGGAACGCGTCAAGGAGATCCTGAATCTTCACTACGTGAAGGAACGTTTGCCACTCGATAAGATCAAGAACAAGAGCGTCAGCCAGGTGAGCGATCTTACTCTACGAATTTCTTTGACGAATTCACGCTGTCTTTCGGGGAACGCGTCGGTGAAAGTTTCGAATCGCTTCGAATCGTTTGTGAAATAACATTTTCATCGTTCACGAGAAACGAACCGTGCTGTGCACGGATGTCGAAAGATAAGTTGGAAGTTGCAGAACTTCGAATTTTTACAACTTTCGAAACGTTTCGTAGAATATTTGGAGGTTGGAAAAGTTTTGTTATATTTGCAGGCAGAGAAATGCGAGTTTACGATAACTCGTGGATTTTTGGTTGAGAAGTTGGATCGATTCGAAAAATGAAAAGAAAATTCGAGTCGTATATTATGTTTCTTGGATCAAATTTCCATGAAAATGTTGTTATTTTGTTTTCTGTCGAACATTAAAATACAATCGCTTTAATTATACTTTCGTAGCAGTGGACTTATATAATCGAAACGATCGTATGCTAGAGTTTCATAATTCATAACAGAGTAGTTCGTCGTCTCGTTATTTTGAATTAATTATATTCTCAATAAATTCGAAGGAACACGTATTATGGGAAATTATCGAATATTCCTAAGTTTCCTGCAATGTTGAAAAAGCTAATTTCATTCAAAGTTCATGGGTTGAATTAAATCAAAATATTTCTTGCTCCGTACCAGCATTAATTACAGAAACTTTGACATATAATATAAAGCTATAATATAAATCGTCAAATGAATCGATGAGAACGGTGTTCCGATCCATTATACCAAATTTCACGTGTCTTTTATACGCGTCGGTTTATTGTAAATTCTATATCTCTCTGTCTACATGGAATTACAGCACTCCGTGCCAATATCCATCGATTTTAGATCCGATGACAGAATCAAATATCTTTCCAATTTCCAATATCCATACACGTTCTAGACATGCCGTTAATCTCGCGTGACGAAAAATCAATCCTCACGTGTTTATCATTTCTCTGGTAATTGCTTCATCGGAAATTAAATTAATTAAAAAAAAACGAATCGTGCTCTTTAAAAATTTGTCTTCGACCCTATCAAAAGTTAGCGATAGATTGTTACCTACTTATTGTTAGTCATTTTTAGCCTCACTGGATTGCTAAACTTCCAAAGGATCCAAATGATTTAAATAATTGGGAGTTGAAGTCTAAAAAAAGGATCTAAGTAAAATTAAATAAAATTCTAAATAAAGGAATTTCTAAATAAAGGAATTAAATAAAATTCTAAATAAAGGAATTCTAAATAAAAGAAAAAATAAAGAAAATTTTCTATTTTTAAAGTATGTCTTTATAGTTTCTTTCAGGTCGCGATCTTTCTAAAATTTTACAATCAGAAGCGAATCGAAACTTTGCTTGCCGCTATGTTTCATTTCACAACGTCGAAAAAAGAAGGTTCGGTATTTATGAACATTTCTCTGCTGATTCATATCATTTTGGCGCGAAAGGATATTCATTTTGCAAACAATTGTCTTACCAAGATTACGGACAATACATGCGCGTATGATTACACGTATTGATTAACTGGATATTTGTTTGTTTTCTGGGAACAAGAAATCCTTGACCGGGAAGCCACAATTTGGGGTAATTACACATTTATAAATCTTTCAGTGTGCTGTTCAACAATTTGTAAACTCTCTCTGCATCCTTCTTTCTCTCTCTCTCTCTCTCTCTCTCTCTCTCTCTCTCTCTCTCTCTGTCTCTTCGCTTTGATTTATTTCTCTTACTGCTGATCCCGACTTGAAATCACGTTGTATACTGTATTTATGGTCTGCGGAAACCCTCGTACGACTCGAAACGAGATTTCATTCCGCAGCACGTAATTGCGTTATGTTGAATTTTGATTTCTTGTGCCCTGCTTCTCCGTCAGAGTTACACGTATGCACGTTTGTGAGAGAACTCGTTTCCCGATATTTAACGAGAGGAAGGAAAGGAAAGAAGAAAAGAAATTTTCCGCCGGCTGATAACGAACAGCTGAGAAACGAACAGGTGTTCTTGGTTAACTTTGGGGAAACTTAGAAGAGACTAGCCTACGTTACATTGTTATGAGACGTTGAGAGCCTCTTGTCAAACTTTTACCTACCAATCTGCTTACAATTAATTCCGCCAGAGTCCTCTTATCGGATCCGACTAGGGAAGTTCATTTTCATTTAATGCCGTTTCTTGAAACTTCTGACTAAATCGCGGCACTCGTTAAAAAGAATACGTAAACAACGATTGAAATCATGAATTACGATCAACTTGCGATGCAACGATTTTGAATATTCTTGTAGCAAAAAATATTTGAACAATTATTTTGTACATTCGTATTTTATAATACTTTATTTTAGAATATTTTTATAGACTCATGAATGAAAGATAATTGAAATTTGTATTTAAATATTTTCACAAGAATTCCAAATGAAAACTTGTTTCGTTGGCGGAATTTCAAATCGAAGCATTCAAATTTCAAGGAGAGATTCGATTTCAATCTAGAAAATGATTGCTTAACTATGACAAATTACGTTTGCATTACAACGAATCATGGGTTTTCGTGGAATACATTATTTTCAAAAATTGTAAATCTCGACTGAATATCTTTCTGGCTTTCATCGCCAGTGATATGAGTAAAGAATAACGTAGACACGGCTCTCTCGAGCACGCGCTTGTTGAGGTAAGTTTTCCAAGATCTCATGAAAACTTACTCTCCGAATTTCAGCTTATTTTTGAATACAACATCGTTATGAAATAACTTTTTTCAGAATAATTTATAGTATGAATTACGCGATAATACCATTTTAAGAAAGTGATATTATCTATCACTTTTAATCCTGTATCTCAACTACAAAAAAATCTCGAAAAACAACGATTTCATTTTCATGAAAATTTACGTGAAGACAGGCTACGTTAATTATTCCTGTGAAACCCTGTCGTGAGTGAGGCGATATTAAATTTTGCATCACGCGAACTTTATTTTCTTTATCTACGTGATCGTTTACTTCGTACAACTCTTCGATTATCGACAAACACATGAAATTCCGCCTCATGCTGAAGTACATGAAAATTTGGTAGAAAAATTTTTAATGAAGTGCTTCGCGGAAAATCTTGGAACGATAGAGGAGGAAACCGCGAGATATCAAATAAACGGTGCGGCCATTTTTTTTTTAGAAACTACGAAATTTCAACGCGCATAGATATTAATTGAGAGATTTTCATTTCGCGTGGGATTGAGTTACGAATAGTTTTTTTCCTAGATACGCAGCGACAGAAAGAAACAAGAAACGAAAAATCATGTAATTGAAACGATATATTCCGGAGCCGTGAAAGAATAATTCGCCGCGTAAATTCATACGTTCTGCTTCTCTACCTTTGAATAAATTTCAACAACTTTATTTCTTTCATCGCGCATCGTGCGCGAGCTCGTCGTTTGTTTACACGTTTGTTTACACGCCAAATTTATTGTTAGGATGCAGAATCGTTTTGCAAATCCAACGGGTGAAAAATCGTGCTTCCGCGCGGCGTAATAAACGGCTGAAAATACCGCGAAAAATACGACTCGAATTGTAATTTGGCTCGGGCGGGGCGTTCCCCTCGCTAAATGAAATATTCCGCTGAGTTTTACGTTTCTTTCGGCGATCGCCAATGCTAATTAACGTGATAATTGCGGGTATATATATGCTGTTGCAAAGTTTACTCGATCTATGCTTTCGATATTGCGACTTTTTAGTTTCTCGCACGATGCGAAGTATTGTTTAAACACAGCAAATGAAAGAGTTCAATTTGTGATAATGTTAGTATTAGGATACAGAAGATAAATATTGAATTTTGAAATATTCATAGGTGCATTTTCTCATATTTTTATCACTTATCTGCCGCAAGAGAATGGTTAACAACAATTATAATAACTGATTAATAATGATTAAAATAAAAGAAATAATGATTCTTCTTTTTCTATTTTTCTTTAATGTCGCATCGACAGCGAGGTCATTAGCGACTAATGACCATAATAAAATTAGCGAAATAATGATTATAATAAAATAACAATTATAATAAAAAAATATCTATTTTTCAAGTGCAATGCACCGCCGATTAGGTTTTTATTAGGTAATCTTACGAAATCGATTTGTGAATTTTGTTTAATAATCCACGAATTGTGAATTATTAAAAATCATCAATACTACCATACGCGAGTAAAACTTCTGTGCGTGTTATTTAAATATACCTATCGTTATTATTGCTCTTTATTATTATTGCTTCTCTGAAAATAATTACATCGTAATGGCTGTAATGGCTGGAGAATTTTTTCAAAATTGAAGCACCTGGAGATATTTCGAATTTAACAATTTATCGGCCATGCGAGATTTTATTGGTCGAATAAACCCAGTAGGCGCAGTCCGCCAGGGCGAAACGTGAAATTTTAACGGCGCACGGGGAAATCTCATTACTCTTTATTAGAACGATTTACTAATTGTTTACAATAATTAATACGCGCATCGTAGCGGCGGCAAACGAAGGCCGGCCAAGTCAATATTAGTAGGGACAGCTCAGCGTGTTGCTAATAAATATCGCCACGCATTACCGCGTCCATGTTGTTTAATAAGCGGCAATTAGCGATTCGATATTAGTACGCCTGTTATGGCTTTTATCATAATCCTCGTTCGTAAATTAATTCACGCGCCCGCCGAGACCTTCATTTTGCAAAGCCTTTCTTATCCACTTCTCTGCTAACTGATAGATTAATCTTCGACTCTATTTAGGCCATCCGAGCGATAATGCTTTTCCATTTAATCATTATTTATTCGGCGCGCGTCGAATGATGTATCGCTTTATCGACTCGTTACAACTACGTAGACGTGCAGATGTAATACATCGATGAAAAATTTCAAGATACTTCCCTCCTATTCGTATTTACTTGTTATGTATAATTATGATTCTGCTATATTTCCTGATCGTTTGCAATTTCGTAGATCGCTTATAAAACTAAATGAAATATAGTAATTACGAAGGCACGTGAAACGAGAATAATATTTTAATAAAATAATTTTCTGTATAGTGTGTAGAAATTTTATAGACTGTCTCTTGGCTACATTGAAACTAGATTGATAGATTTTAGTACAACTTTGAACTTTGTATATTCCAACTTTGTAAATTTCCAACTACGTCGAATTATTGCAAGTGTTGATGAAAAAGTTTCTTTGTTAAATAGGTTTCCATAAAATAATTCCTTTTTCGTAATTTGTGACCTGAGCACTCGAGGTTCGCTGCGACATGTTTGAAATAAAAGGGACTTGTTTGCAGCTATTTATTACAATCTTGACCTTTTATTTTTAATTACGAACGATTTATTATTATTTCGTGTAATTGGTCCGAACCACTGTTCGATTGATCGCCGAATGAAAATCAAACCCTTTATAGCCGTCGGTAGAATGTTAATTTATGAACAGGCAGAGGATATAATTAAAGGCAGTGTTCCGTATCAGCGTGCTGAATGATTCAGGCATGGATATTCAAGCGTAATTAGCTATATCGGTGATTTCGTGTAATTGGATTCACAGATCAAAATCGACAGTCGCTAGCCAAGCCAGGGACTGATATCGCGACTTACGAAACGTGCTCGAATTAATATACTCTGCGCAATGTCGTTCAAGCATCATCGTAAAGAAATCTTATCGCGTTTTTATATTATAATTCGGAACTGACAGCCCACTTATAATTTACTCGTAAAATACATTATTCGTATCAAATCTAAGTGTCAAACCCAACTGATTGAAGTTATTTATTTCAATTATTGTACGATTATTGAAAAGGATTCTGTGACTCAGTTACAATCGTGATAATCCTGTCTTACGAATTATGTATAAAGTGTCAATTAAATGAATTTTTCAGAAACAATTTTGCCTTTGCCTGCAGTGTGACAACACTAAAGAAAACATCAAACGTTTTAATTAAAAACTCTTTTCTAAAAAAATTATCTGTGCAATTATAGTGTCAGTGAAATATCCAAATTTTTAGAGATCATATTTAAGCCATTATGTCTGATTATTCTGATCAAGTCTTTAATTTACCAAGTGTTTATCGCTTCCGAACGAACAAAGATCCACCGGGATTGCGTTTCGCGGTTACCGCGTCGAATGGATTAATTATTTCGCGACAACGTGGTCCAGCCGCGGGGAAAAAGAAGTCGTTTTATCTCGAACGCGTCGCGTCGTGAAACTTGCCGGCGTTTTTTCCGGTGGTTGTTTTATCGTCTCTCATTGGAAGCCCAGGGCTGCGTCATAAAGCAGAAGAGCGACATAAAACATCCGCGCAATAAATTGGCGTGAAAGCAACGCCGTTTAATGCAAATCGGCCGGACCTTCCGTGAATAAAAACCGGCGATATTTTCGCTGGCCAAACAAGGCAACGATTAAAGGCAGAAACAACATTCGCATTCGTTGCGTGTTCGTACTGTCGCTCTGTTGCTTCGATTCCATTTCCTTCTTCCTTTTTCTTCCAAGATTTCTCGAACTACTTCTGAGAATTTTTTCGATCGTTATTGAACTACGGAATGTTTCATGCGTTTTCGGAATGTTGATCGATAGTACTCTTCGAAGAAAAAAGTGTCGATTTTGTAGATACCTCCATGCGATGGTTAAAAACATTTCTCAGAAATGTGCTTAGTATCCATTGTAATTTTTATAATTTAATTTGATAAATTTTAAAGTACCTCTGTCTAATCAAAGGTAGATGAAATGGAATTGTTAACGTGAGTGAAACTATTTCGTTATTCTTGCGCACAGTTACGTTTATATGCCCGTACGGGGGCGATTAACTTTTAATTAAATTTCCAATTAAATAGAAAATTTAACGCCGTGTCTTCTCAGAGTTCAAATTGGATACCTTGAGTAAAAAAATTCCACCGCAGAAATTATTTATCAAATATATACCATATTACCATACGTTATGCCACGTTACCATGTAGCGTAAAATTAAATTCTCTTGTAGGATCTTCCGACAACAGAACGAACGTTTCGCTCGCACTTGCGATTATAAATTGTCTAAGGACGTTTCGTCCCCGATCGATCAATAACGTGCATGTCGCTTGCCGTCGTTTTTACTTAGCTAATTGCCAATTAAGAAGAACTGCTTCCTCCCAAAGACAGGTTTTCTTCTGAAAGGAAGAAGAAGATACTGGATTACATGGTACAAAGGATAGAACAGCGAAGCCATTCTTACGTAGGGTCTTTTTGTCTTATTTCCTCCGGAAATTTCCTCGCGTTCTAATTTTTCTCAATAAAATCCTTTTTGCTATCCCCTGCTGTACTCTTTCTAGCATTTAACATTTTTCTTCATTTTAAATGAAGAATTGCGTATTTTTTGTTGGATTGCAAATTAAATTAAAAGTAATGGGACAATATGCAATGTTTGATTGTAGTTTTTGGCTACTTTAACGATAAAATAGCTAGAGAAAGTTTGTTTTTTTTTTTTAAATTATTGAAGATATATTGATTTGAATAGCTTTCTTAATTGAAGTCATTCAGTGCTTTTAATAAATGTTTCATTTGAATACGTGGCTGTTATCGAATTTTCTTTTCTATTCTGCATAGTCGAGGAGTTCGTTTCAGCGACAAGAAAAATTTTGGTAAAGTGTCAGGAGCTTCGTTTTTAAGGAAATTTAATTTGGAAATTCGTCGAAATTCTTGACTATGTTTGAACTTTATTTTCTTGAAGACGAGACCTCGCACGAACAACTTCATGCCACACTTTTTTGCTCATTATCATATCATAGAGTACAAACGACTGAAGTTTTCACGAACTTTCAGACTTCGTTACGCAAGTTTTTAAATTCGACTTTCTCGAAAACGGGGAGGGAAAATCTTACCTATCGATTTTAAGATCGATTCACATGTACGATTACAGTATATTATCGATTCGAATTCGACGAGTTAATTAGACAAATTAAAATTTAAAGAAACAAATATAAAAGAACGTGAAAAATCCAAAGGAATAGATGAAAATTTAAAGGAATTTTGTCAAAAACAATTCGACCATGAACACAAAGAGTTTCTAACTCAATCCAGCCCTATCTACGAGATTTTCAATTGTTGAATGTACAAGGAAAAGGCAAAGGGAACGCGTGAGAAGATAAATTCCCATAGATTCAACAGACGAGCATATTGAAAATTCCAGCTGCATCTCTAATTGCTGAATTACGATTAAAAGGCGAGTTACGTTCGCTTCGAGCGGCTGCAACTCGATTAAAGGAAGCAGAATCGCACTTGGGCGTACTAAATATCGTGGTGAAGGAAGGGGCGGGTGGAAAGAGGGAAGAAAAAGAAGAAGAATCGAAATCGAATGAAACGCGGAATGAAGCACGCGCAGTAGGCAAGTGCATAGATCTCGGTGGAATAAAAAAGGAGAAGGAGAAGGACGAGTGATCTCTTCGATGGAGAGAAGAAGCTTATAGGAAAATTCTTTGCCAGAGAGAGAGAGAGAGAGAGAAAGGGGAGAGGCCGTGGATTTTCATGGAATTTATTCGATCTGCTCTTTGAAGCCGCTAATCTCGACGGATAGATGCATCTATATACGATGCGCAGTGCGAGCAACTCAAGATCGGAAAAGTAACCGGAAGTGGCGTCGAGTGCAAGTCGGAAAATTCATGAGAGGAGAGGATCAACCGGAAAAGGAATCACTACCCTTAAGCTCTCTTTCTCTATTTCTCTCTCTCTCTTCGCCTCTCTATCTTTTTATACCTCTCACTACCCGTCGAGTCTCTTTTTGCCCCTTTTTCTTCGTCGCTTCTGCTCTCATTAAACTTTCCACGAAAATGCCGGAGTTCCAATGAGAAAACAAATTTTCAACTTTAAACGGGTACTCGGCCGCTTGAAAACGCGAATTAAGCCTGTCAAATGCTTTATAGACGCGCCATTCTCTTTGTGATAGTTCTTTCTTTTCTTTTTTTTTTTTTTTTTTTTTTTTTAATTGTACTTTTTGTGGTTTTTAATAGCTTGCGTTGTTGTTCGTTGTAACTGTTGTTTCACGGTTGACTAGTGGTTGTTCGTTAGATAGTTCCGAGATTTCACTTGTTCTCGGATCAAACTGCAGAATACGAAGAGCAGAAATATATTTCATTTTATTATTTTTATTATTTTATTATTTTATTATTTTATTATTTTATTATTTTATTATTTTATTATTTTATTATTTTATTATTTTATTGTTTTATTATTTTATTATTTTATTATTTTATTATTTCATTATTTTATTATTTTATTATTTTATTATTTTATTATTTTTATACACGATGTTTATACAGAAGTCTTGCATCTGAACATTTATATTTCAATGTACGAAATCAATTTCTTATCTTCGATATAATGAAACAGTTTGTGTATGCGTAATTAGAAATTTCACGCCGTCAAGGGGACAACGTTCAGAAACAATATATTTCGCAGTCGACCCGAGAAACAAGTCAATGCAAGTATAAATCTCGTCAGGTGACTTTGATACACTTGCGAGAATTGAACTTCAAGAAAGAAAACAGTTTCCAATTTCTTAATAGAACGAAACTTTGGAAGATTGATCTTTGCCCGATCTGAATAAAGAAGATTTATTGCCAATTGTCTAACAACGCCTCCCTTCTAAGTCTCTTCTTTCCGCTCTGTAAGAATGTTGCAAGTACGAGAACGTATATAACTTTTAACTAGGCCCTCGTCTTCCGCCGTAACTTGCAATTAGATATGTACGAGTTGTGTTTGCACCAGGCTAACTTTCAACCGTTCTTCGAATAAAATCGCCGTGACTCTCTCGTTAATTATAAATTGTTCGCCACCGTGTTTCCAGATTTCTCTGCAACTACTTGGTATTTCCTTTCCTTCTTTTTATCATTGATTGATCAATCGAAATTAAAACAGAGGAAGAAAATCCATACATTTTTGGCGAGATATAATTTAATTAATAAAAGTAAAATATCGTTCATATTTTCATGAAAACAACTGAAAAAGTAAATCTAAATCTTGCGTGAACTTCTTTTTACTAACGTTGCTAATTAGTCAAGTTATTAATATGATAAAGGGTGAATTATTCGAAGAAACGGATTATTTATTCTCGGTCTTAATATACGAGCCGCTCAGAAGTCGCAAACTCAAGAAATTGGAAAACACTAGATTTTTAAAAATATTTCTTTACTATATTAATATTCCGTATTTTATATTTCTTCAAAATTAAACGCGGCTGAGAACGCTAGAAATTTAGAAACTGATTCATCTGACTTCTGTAAGGCTCGTAATATACTATATCGATGTTTCGATGTGTCCAAGCATGCCGAGTATATTTCGATACACTTAAGATTTTCTCGATTTCTTGTAGGTCCCTACGGCAGCAGATAGAAAGAAGCTGTACTTCAACGTGCTTCAAGAACCGAGCGGAAACCAGATAGTGACCGTGGAAGGTGGTGGCGTGAACGCGACAGTGGTCACCGCAAATATCGCCGCTACCAATGGACTGATTCACATCATCGACAGAGTTCTTGGTGTCCCGTATACCACTGTCCTAGATAAACTCAGAACCGACCCTATGCTCAAGTAAGTTAATATTTTTGCAACGTGCTCGATTTAAAACGTTACGATCGATACGTCTGAATTTTCTTGAATCCAACTAAGTTCGATGGTGTTTTTACGAACTTTTGGGAAATTTAAGAGAGAAATTTACAATGGTTTTATTATTAATTATAATTGTACACGTTGAGTTTATTAGCGTCATCGATTCGATCGAAATGCGTGAAAAACGTTCGATTAACTCAATTGAAACTATAAACAAGGCTCTTGCATGGAGAATTGTATGATTTTGCCAATTACACGCCGACGTATTAAATTTTGTATTGAACGCCATTGCTTTCGATTCTCTCTATTGACATCACTTCCACATTCAAGCGAGATTAAATTATCCCCGGAAAATAGATTTTCAGATCATTCGTTTCAATCCGAACGACAATTAATTCTTTTTTTTTACAGGCAATGTTTTGCAATACGTTCTCTATTGATACTGTACTAGTCAGTTTTCACTTGTTTGATGTTGCAATTTTATTTGACTTTCAGAGTCACGCGTGTTTTCACTCTGTGCGTACAGTTTTGAAACACAGTTTTCTTACTCGAGATATTTCCGTATCTCTTTATATTTTTGAATCAATCCAAGTTCTTCTCATTCTCTTCTAAATTGAAAGATGATCGATCAAAGTCAAAATACCGGCGAAGATATTCTTCTTCTGTTGTCCAAAGACAACTTTTTTTTTTGGATGGAAACATGTGTCAATTGCATTTCAAACGAGAAAGAGAAAAATCAAATTTTTATGGAAATCGCCGTGCGACCAACTATTGTGTACATGACAAACAGAAACGCACAAAACACATATATTCCCATTCATTTCTAATGAAACCACGGTCGCAAGTACGTGTTCGAATCGCATGAATACTGCGCGGTCGGACACAGCCGTGATTTAATTCCCCTCTCGTTATTTCAATTATCGGTGTATCGATAATGGAAAATCCAATTAAATGATATTCCAATAACCGATAAATAAACTTTCGTGGCGCTAAAATCTCGTTAAATGAGTGAGCGTTCGTGGCTAAACATTTATGTATGGCGCGTGTTTTATGCTGTATCCGAGGCTGATCCGAGTGATACTCTATCGATCTATGAATATCTAGCAAACACTACGAATGTCCACTAAAACGTTTATGACACATCGGGGGAGGAAAAAAAAGCGTGGGAATAAAAGTTGCAGAGAGCCAGACTAATTGCCAATTAACACGTGTTTGTGGGTTATCGCTGGCTTGTGATAATTGACAAAGGTGAAATTTTTATTGGAGACAATAAAAAATATATATACACATATATGTACAACATATATAAATTGAACGATTGTAGTATCGGATACCATGAAGGACAAATCAAAATTGTCAAATCCAAGTTGTATAAAAAAATATATATATAGTACTTCAAAGTAGAGTACTTTCTATTTCTATCAAGGTTATAGTTTTAATTTCTATTTTTTTAAAGTTATAAAAATATATATATACATGTATGTGTAACATATATAAATTGGACGATTGTAGTATCAGATACCATGAAGAACGATTAAAATTGTCAAATCCACGTTGTGTAAAAAAAAAATATATAGTACTTCAAAGTAGAGTACTTTCTATTTCTATCAAAGTTATATTTTTGTAACTATATTCTCAATAATGTGAATTTTCTTCAAATAATCCACATTCCACTATATTTTTGTAACTATATTCTCAATGATGTGAATTTTCTTTAAAAATCCACACGGCTCATAATTTATCAGTCTCTAGGTTTCATCTACGTATTAAACTGGACAACATGGGAAATATTCCCCCAACTCAAATGTCCAAAAATTAGAAAATCCCCACCAAATTTCGACCAGAAACTCTCCACAAAGAGAACCCCCACGAGTCTCCCTTAACGTGTTAGCCGTGAAACGTAGCTCTCGAAGCATCTGGGCGAGACGAATTTATTAGTAGACGATATATCCGCCGCAAACGATGCACTGTCATGGAGGGAGTGGGATAGAGAGGCAAGTACCCTCATCTTGTTACGTGGAATCGTTGAACAACCATTGGCTAGGAAACGATCGGTTGTACGCTGCCTTTAATGCCATTAGCCCCTTTATACGATAGCTATCGTTATTCGATGCGGTGGATGGATGGTGATGTCAGCATTCCATCACCCCAAACCATGATATCCAGACTGAGAGAAGCCATCGATAGTAGTAGTTCAGGCTATACGCCTATACGTCACGTCTATACGTTTACGAATATCAAGATCCACTGCCATCGATTCGTTTGCCTCTACGTTCCACCCTTTTGCCACGTGCGTTGGCCACCACTTGATTTACAAACCGTTTCGAAACGAATGATGCCGTCCGAGGGAACGTCGAACGTTTCCCTCCTCTCCCAGGTTTACTCTGATCGAGCGTATTACACGAACGCTTAAGGTGGTTTGTAAGGGGATCGTATACCCAACAAAACCCCCTCTCGATAGGGTGTATTTAACCCTCCGTTATGGCCTGCGACTTGAGAAAACGGAAATGGCGGATCGAGTTCGAGAATCTGAATCCCGAGTCCCGCTTGTTTTCTTTACGTTGTCTTGTTTGAACAAGCGAGAGTGCAATTTTTAGGGGTTAGAAGTAAGTGGGAGGGGTTGAAGAGATGGGAGATTTGGGAGAATGTCTTCAACTATTGAGTGGAAAAATTGTAACACGAGACGGATAACTGGCTATTTTGTGCAATTAAATTTTTTTAAGATGAAATTTGTTTGTCCGTTGTTTGATTAGAGTGATATAGTTTTTGAGAGTGAGATGCTCTGACCTTTCAGGAAATTTAGGAAAACGGTAAATATAGTATTTTATGGAATTGAATTTCTTTGGAGTGAATGGAAAAATTTGTTAGTGATAAGAGTGATGTTAATCCTTTCAGAAACGAAACTTTTGTTTGGTTAACAATCTAATAAGTGTGGTATGTAGTATTTTATGTAATTGAATTTCTTCAATTTGTTTCTTTCTTTCAAGTTCCACCTACTATCTTGGACAACGGCAGGGATTCAACGATCAGTTGAACGACACGACGACGCGTTTCACTTATTTCGCACCGCGCGATTATGCTTGGAACGTGGCTGCCGTCAGTTACCCATCCACTTCGAAAAAAATCTTCATGCCCGAGTTCAGCTATCACGTGAGTGTTCCCTAATGTGTAATTTAATTTAAATTAAACTAATCTTCGTCGTCATTAAAGTCTATTTACTACTTGGAAAAGATTTTCTAAAATTTCCAAGACCATCTGCATTTTTTAAAGAAACTTACGCAATACCTTATATCCGACGAGTATATATTTTATATTTTGTCATTCGACACCCGTTCGAAACGTTACTCGCAATCGCTTCACTTAGAAACGGCACTTCCCGTTTCAATTTCCCGTGAAAACAAATCAACGCAAAACCCGTCCCTTCCACAAATTCTGTTACGTAAATCTGTTTATAGACGAAACAAATCTTGGAACGACACCTCGTGATAGCAGACGAGGCGTACACGATGGCGAAGCTGAAGGAGATGAAGCACAACGACACGATCGTTCTTCCCGCGGCCAGGGACAGCCTGAAGCTTCGTGTCCGGGAGTACAGCGAAAGTGAGTAAAAAAAAAAAAAAAGAAGAATCGCCCTGTTTCGAAAAAGGAAGAAATGATTGTTTGTGAATAAGCACTATTGCAATTAGTACCCTTCAGTATTCTTCAGATACACTCGACGTTTGTTTCAAATTTATTCTTACATCACGTATTAAATGTGTCCGGGTGTATCGTATATACATATATATATATATATTTTTTTTTTTTTCGTTGTTGTTTCTCGTAAACGGATAAAACGAGAGACTTTATTTGCTTCGTGTTCACACGCTCCATACCTTAGGAGCTCTGTCTGTTCATTTTCAAACCTGGTGCTATTTCGTTACGTTTAGATGAGAAGTACGACGAAAACATGATCCGACCAGAAACTTTCGGTGAGTGAGTTCAATGTTTAGACGTCGCCGATGAGCGACGACACGTGCTTGACACCAGTACGAGCTCTGCGCACATTATTTGTCAGTTGTTTGTGAAGGGTTCTTCGCACTTTCACGCACCGTGTTTAACGCGCGTACACTTCCAATCGCGTGTAACTTCTCACAAGCGAAATTTATTATCGAGATGAACGACTCGTTTGTTTATACATGCGATAAATTGGATGAACGTGAAGATCGAGCGACGAATACTCTGCCAAACGTTTCTGGCGATTGTTCTCCACGAGGCGCGTTAGTCTCATCGTCCAAATTTTACAATCGAATTTTATATTATTTGATTGAAGTGAGTTCACCCGCGGATCGATACGAAAAGTCCTGAGAATGAAGTTCTGAAACGTTTTTTCGTTTCTTTACGCTTGTCGAAACGATTGTTAATAAAATCGAATGAAATATTTCAATGCAATTCATTCTTACATAATTTACTCGAGCTGAACGGAATTTAAATATCAACATATTACGAATGACTTTGAAATTTCTGTCTTCGTTTGTCAAGATACTTTGCCAAAGTCCAATGAAAAAATAGTCGAAGAAACTATTAATAATTATTTTAAAATGAATGACATAATGACTCTAAATTATCATTGATTTTTTAAATTATTAAATAAAAAAAAGAGAAGATGTAATATTTTGAACTCCGTTCTTCATTCTGAGAACTTTTCCAAATGACCCAAGTAATCGAGAACTCCTTGCATTTCGAAATTCATGCATTTATCGTTTCCAATTAGAAACACACATTATTACAATTATTACACAAGCATTTGACGCAAAGGAAGACACGAGACGACTTGAAGTATGAGAAATTCGAATGAAAAAAGATTCGAGAGTCGTTTGATCACGTGTCCTCGTTCACACGACTACAAACACGTATATCTTTTCCTTTACTGCGTTCGAATCTGATCAAGTACGCGCGTTTCATACAGTCTCAGTGCTTAAAAAGAATGCTTCTTTGTTCTCAGAGTTTTGTAGATCGCGCTTCTTCACTTATTCACAAATTGTTCACGTTGTTGCTTCTTAATCATACGTGCGTGCACGACCAGCGATATAACTTTTCTGTCCAGTTTGGGCCTCGTTCGAACGAATCGAACTACCATCAGCGTAGATAGACGCAGCTTTCTCTTTATCTTTCTCTTGAGAACGTTTCAGCTTTGTTTCTTTGGTTTCGGTAAGGTAAAAAAAAACTCGGTGATTGAATTCGTCGTTGCGACGATAGTGCTCGCTGTACGCGAAACAATTCATTAATTGGTTGCTGATACGATACGTACTTGTATCTGATCGTTGTTGATGAATTTTCATTTAATTCAATTTTTTAACCTGGCGAACTTTGACTATGGCAAACTTTTTGGATGTGCAATGCCAGTAAAACCGAAATTGGTAGATTAAATTTTGTACTTTGGAAGACGAAATAATTGCTTTTGTTGCCTCTTTTAACTTTTTAAACAAAGAAAGTTAGATACAAGTATGGAAGTTTATTAGTTAAAAGATGGAAAGAACTATTTTTTGCTGAGAGACATAATGTGAAAGAATGAGATACCTAACTCTCTATCGTGAATAAAATGAATTAGATTTTATCTTCGTATGTTCAATTGTTTGAGAGTTCGTTCGTTCAACATTAAATTAGTCGTTCAATGATGAATTAATCTGAATGAGTTTCCGTATCATATATTTTCAAATCAAGTTAATAAATTTCAGAAACACCATGCAAGTTCAATACTGTTCAAAAGATCCACATAACCAAGTATTCAATCTCTACACATTTCTTTAAGCGTTTGAAGAAAAATTTTGTACAAATGAATATCTGCTATAAATATTTCGATAGGTAAAGAGATAGGTATCTCAGACGATATTTTCCATCACACGCTAGAAGCTCGATCTCATCTCAATTCTTTCCCCGTCATTCGCGTCAAGCGATCATTTATTTAGGAGCAAAACAGTTGATTACGATCGAGACACGAAATTAATAACGTGCTGAGTTTTACAGATTGCGCCGTCTATTGTAACACTTAATTATTTGAACAATAGCACGGTGAGTATCCTTGTGATTTTGCAAGAAAAACCGGGCCGACACGCGCCGTGCGCATACTGCTTGTTGTTCGCTTGAACAAGTCGATTAAGCTTGTTAGAGTAAAAACGCAGGACCAGCTTTCCCGGTGTGAATGCGATTGAATCATGCAGTCGTGCTCATCGTCGCCGTCGCGTCGTCGCTTTTTCTACGAAAAACTGTCCCCCATTGTACGAAAACGCTGATGCAAACGTTAATATCGAATTTCCCGAGTTTCCACGTTCGCTGATTAAATATCAAGAGTCAATAAACGCTCGGTGTTTCATTATGTTTTTCTCTTCTTTCGTTTAATTTTAAACTCAAGACTTGCAAGAATCTACAGGAGTGAACCTTTTGTCACTGAACCGTGTCATTTCGTATATTTGCGTGAATTTCGCTTCGAAACGAGCCCATTACTCTGAATATTTTATATACAATTTTGCATTAAAATTGCAATTAGTGCAGAAAAATTTGCAGTCCAATTATCTAGTCGAGACCCTTTGGTTTGACAAAGTTGGATTTTTAGTGACGCACTTTGTTTGTTTCTTTCTTTTCTCAGAATACCTCCAATACTTTCGCTTTTTTCCTTGTTGTAAATAAGATATTAAAAATTTTCATTTTCACGTATAAATTAACAAGCGATTAAAAATAAAGCATCTTTAGAGAAGAAAAGTTGACAAATGACGGCAAAAAGTACGGGAAATGATCAAATAAAGTTAGAGGTATTATAATTTGTTCGTTATCTCTCACCATACGTGTTCATCGCTGTTCGTTCGAACAGGATATCAGTTTCGGCGTAAATTCGTATTATACCTGTTCTCCATATGAGAAAATACGAGAAGATGAGAAAAAGCTGCGGATACGGGGGATAGATGCGAACGGTTGGCGCACGAAATATATTGGCTGCCATTTCCTTTTCGCTACGATAAATGGACGTGACGAACGCGAAACAGAACGATATGGACACCTGTAAATTGTCCTCAACTCTAGTTATCTATGGCCGGTTTTAATTTACACGCTTTTTGCGGCGAGCTTTCTGCGCCACGTCCTCCATTCTAAAGTTCGTTTCCCGGCAGATTCGTTTCAAAGGATTCCTATGGCACACCATCGTGCGCGTAGAAAAACCTTTCGTACGCATACGAAGGAGCATTACAAACGGAAAATATAGAAACTTTTCAGTGAAAGTTTAAAACATTTCGTCAATTTGTTCAACGTGTCCGGGTTATCTATTAATGAATCTGTGTATTTGTAATTTTTCTCACAGTAAAACGAACAACCTGAACAAATGATAATCGAAATTATCGAAGATCGTAAATTTTGTTTTGTTTTAAAATATAGTCTAATTAATACTGTTGAAATATTTTTCTAAATAGTCCCTCTAGTATAATACGTGACACGTTTTCTAAACTTGTATACTGGACTATTAAAAGTCTGACGAGTTTTTTAAAATTCGTCGCTGGAAAAAAAAAAGGAGAAAATTCTTCGCCACAAATTTAATATTCAATAAAGAAGCGTAGAATCGCATAGATTCGGTTGAGCAATTCGGTTTTCGATACACGGTAATTTGGTGGTTTTCCGGGCACTCTCGGCGCGCTCGGTGACCGACGAAGAACGTGCACAATTATGGGCTGAGACCGCAAGACGATTTATTATGCACCTTTCGACCACCATTTAAATGCAAATTCCTTGATTACCGCCGGTGCTAATTGCTACGTGCTTCGTTCGGCCACGAGTCGCGCGAATTGCCGACGCGTTTTCCCGACGAATGTGTTGCACAGTTTTATAAATGCGAGCCGATGAACGCGCGACAGGAAAGGGGAAAGCACTCAGGGACGGCGAAACGTAAAAACGAGCGGTAATATCGAAAGAAATAATTAAGCAAAGAGAGAAACAGGAAGATAATTGAATCGCGCGAGAGCAACCATGAGCGTAAAATTGCAGATGAAAGATACCGGTGCACATCTCTAGGAGAGAGAGAGAGAGAGAGAGAGAGAGATATGAAAATGTAATAACCGGTGATAACTTGAAAAAGAGAGGGACAAAGAGACAGTCATCAGCCTGGTTATCTTGTTTCCTATTTTCGAGACCTCTGCTTTAAACGAATCTCTCTGGCTTTTATGCTGGTAATTTCGCGATATCGTTCGCGTTTTAACAAGTATAATTTTAAATAGATTTGTCATCTTCGTTCATGTTAAATATTGAAACACACTGATCTCCCGTTGAACGTAACATTTGTTCTATTTTGATAATTCCGTTCTTTTGAAATACAAATAATATATAAGAAGATACATAAATTATTATGATTACGATACGAACGTATCGCGGTCTGACACAAGCTGGACGTTTCTACTTACGTGCTCTTATATATAAATTATTTAATATATATTTATATTAATGACATATATATATAAATTATTTAATAATAATATACATATATATAAGTAAATTATTTAATAATATATTACACTACGAGCGTAATCAAAAAAATGTTAGAAAATTGATCTCGATCTTTTTGATTGTATTGCAATTACGCCGCGACAACCAGTCGTCAGTCTCGATTAATTTTCTTGGATCGAACGATACTCGCAACTCTAAGCATCTGCGTAACTTTTTCAGATCGACACCATACTCAAGGCTTTCCAACTAACGATAGATTAACCTACCCAGTCAATTAATCTAACTCTTTTTTCTTTTTTTCTTCTTAAACTTGAACAAATACATTCGCTACATGCATTTTGCGTTCCTTCTGTTCCATAGACTGAGAACTTGATTTTTCAAGCGCAATTTAGCGTCATCCGCGAGATTCATGCTCGACAAGTGACACGCTACCTACTGGAGTTTTGTCCATCGCTGCAAACATCGCAACTCGCTTCGTTCATCCGTCCCGTCAGATCTATCTCGTCGGTTCCAGATCAACCTTTTTACACGGGATTCAGCCGACACGACTTATCGATCGTGACCGTTTCTCTTTACAGGTTACCAGATCGAGTGGGAGGGCAACTGGATTCGAGTGTTCCGCCCGGACGTCGAGTGCACCAACGGCATCATCCACGTGATCGACGCGGTGTTGCTGAAGGACAGCGACGTGAGGGTGACCGGTGCCGCGTCGGTCACCAGCCTGGCATCGCACTTGATCATAATCCTGGTGGCCAAGTGGCTGCTTTAAGGACGAGTCTCCACCGCGAGTCTCTGTCATAGGTGCACCTAGGAATTTATTTCGGGACCGTCTCCGATCGTCCTCGTTCGAGAAACACGTGCAGTCCACGAGATTTCGGATCTCGGATCTCGTCGTCGCGAGGAAATCGTCGAACGTCGACGATCGTCTGTCCTTGTTCCGACTCTGTTCTCGAACGTTCGAAGGGATCAGAGCGTGGTCCGCGATCTCCCGAAGTGCAAGCTGCGCGAACTGTGGGTTCGTTGCTTTCGTCTCGCTTTTGAAAAAAAAGAAAAGAAAAAAAGAAAAAAAGAAAAGGGAAGGAAAGAGAATAAATGCTCCCCTAAATGTGCTCCCTGAAGCGAAGAAACCGAGGCACGACGGATCGGGGACGATCCTGAATGAGAGAGCGACTTCGTGTTGTGACTCTTGGCCTGATCCACGCGAGAGGATTTACCGTGATTTCCGTTTCGATCAGCCAAGAGCCTAACCGACCGATTAACAAACGTGGACGAAGCTTAAAACGGGAAACGTACTATTTAGCAGTTTCAAAGTCGAATTACCGTCGTCAGTAACGGTTCGCTACAGAACGTGCAGGTGTTATTACGGTGTAACGATAGAGATTCGATATTGATTTGAAGTTTTATCGTGTCGATAGGAATCGTCTCGCGAGGATCTTCGATGAAATAAATAAATCTCATCGACGAGACAAAGAGGAAGATGAGAAAACGGCGATCGCGCGAATTAGAGAGTACGTCGCTGGTCGTACCAAATGATTAATTAACCGTACCAACTGAGTAAGTAATTTAGAAGAAGACGAGAAAAAGAGAACTTTACGAACGAGAGAGAACGAACGTGGAGGTGGAGCAGAGATTTCGGGGAACCTTCTTCGAGTACGAGGGCAACGAGGGTTGGCGGAGTTCTTTTTTTTTCTTTTTTTTCTTTAGAGCAATTCTATTCAATTTCTCGTCACGCCGACAGAGAGTAGCACGTTTCTTTCGACTTTGTCTTAGCTTTTTTCCTCGATTCAAGCTTTACTGACTTTCGTGTAAATTATACACGACTGATTTTACCTAATGCTGGCGTTCCTCTTTTCTGAACGACCTAGGATTACACGACCATACGAAAGTTCCACTGTCGAACTATCGAACATTCAACCTTTGTCCTTTCTATACAGATATATTTTAGATGAACACGCAGGTGCATAGGTGACACTTGTCTAACGTGTCCCGCGTTTAACGTCAGTTCGGATCGAACGCCGTCGATCATTCAGGCCATAAGAACCTCTTTTTTCGTACGAACTAACGTCTCGCCTAATTATGGTACTTCAATTTCATTGACAATGATACGCTATAGTTCTGTGTGTATGTATGTATGAGCGTCATTTCTCTTGGCGTATAAATTGCGCGCCGAGGTATACGAGTCGCCATCTTGCCGATATCTCTCGAAGAATCGAGTGAAAACTGGCTCGATAAGAATGATATTATCTACACGCACGGTCCTTATTGATGCTATATTGGGAAACTGTATACTCTAATTAATAAAAATGTAATTTGAGTTACTGAAGTATAATTTTTCTCGAATTGATAAACGTCATTGATCGTAATTCTTTAAGCTACTTCAAGTATAGCAGAATTTTCATTCAATTTAGACATCGATTTTCCGAGAGGATGATCAAGTTGATTGATTGTATGTCGTATGGTTATCGAATAATTTCCAAAACGAATGACAATTTTTTACAAAAATAGTTTGCAACAGTAAAAAAAAATTAGACTATTTAAATGACGAATTGTAGTCTCTCAAAAATACAAAATTGTGTCTCAATAAATGGAATGCCGCTATAAATTTAAACCAATTTGTTAGGTGAGTCTTTCCACATTGAGAAGTGACTAGACAACCCAAGAGACAGAGTTATCCTCCCTGAAAAATATTTAAATGAGAAACAAGAATGCAGTATCCCACTATAGTAGTCTATCGGGTCTAAAAAATTCTCTTAAACTGAAGGAACGAAATTTTTCAAACGATCAATCGACATCGTTGCCCTTCGACGCGCTGTTTCGCGCTTTGGACGTGACTTCCAATTACACTTGCTCTCTCTGTATCATATCGTATTACACTGTCTACTTACTGATAATACTGCCACGTCTCATTGCAAGCCGAATCGTGCTTGCGAGCGAGTTTTTGTACAATTATCGTTGAAAGAAGCGGGAGCTTTACCCAGTAGAAGTGATTCGATCACATTCCGACGTTGTGCAGACTGTTTGAACGAATTTCCGCCATTTTTGAGGTACTTTCAAAACAGAAGTTTCTTTCTTGGTTTGAAACGTTCGCTGTTACCACGATTATTTTACTTGTTGTAAAATTTTAATTGCAAATATGTGTATTGGCACGACTGTCATCGTGTTTCTAAATTTGCAATTTTTTTTTCTTTATACAAAGATTGAAAGAGACTGGAGAGATGGGTCTTGAAGTGAAAATAATTGTTTTAACAGCAATAAATGTATTAATATATCGTGTTTGAACTGACTAATTAATGTATTAATGTCTCGTGTTTGAACTGACTAGTTAATTATAAATTCAAGTGAAAAACTGTGGTCCTTTTGTTGTGCTTCGCTATTGTGGTATCAAAGTCTGAAACGAAAGCAATCCTGTTTGAACTATTCCAACGAGTAATAAATGTACAAAACTCTGAAACGAAAATAGAAATAATAAGTACGATACTTAAGTATGAATTTTCATCCATGCTGCAATTATAATTGATTTTTTTCAAGTTGCAAGATTGGGGATGAAATGGAAAATATGGGATACAAGTAAATTTATAAGTGATTGCAAACACTGTTACAAGAAAATTGTACGAGAGAAGCTTTTGTCTTGCAATTTTCCTCTTTCACTCGGATACTCGTTCAAGCAGTCTACACAACACGTAAAATACTCATTCAGGAACTTTTTGTTTTTTTCTTTTTTATCGACTGTACAGTGCTATATAAAATATATCTATACATATACATTATATAGGATCATCTGTGTCAATGCACCGTGTCACAATCGAGATTATTCCCCGGATTTGTATATTTTGTTTCGACTTTCGCTGTTCAGTTTGATCTTTCGCTGTCTCGCATCCTCCACTCTTTGACAACAGTCTCTAATAACCAATTACAATTTAGCGAGTAATTCTACTAACAAATTAAATAATATCTATATACATACGCAGTAGCGAGGGATTGAACTGCAACCACGTTATCCAAAACCAGAGGAAAAAAACCCGAAAGCAAATGACACATCACAGTTCCATTCCACCATTAGTAAGAGCTTAGCTAGGTGTGTAGAAGTAATTACAAGAATCGCGCGTGTCTGTTAAAACGGAGAATAGGTACAACATGAGCTATGAGAACCATTAGAGACCAGATAGAAGAACCTGAGTATTCGAGGGTGAACAAAAAAAAACGCCTCGAAATTACATTTATCCTCCTGCAGGATAAAATAGAAAAGGGGGGAGGGGAGGGGGGGGGGAACAGACGAGTAGAAAATAGCGAAAGAGTCGTTCAGCAATCGAAACGCCGAAACTAAAGAAAACGAGGGGGAGCGATGAACGATCGGATCGGTCGGGTTGTTCCGGTTGTTTTGCGCGCGTTAGTTACAAAAAAGGAAGGAAACATGAGAAAGAAACAGAAAGAGGACGAAATATAAAAGACTTGTAATTAAGAGATTCATTCAGCAACCCCGCACTTTTCTCCGCGAAAAAAAAAAAAAAAATGGAATAATGGGAAAAAGGAAAACGGATTAAATAGATGAATTCGATGTTATACGTGTTGATATCAGTCTATACATATATATAAAAAATAAAAAAGGTAAATAAATATAAATAAATATAAATATATAATAAACAGAGAGATATATTGACGAGGAAAGAAAGTACGATTGAAAAAAAAAAGAAGACGAAAAGGAACTGAGAGATAGAGAGATATAGAGAGTACGAGAGAAAGAGAGAGAGAGAGAGAGAGAGAGAAAGAGATAAAAACAGAAAATATAGTACTATCAAATGATACCTTAAAACTTGTTGTTGGGATGAATTGATATTATGAATTATTATTATTATTATTATTACATATATAAATATACATAAACTCTAAATAAACCACTGTTTGTTCGTTAGACGAGAACTTAAGATTGAAAAGCGAAAAAACAACAAAAAAAAAAAAAAAACGAATAAAATAAATAGCGAAACTCTATTTCCTCGTGTAGATGCGTCTTTAATATTCAGCTTGTTCAAGCGTAACGCCGAAACGAAAAAAAAAAAAAAAATCGCATGTTCGCAGCTATGTCTGGGGTTGTAAATCGTGTGAATGGAAATGCGAGAGACAGGATTTCGAAAAAGGGAATGTCGTCGCACGGAACTCCGCGAAAGTGTCACACACACGCTAGAGAAGGAAAAAAAAAACAGCATATCCGACGTTCCCTTGTGTTCCTTCCGACGTTTTCTTTTAACGGAATCTGGCGAACCCGTTTTCGTCACGTTTTCACGGCTCGTACACTATTGAGCACAAATTTTTGAACATTTCATACGATTTGATAGAAAACCATTGATATCTTTTTTGTTATTTCAGAGATATGGCCGAAGAACGTTTTTTTCTCTATTGTTGACTATGCTTATGCTTTGCTACGTTTAACTTGCTAATAAGAGAAGATGAGATAATTTCTTCATTTATAGATCGCCTATTCTTTTTTTTTTTTTTTTACTGTGTTGTATTGTTTCTTTTGAAAATAAGATATAAATGTAAAAATGTAAAAATCAAAGTTTATCTCCACGTGGAATTAATTTGTTATTTTAAAAAATGACATAGCTCTCAAATTATATTGTGAAATTATGGTTAAATAGATTTTTAACATTGTGAAGTTTGATTAATATTTTCTTTATTACTATTTCTTGCTTCACTCAATAGTTGTACAATCATACGCTAAGAACCATGGAAATTCTTTCCGTGATTTTTATTTCGTAACATATATTAAATATATTTTTGTACCTCATCAGTTTTTAACAATTTATCATTAATTTTTAATAACTTTAGTTATTTCTCCAGATCATTTTTAATGCAGTACTGAATCATTTCATCTGAATTTTACCTGTCGACAATAATTCGGAAATGTCCAAATATTTACGGTCAGTAGTGTGCACTATTTTAAACAGAAAAACATGACGAAAATCTTGGCTAACTCTGAATATATACGATAAATCTCGCGAATCGAAACGATGAAAAATCGTGGATCGGATTGAATTATCAAAAAGAAGAAGAAGAAGACGAATCGAGTGAATACACTCGAGATACCTATAGATTCAGTTGCATATCCAAACGTACAGCATACAATACGCCTCTCAGCTCTTTTTTTTGTCAGTTTTGCTGTGAAAATGAAGAGAAAAGTCGAAGAATTTTGGAAGTTGGATTGAGACATATGTCGAAAGTAGCGATATATCGGAAAAATTGTACAGTTCGACGAGAATATTCCCTCGCGATTTCAAAAATCACCGGGGGAGGGTGTCTCGTTTGAAGAATTGTTGCTATTTGAAAGGGATCTTTAATTTTAAACAGAACGAAATTTTTGGTACTAAATAATTGTATAATCGTCATGAAGCACGTGATACGAGTAATAATACATATTAGGGAAGACAGTTACACCAAGTGATAACTGTTTTATTATTAAAGAGAAAAAAGGAACACGTCTTGATCTTAAGAATCATCAAATTGAAATTTCATGTAATATAATGATTGGGAAATATATGGTAAATTATAGGGATTCAAATGAAATTTAACTCATATCAGAGTTTCGTTGGAAATCTCTTTGTCCTTACACAAACTTGTCTTCACTTTGTTACTGTCCCTTCGTATTTTTCATGACACGTTCGATACGACAAATTTTGATACTTGAAATGTTTACACGAATAATAAGGAATTGAAAAATATAATATATACATATATATATTTATATATACACATTAATTGTGAATAATTAAAAAGTACTTGATTTGTGAAAACCGCTCTTTGATTCAAGAAAATTTCAAGCAAACCTCGGTGTCTCTTCGTTTATGCAAATTAAAGAATTCCTCGAAGAGAAGGGAGAATTCGGAAACTTCTTTAATAGTCTAAAAGTGCCATTTACATTATATCAAAGAAGATGATTTTTTTTTTTCCATGATAAACGTACCAAAAAATTAAGAAATCCTCGTTCTATAAACTTGAAGTTCGAGTAAAAATTGAAATAAATGTTCTCAACTTGTAGAAGAGTGCGAGAAAGTTGAATAGTCTGCAACGATTGATTGAACAGTCACCGAGGATCTCGTATTTTAGTCCGCTGACCAAAGAACTAGGCGTGTAAAGCAATCGACGATTCATTTTTCTCGCGTTCCTCGATATTGATTCAGTTCGTTCTTCGCGTGATAATTGATCGACAAATTGATCGAAGAGAACTTCCTTCCACATGATTATGTACATTTTGTAGATATGTACGTTTCTACGACAGGGAGAAATGCCATTGCGTTTGATAGTCAAATTTCGAATCGGACTTGTCCCCTACGTCCCCAGAATATTCGTTCTCAGCGGTTCTCGTTTATTTCAAATTCATTCGTTCGTGAACTGATAAAGAAAGAAACTAACATTTGCTCTTGAGCTTAACCGTAGCGCGTTCGTTCGCAAAGGGGATTTTCATATTTCGAAAACAAATTATTCTCAATAGCAGACAAAAACTTTTGTAAAAGTGGCAAATTGTTATATTATTCAGTATTGCTTCTTATGTATAAAATTCACTTTTACAATGAAACTTAACTTGCCTGTCCTCGCAACGACCACTTGATTATCTAGAGTAGAGCGACATTGAATTTGAAATATTCAAATAGAGTCGCAAATATTTTAATTACATTCGAATTTTGATTTACGATACGAGGATAATGGTAGTCTCCCTCGAACACACTACATTTTGATTCTGATAAACGTAAGGGAAAAGAGATTCGTACCAATCGTTCCTCGAAGTAATCATTTTGTCACTGTCATTGTCACTCTGTTATTATCATTATCGATTTTAAGATACGTAAGAAGTTATTGTCTGAATTATTAGAAACTAGCGGTAAGGCTATCGCTCGCAGGAACATAGACGAAAATAATCGCGAACATTCAGCTCCGTATGCACGTTTCCTACTTAGGTACCTATACATCACACGTGTCTATAGAGAGTAATTCTCAAGTGGGTCGCTGAACTTTGAGAAAGTATTTTAGTGACGCTGAGGGTGAATTTAAATCTCGCGTAACTAATTTTGAGCTATACTTCGTTTACATTATTTACATATTACATCCACGAAACAAACTTTAAATATTAAATTGTTAAAAATAATGTGAATTTCTTCCAAAACGAACATTTATTTAGTATCTATCAGTCTTTCTTAAATCGTGAAATTTCTTCCTAGTATAATTTGTATAATTTTTTAATATATGAAATTAAATTACTTCTTATTTCTCACTTTAATAATTTTGCAATTATTATTTCATTACGTGTCCCAAAAATATTATCCAGAAAATGTATCAGCTATTGAGCTCGTAGGACGTTTACCACAGAACACGTGAAACACTGCACCAAAGTTTAGCCCTGCATAGAGACGTTTCTTACACCGAGCAAACCTCGATTCTCTCCATTCTCATCGTCGTGAATCCTTTCGAGTCGCGCGTTTCCTTCAGCCACGTGTTTGCCATTTGCATTTATCTTACCACGGACGATCACGATTGTCAAATTTCTTCCGATCAACATCGGTCACAACGTAGCAAGGATTTTTCTTTTTTCCCAGTTATTCGCAACCGTGCAGCAGGTGATTTAAATGCAACTAGTAACTACCGTACATGGCGTCGCGTAACGTGAATCATTATTAAATAAGGGTAAAGTAGCTGATAACGAAATAACATACGAAAGAGGAGAGAGAAGAACGGAGAGTTTGTTCTTTTCTGAGAAAAAAAAAAAAAAAGAAAATCGCGGACGATATGAGAAAACCTAAGATACAATAAGTGATTTAATATTTTAAGCGTTGGATATAGGTCAAGATTTAAAAAAAAAAAAAAAAAAAAGCGGGATTTAACTAATTGAATTTAACTAATTAAATTTAAATAAGGATTATTTATTAGCTATTATATATATATATATTATATATATAATATATAAATATATATGTATATTATATACCTATATTATAGTAGGGAAATCAAATTTTACGTACCACAGAGCTATTTGTACAAAAGCCAATTTTTATTTCTGTCGTTCTATCATGAATTGATGATTGCGGTCGCTCGATATTTCGATTGCCAGGCAGTGCAACACACGATAATCGTTTAGGTAATACATACACATAATATACATAATTATATTTTAGATAATTAACCAGCAGAGGATTCTAGTTTTCTTCTTATAGGTCTTAGGTGTACGTGTATTACATTTGTCTGTATCTTCAGAGTTAAACGTTAAGTTCCTTTTCTTTCCTCCCCTTCCTTTCTCTTCTTTTTCCTCGAAATCACGCGGGGGACAGCAGAGAAGCCTCTTGTGTAAAATTTTTACGAAAGAATTCGCGCATTTCGAGCCACCTGAATTCGCAAGTGTGTGTGTGTGTCTGTATTCGTTGGGCGAACGACGCGACATCAGTGCCGAATAATAATAATAATAAGATTATCTCTCAAAAGTACATATAGATAAAAAGTACATATATACATAAAAGTAAAAATAAAAGGATAATGTAAATTAAAGGGAAGAAAAGTTTTTTGTGTTTCTTAGTCTATGAACATCGTAAAGAACGGAAAACGGTACTTCGATCGTCGTTTGCCCGATCGTTGAACGATCATGTCACTTGTATCTCGCTTGACTACACTGTGTAGATTGTGGTCGCTTACGCTGTATGATTTTACAAAGAATAAAGAACACTTATAAGATAGTTTAAGTGGGTTTCGTTGATTGAAGCGCGTTTTCGCGTGAACGGAAGCGTATATCGTGTTTGAATAATTTTTCAGACCTCGCGTCGCGAAATCACACACCGACATTTACCAAGCAAAGTATATACAACTACGAAATTATTTTAGCATGGTATACACGTATTTAGTAACGAAACGAAATGTCCACGAGTCGTTCAAGAAAGAAACGCGAATATCTATATGTTTTTAAATTTTTGCATCGTAAATTATGATATTATTTTGGCTGTATAATTTTACAAAAAATAAAGAACACTTACGAGACAAGTTTAAACAAACGTTTATTCATTCTTTCAGAGAAAACTCCCCGCCTGACGCAATCGGGCTACCCGATCACTATTCCTATATTTCCAGTATCCATTCGAACTCACCTATTTCACCAGACCCAAATTTGAAATACTCGTTTCTCGACTCAGCTCTTATAATGACGAATCGAATCAGGATCCCAAAATTGTAATTTGAAATGTTTGGATTCCCGCAATTTTGGGTCAAGTTTGAACATAAGTGATTAAGATGGCTTTTAATTCTGTACTTTCCGTACTGAATTCTGTTCTTCCATCTCCGGATTCAAAATGATTTTCGTATTTTTTAGATTATAAAGAAAAAATTTTGAGCGGAATAATAATGTTTTATAAGTTCCAAAGATACGTTCGCATTAGATACATACATAAGTGCACAACGAGCTTCTCAAATACAAAGCATACTGTACGTGGCAAAAAATTAACTTAACGGTGAAAGTTTCAATCTTGTATTGTTCTATTTTTAACTGCAATCTTGTATTGTTCTATTTTTAACTGCTAAAATAATAGATAATAATTGCATTTGATCAGAAAACTGGATTAGTTTCATCTTTATATATTTTTATCATTTTTCACAAATCGTTCTTTATTGTATTAATATTATTATTAATATTATGTTAGAATAATTTTATGTATTCGATTTCTTATCGGAAGCTTTTACTTCGATTAGATAAAAGCTTTTCCTTTTTCTATTTACAAACATAATACTTAATATTAGATTATTAGTTAAGTTTAAAATAAATTTTAATTTTTGACTATTTTTAAATGTGATATTATTGAAAGTATTTATTATTATTTGATACTATTTCATAATCATACAATATATATAAATTTAAATAAAAAAAGAAAAATATAAATCCTCCCCGACGGGGAATCGAACCCCGGTCTCCCGCGTGACAGGCGGGGATACTAACCACTATACTATCGAGGAATTTCTGTGAATTTATATTTTTTGAACGATATTATTTTTAAAAGTTTTATGTTATTTTTATTTTTTAAATTATAAACAATGTTATCAAGGATTTTGTATTTAAAACTTTTGTTTCAGCTAAGATATCTTTTTCAAAACTAAATAAATTTATATCTACATTAAGCTTCGTTTTATTTGTGACAACTTATGTACATCATTTAAGAGGCAAATGTATTTTCTTTCTTTTTTTATTTTCTATCAATATTTCTATACTTGGCATATTTTAAATTATTCATAAATTAAATTATAATATCATTCTTAATATTTCTAACAAATGCAAAGTCTTTGTAAATTTTTTCTCATTTCTTTCTTTCATATTATTATTAATTTCAGCAAATTACTCATTAATAGAAATTAATATCATCATGGTACAATTACAGAGATATTTCCTGCTGAATAAATAATAAGACTAGTATTGCTCTTCATTATTATTATTACAAAATTTTTATATGTGACATGAAATAAAAATTACTAGAAGGACTTTTTAGGTTATGTAGGTTCAAACGAAGAAAGATGGCGTATATGTAAAATTCTATGATATTAAATGTGTGGTTGGGTTTGTGTCAAGTAAATTGGATTGTGGAAGGTTATGTTCGTTGTAGCCTCAAAGAATAAAATATTGTACTTGTAGTGTTAAATTTGTTGGAAGTATTGTTAAAAAAATTAAAAGCTATAGAGAATATTGATTCAGCATAAAAAATAATAATGAATAACTCAAAAAACGTAATTCGTTCATTTTTCGGTTTTAGTACGTTTGTTTTTTTTCTTTATTGCATGAAAGTGTCAAGTGTACTAAGTGTACCAACAGCCCAAAACATTATAAATGTAATGAAAAATGATACCGAACTCTCCTGTAAAATACCAACATTTTTGTACGAAAACAATATTATAGCAGATTGTCATGATGTAGCATATCCTGAAGGACAGAATATCACTTATCAACATGATTTAAAGTCCATGAATACTTTTTTATGTTTGGCATTTTATGATACAATATATAAAGTCTGTCACTCTAGTCAACATTATAAGTATCTTACTAATATGACTACGTTTTACTCATATATCTATGATTTCTTCCCTGGAAAAGAAGAAAGTGACCAAACTATGTTTTGTAAAAATATCAAGGATATTAAATTTGCATATAAAAAAGTGGAACCATTGTTATCACATGTACATTTGAATAATTCTCATACATGTTATTCAATATGTTTGGATATGTCAGAAAAATTTGTTCCGCTTTGTGCAATACTAGCATGGAATAAAAATATTGATGATACAAAACAAATAAATACGAATTTAGAAAAAGAGCCTGAAGATGTATTGAGTACAAAGATAAAGACAAATCACGAGACAGAAGAACAACAGTTTCAAGTAGCAGATAAAACTTTTAATAGAATGTCAAAAGAAAATACTGATAATACTAAAAGTAAAATAGATAAATCTTCCACTATAAATGTGTTATTACCAAAAAAGCAAAACAGTGCTAAACCTGTTGTTAAATCTAATACCAACAGCTATAGTAACAATCATCAGCAGATTGTCACATATCCAACAGAAAAAAAGATAGAAACAAATGTTGAGAAAGCTGATGTTCCTGAAAATTTAGGCATTGCATCTAACACTGATGATAAAATTGGAGATGAAAAAGTAGAAACTAATCCAGATATAAATAATGGAGCTGGAGGAAATATAAATGATGTTAATGAAGATGTCAAAACAAGTACAATATCAGAAAATACACAGGATCATCAAAATCCTGTTAATGAAGATGAGTGGAGTCAGATGGAAAATGACAAATTACCTATTGGTATGATTTACTTAATATATTTAATTTTTCACTTTTATATATAATCTATTAAGCATTTGAATATAATATTTTATTTTCAGATCCAAGTGATGGAACTGATCAGTCCATTGATACAGACAAAAAACTATGTATGAAAATATTTTATAATTTCTAATATTTTTATGTTAATATTTTTGTTTATATTCAATGTATATTTTTACAGTAGCAGATCAAAATCAACATATACCAGAACCTTCTGAACAGAGAGATATTATACCTCATTATAGCATTAGGACAGATGAAGAGTCCCATTTTTTTACTTACTTCACTGTAGTTTCTTTAATCTCAGTAGCTGCGTACATTGGTTATCATAATAAACAAAAAGTAATTTGTTTATTTTCTTTTAAATAGCTTTATTTATTCATGGCTTGTAAATTTCGCTATTAACGTCTTGATATTTTAATATTGCAGATATTAGCTATTGTATTAGAAGGACGAAGATCACGAAACAGCCGTAGTAGACGACGACCAAGCACTGCTAATTATCGTAAATTAGATTGTACACTAGAAGAAGCAGTTACATCACAGTGTAATGCAAATGTGACCCATGTCATATATTAATGCATGTATCCAACTTTAAAGCTGTATAATAGCACTTGTGTAACATATTTTGTATTCAAGTATACATCCATTATAATATGAGTTTATTTTTGACAAATTAATTCTTTATTAGTGTTCCACTAATTGTTATCATGTTAGAGTTCACTATTACTAAATGATATAGCATCAAGATTACAATAGATAGATTTTTAAATTTTCGATTTATATGTTTTTATTTTTAATGATTTTTCAATATTACTTGTAATTTAGTGTCTTAATTCATTACAAGTACAATAAAAGATTATTTTTATTTTCATTATATTGGTATTATATGAAAAGAAGAATGTTAATCTTATTTATTTTCGAATATGTAATTAATTTTGAACTTGTACTAATATTAATCTTATATAATTAAGAATACGTAATTTTACAGTTTTGAATATATCAAAAATTTTTATTTGCTATTTGTCATGAATCTCCTTTCGGAGCTGAAATTTATTTTACGAAAAAACATACGCATAATATATTTCCAATATTATAATCTATATTTCAGAGAATAATTTCAATATTTTCCAATAATATACATTAAAAAAAAAAACTGAATTAAATTGTTATACCAAATCGAAAGCAATGATGAATGTAAATATTAATATAGATCAATGAAGTACTGATTAAAAAAATGTTATTTACATAATATAGGCTTTCAATTATTTTTTTAACGAATGCTGAATGCAAACATGGTTCGTGTAATATCTCGTTCCTTTTTTTCTTTTCTTTTTTTTATTAGTTTCTAATTAATTTTTTTTATTAGTTTTTAATTAATTTTACTTTATTCATTTTTTTCCACCGGTTGTTATATTTGTTCACACAAAAGCGTTGTATAAGCATACGAGAAATAACACTAGAATTTTATGATACGTTTTTGCAAACAGTTCCTTCGATGATATATATATTGTATATTGCAGTATTAATATACTCTAGTTCTAATTTTTATTTTCAACACAGCATGTGACTAAATGTTATATTCCAAGGAAAACTTTATAATTCTATGTCACACATTCGTTATTTCGAAAATTCGAATGCATTAACATTAATGTGAGACATATCTAAGCAATACTATTTATGTATATGTATGTACTAGATTTAAGTTCTCTCAGTGCACAAAATATTCAGGTGTTTATAGTTATATCTATGTATGTATATCAAACCCGAACCATTCAATTATTGTATATTCATCGAAACTTGTACCAAATTAATTTGTCACGATTGCAAATACCGTCCACTTGTACACACATACGATAAAAATATTATTGTAAGTTCCGACATCGAGTATGTAATAAATTTCGTACAACAAACTGAACATTATTGTACGTATACATTTTCACAAGGATATTTTTCATTGTGAAAAGATTATTGATCGAAATGATGAATGTTTCCTCATTTAATAATGACTTTACATGTTTTTTTTTTTTCAGAAATTTAGAGTGACAATATCATAATTCAATGCACGTGTAATATAGAGCAAGTTGCTGTAATGCTGTAATTATTTTGAACAATAACACGCATTTTTGGTTTGTTGTAATATCCAATTTAAATGTGGACCGATTCTTGTGAATATCGAAATAGCAGCAGTGCTACCACATTTGTTTATGTCCGAAATTATACCTGTTATAAAATAAAAAGTCTTGTACTACTTTACATACATATATAACATAATATAATTTCTAAAAAGTTTATACGATTTATATGTAATAACATAACAGCGGCAAAATTATCGATTACGGCTATTCGAATAAACTTATAAAAATTGAGAAATAATGTTATCGTAAATGATGTACGTACCGACTAGATCATACACTCCCGCATACGAGCGATATTGCACCGAAGAACCTACATCGTTCTGAAAAATATATTTTATGCATAAAAGTCGTTGCAAAATTTTATCACGAAAAGGTAAAAAGAATAAATTACTTTTGACTTATATTTGATAAATCTTTCCTCTAAATCTCTTTATATCTTTTGTGCACTCGAGCGAAAAGTTTCTTTATCTTTAATGTATATAATTAGAGAGTGTCGATATCATATATAAACGACGATGAAAGAGTTTTAACGATAAGTTAATATACCTCGCATACGATAGAGCTTCCACCTAATACTCCAACACAACCTGAATCGTCGTGAAAGTTCATAGAATTTATGCCAGATCCAATACATTCCTCGCGTCCCAAAATTGGAAGGCCTAATTTTCGCGGCCGGCAAGTTTGATTATTGTTCGTGTCCTCTCCTGTGCTTAACGTCCATCCAACCAAAGTTCCAACCTGTCCAAGATAAGTAGAACCTGAAAAATGTAATACACATTTTAATAATATTGTTGTACTCTACAATACACGAAGGATCGAATTTAATGTCAATCAAATCATTATTAATTATAAATTTACCAGGATTTGGCAGACAAATGGGCGATATTCTTCTGTCGAATTTAATCGGTTGGCTCAATTTTATGAGCGCCAAGTTATGAGCGTGTGATTCCATATTATACTCTGGATACAAAATCAAAGATTCAACGCTGACGATGGTCGACGATGTATCCAAATTGCATCGATCGTATTCTCCAAACGATACTTTTACTTCTGGCGTGGTTACACTACAAACAACATCAAGTTGTCGTTTTTAATTAACCAGGCAACAATAAATCATTTTTATTTTCGCTACGAACCCAATAAATGGACTAGCCGAGGATAAAACGTAACGATCGTTTATTAGAGCACCACTGACAAGTAATTTCGATTTCACATGAATATTCGCGAGCCAGGGGAATTCGTGAGACTTTGTATACTCTCCGCCGAGGAATCGCGTTTCACTAGATCGATTTGGCCTTCCGCAAACTGCAAATGACAAACAACAAGTTAGAAAATAAGGTGTAAATCTCTCAATGTACACGACGAAGAAAGCTAAAGCGTCTTCTTACGACAATTGCCGCAAGTTCTGAATCTGCCAAACAGAAAGTCGAGGACGCCTCGCGTCTGTCCCAATTCGTCTTCTTGCACGTTCTAACGAAAGCAACAGACAAATCCTGAAGTACGCTTACATTTGGATTAATCTGAATTTAAATTTGTACTGAATCGAGTCTGAATTACTAAATTGGCTGTGAATTTTCATGCAATTTTTGTGCTAAATTGGTCAAATCTGAAACAGATCATAGATTCTTATGTATTTTTATTAAAGATATAGCAGTTTTTACAAGTTAAAAAGTTTTCCATCTACATTTCATTTTCTATCTTTACGATACACTGTTTGTATAAGTATGAATATAAATTTGCATAAATATTCACAGTCTAATCATCGACTGACAATACGACACGGATAAAAAGAAAAGAAAGAAAACAATCGCTTACAGATGAATTAAATTTACTGCAGTGAATGGACCTCGAGATGAGCACCAACAGCAAACCACAAACGAGATGTTCAACGAAATTTTGTAGCTTCATGGCTTTTCTTTCGGCTGTCGAAACGACACTGGCCACGACTAAACGGTCGGTTTGTTTTATATAGCGGGATTATCGTTACCCGCATCTCGAAGAGTACACAAGGTTTTTTTCTTTTTCTGAATGTCGAACGCACAAACGTGTGGTTCCTATCGATATCGATGGGCATCGATCTTGTTTCTGCTCGTTTCAGTTTCGCTTGAATTACAACCGGTCGGTAACCGGTTGCTCGATACCGTTAGGCTGTTTCAGACATCGTACGACGGGCCAATTCATGGAAATGGAATACGCCTGACACGTATAGTATCCGATTGTAAGCTTTCATTTGCATATGCTTCGACTTGAAGAGCAAACACGCGTCCCCCTATCTTTGTGCACATATGTATGTACAAAGCTTTGCTAAATGTAATCGTTTCTGTCGAGTTCAGATCGAGTATAATTGAATCGTGCCGATCGAATTGATTACCTCTGCTTTTCGTGAATCGTTGAAGTTTGACAATTATATTTAATACGAACCTGATGAAGTTGATTCATACGATTTCTTATTCAAACAACAGAAGTTCACGTTCAGACATGTTGTTTAATTATAAGCTCGACGTTCTTTTTTTTTTTTCATTAATTATTTCATTTTTCCTTTATTTGAGGTTTAAATTCGGCAAATCGGTTAAAATTTCGTACTGAAGCAATTGAGTAACTTTTAAAATCTCGAGCGATCGTAAAAAGTTATCATTTAATTATTCTTTCGGAACGACTAAGTGAAATGTGTGTTATTTAAGAAACTGTTAATTATTAATTTTTATGATACATTGACTTGATAAATGAGAGTGTCGAATAATCTGCGGCAAAACCACAAATCTTTGTCCGTTTTTCACATACTTTTTAAGTAATTCTTACTTAAATAAAGGTTCGAATCGGACATTGCTTACATCTGAGTATGTTTTCAAAATGATATTTGTCAAAAGTCAATAAATTTTTGCGTAGAAATTATTTTCTACGTGAATATTTAATACAAGTAGAAATACTTGTATTTATTCCTGTGCAATTCTTTCTTTACAAGGATAATTAATATAATACAGAGAAAAATCTATTGCTTTCCACAACTCCGATCCTAATTTTGTTCGCAAAAGCATCCCTCTCGCGAGTGGTAAACTATCCAGTCTATGTATCGAGTGACTCTTGTGTAAACACCAGGATATCCTGCTCGAGCACATCCATTTCCCCAGGATACTACACCTATAAGCTCGTATTTCTTGTCTTCGCGTTCGGCTATGAGCGGTCCTCCGCTGTCACCCTTTAAACAAGAAAAAAGTTTGTTTCCTCTTTTCTCGTACAATTCCTTGACGGTATGATTGAAAAAAAAAAATATTCCTTTTTTTGCAAGAAAATTCCAATCTTCGAGAAACGTGAGTCACGAAAACAAATTTTGCTCAATGTCTCCAAAGTGCCAAAGTTTTATCCATTATCTATTCGATAATAGCTGCCGATAAGAAAATTAGAATTTACCTGACAAGAATCTTTCTGGCCATCGAGATATCCAGCGCACATCATGTTATCAGAGATCATACGTGGACTGTAGCTTGTGTTGCGGCAGTCCTGAAGGCTCATAACCGGTACCTCGACTTCCTGCAGCAGGCAAGATGGCTTTCCCTCCTCGTGCAAGGTACCCCAACCGGACGCGATTGCTTTTGTCCCAGTGTAATCCTTATCTAGAAGCATTAACGTAGCCCGTATATATATATATTCTACGCAACGATGAGAAAACTGCAGTGTATATCGGAACAGCAAGAACAAGAGCCAGATTGTAATTGCAATGTGTCACAGCTAGCTGGGACGTTTCGTGTTCGAATCATCCGTTTTGGATCCACTTGCACTTTTACGACACGAATTACGCAATTTTCGAGTGACGATCGTCGCCGACGTTCTTGCATCCACTCGTAGACTCGAAATAAATATCGCGAAACGTACCCGTATATTGACTAATTTCTACCTGCAATTTAGCCACGCGATAAATCAGTCAATAAATAACGCAACTATTCACTGGGATTACGCGACGATGTATTCATGTAGGAAAAAGAGATTATTAGTCAATTGTACGCTTTGACAATAGTTGTTATAAATAATAAAAGATGAATCATTTAATAAATAAATTATTTGATATGTAAAGTCGCATTTTCGAAATGGAGATATGTGAATAAATAACACTTACAAGTTACACGATGTTATAGAAGATCAATCTTTTCTTTCGATACGATCGTTTCGCTTTAATACTATTGCACTAGCTATTGCTCTGATGTTATTGCATCAGTGATGCCATAATTTCAGAAGATGGTCATTCGTATTTTTTCGTTGTGAAAGTTTATGCTTGTAATTGGAAAATTAATGCAGTGACATCTCATAGACTTGAACTCGTTAAATAGCACACTGCTAAAGTCGAGACGACTGTAGTTGACACATGAATTTATTACGTCTATAAATGCCTGGCGGTGTCTAACGGTAGGAATTTGTTCACGCTTCCCTTCGATAAGAGGTATGATCTCAAAAAAGTTGACTAATTTTGGTCGTCTAAGTTAAAGTTTGATTAAATGCCACAGATGTGATTTCAACATTGATAGCATTTCGACGATCAAGAAATTAATAAATATCTTCCTCGTAGTGTTTTCCAATTTCAGAGGAAGATTTTAACAAAAGAAAGTAAAAATTTATGATTTAAATTCAGTACCTACCTTCATGCAATTCGTATAACTTGCCAAAATTAATTAACTAACAGTGACAGTGAAATTGCTGTTGTAGGCACAGTTTTGACGGTTTTATAAATTATAACTTACATGCACCGAATACATTTTACAATGAATACATTATTTCAAGAGATTAGAAATTACTTGCAAAACTTGCGCATGTCTCGGAAGATTAATGATCATTTTGTTTCTTGAGAAAGTGTTTGATTGTTAGTTGCTAATAATGTTAATAATAAAAGTAACCCACTAATATTGTAAAATTTATATATATTATAGTTATAAATATTATAATGTTAATTCTTATTATATAAAATATATAATATATTTAAATATATAAATATATAAAAATATATTATAATTAATTCTTATTATATTATAAGAATTTTTATTATAAGAATATTATATTATATTATAATATTAATTCTTATTATATTATAAGAATATTATATTATATTGTAAGAAAAAGTTGAACGTACCTCTTTGGGATGGCAGACATATTGGCCTTATAGTGTCGCCGAAAGGTACTCTTTCGTTCAGCCGTAAAAGAGCGATGTCGTTATCGAAATTTAGGAAGCTGAAATCACCAGTTTGCACTCTGACCACGTATCTGGTCTCAGACCCTGTCTCGGTACACCTGTCGTGTTCACCGAACGTAACCTTGATCATGAACCACATGAACCTAAAAACGGGACTAGGAAAGCTGATCGTGCTCCTCTGGAGAATCAAATCATTGCTGGTAATCTAAATCAGAGACCTCTCTTAAATTAAAGTTCCAACTCTTTAAAACTAGAATTTTATTTTACCTCTATCAGTCTTGCAATTCTATTTTGAACATTGTTTATGAATAAAATTACAAGCATTTAGCTCGCAGCAATTATTATTCACGATATTTGAGATTTCTGAAATATTTGCCGCTCTATTAACATTGAAATATTCGTCGTGTTAGTATTCAGAAAATTCTTTTTCACAAGTAAGCATTGAGTAATTTAAAAAGCATATCACATTCATTGTTGATCAAATAAATTATGTAACAATATACTGGTAAACGAATGTACCGAAACTTCAAAATGTAAATATATAATTCCGTAATTTGTAATAATGTGCAAATCACACGCGATATAGAGATTTAATTGTTGCATGTGTCTGTTTTTGAATACTTACCCTTTAACACAGTGAGCCGCAGTGAGAACGTAGCGATCATTAATCAACGTTCCGCCACAGTAAAATTTGTTCAAATACGAAAGCCGGGCCATCCATGGGAATTCATTCATACGAGTCGTTTGACCACCGACTATTCGACTTTCTTCGTTTCGTAAGCCGCAGCCTAATAGTAATTGAACAATTAAACGTGTTAGTAGCCTTTAGGCCAGATTTTCTTAAACGTAGTTAACGGTAATGAAAGATAAAATAATAATTAGCATTTGTTAAGAAAACACTTACACTGATATTTACGTGTATTAAACGTGTTTATATGTTTAACATCATGTATGAATATTCAATACTCTATTGAATTATTTACGAACGATGATTGATTGAAATTAAATAATGATTCGTTGACGAATGTTACGATGAAGAATTTAAATTTTCACTCACTACAGTAACATGGTCCAGGTGCTTCCAAGGCAGACGGTGGTTTGTTACCAAAAATTCCAAAGAAGTTTTTCACCTTCTCGCCGAAAGTGGTTGCCTGAAAATTCATGAAAATGTAAGCTAAACATCATTATTATTCAATATAAATTAACATTCCTTCCTTAAACACGAAAGAATATCGTAATTTCAATTATTAACTATCGCAAACCGTACGCAATCTGCTTGCACCAAGTATTTAAATTTTCATACAATAGATCATCACACACTTCCGTTTCCATCAAATCTACACAGTTACCACGAATCTTAAAAAAAAAAAAAAAAATATCGAACTCCAATGATTCTACAATTCTCTAATTCCAAAATTTCCATTTTCTATCGTATCGTAGAACTTATCATTTCCATTTCTATTAATTTTAATGTGGCGACCGATGGAAATTTTATCAAGCAGACGATATCTTACTTGACGTGTTCCTGTGGCCAGAGATAGGGCGACCAATAATCCAACGCACCGGGAGAACCTCATTTTCCGTGATCAAATTCAGCCCGCGTTTATTATCCGTGCGAAGTTTCACGCGTCACGTTCCACCAGGAAGGATTCTCTATTGAAAGAAGGATCCGCCGGCGCGGCCACTGTCAGGAACGAGTTACCAACATGTCCCCGGCTGGGAGTTACTGTCGCCAGTGTCCCACGTCGACTGAGGACGACTCAGGTCGAAGAAGTATGTAATTGCTATTCCAGAAGAGAAGGAGGGCACGACCGACTGGTCGGCGACTGGACAGTACCTGGCCAGTTCGGGTTCACGTTCAGGGTCGAATTACCGATGACTGTTATTGACCGTCATCAGGGTCACACGCCGGGCTTTTCAACGGTTTTCATCGATAACTGCAGTTTCATTTTGTTAATTTCTTTTTCTTCTCGTTCCATGCGAACCTGGTCACACCTACTGGACATTATATTATCACCAAACTGTGAATATTTATGCAAGTTCATATTTTTGACTGGATAGTTAAGAAAACGGGAACCTAATTGATATTTTGTGTGATATACGCATTTCATGTAATTATTTTATACCTCCAAGTTTTCTATAAACGTGAAAGAGTTTCTACTTTTGGCGCAGTTATTGAAATTACTAAGAAATTTGGTGGATATTTTTGTAGATTTGTGGGAAACTTGAACGTATAAAAGTAAATAAAACTGCATAGAATATTCGACGCTCCCTAAAATATTTTATTACAAAAATCACAGATTTCTGGAAAATATCGTTACATAAATCAATACGCCACAAGTCCATTTAAGGTAATAAAAAAATATTTATTGATATCCAATTTTTGTAAATTTAGAAATAATTGCGTATCATTTAATTCCCTCTACAATATTTATAGATTTATCATTAATTTATTTGTCTACGAGATTTTATTTAATCCCATCTATTTACATGACATTACATGACACTCAAGGAAAAAATATTTTTCTCTGAAACTATTTTCTCTGAGACGCACCCAAAAATCAATGCCTCGTATATATTATGCAAATTCAAACGGAGAATACGTTTGTAACAAGTTATCTGTATCTTATTATATGCAAAACTTTTATTATACATACCGGCGCGTCATTCGATACCGTTGAACCACGATATTTTGTACTAATAACACGCCGTCGATTCGAGATAGAGATAAAACAGTTCGAGGCGTCTGTCGAGGTCTGGTTTTTCCACTTTCGACTAAATTACGATATATTTAATCGTTGTTTGCCACTCATCTGCGATCTGAAATGCGTGGTAGGAACGTGAGGTAAGATTTTTTTTCACGGTGCCATCGACAAGAATTCACTTTTAACGCTGCCTCTTTTCCTCAGAAATAGTTGTCGAATGACGTCACATTTACGAGCGAAACGAGGGAAAGGTTTTTTGAACATGCTAATAAAAAAATTTTGAATGGCGATTCGCACTTTGTATTGAGAATCATTGAGAGGTATATTTTTAATAGCAAGAAAATACGAAATTTTTAATTTTGCTGCTGATAATTGAGATTAACTCGATCTATTATCATAATTCAGAGTGATAATAATTTAGAAAATAAATATTTTAATTTGCGAAATGGAAAATTGAAATCCATTTTGAAGACAGTGGCAATATTCAGGCGAAGCTGCTGAATTAGGATTGGATATGTTACTTACATTTACACGGTAAACGTAACATCATTCAATATTAGACTGAAATATGGTACAGCGCATCAATGCACATGTCGTCCTGATTTCAGTAGAATGTTAGCTTCATTAATTTAAACGTGGTTCGACAGAAAACCGTTACTGATCATTATTCCAGCAACGTTCGTCTGCCATCCCATGCAAACAAAGAAAAGGTATGTTACCAGTTCAAAGTTCGAATTATACAATATTCAATATATATTATATTTCGCAGTTAGTTATATTATAGAAGAAGAAGTCTCGAGAAATAATTGCGTCTTGTTGAAAACAAATAAACGATAAATTTAATTTTTATTCGAGCTTATTAACAACTTACAATTAGTCAACGAAGTTCGTCTAGAAAATATGAATTCGTCTACAATTAATCATTGCCTTTTAGTAACATTAAAATTTAAATACTTTTTAATTTCTCTACCACTATTAAATAATTATTCTAATATCGCAGCTTTATTAATAATAATAAATTATGTACAGGATAGAAAATAGTATAAAAAGTCGATCGCTTACGATATACTTATTGTTGTAGTAGTTTCTAGCCTAGAAACAAGAAATCACAATTGTTGACAACGATTCCTTTCTATACAATAATTTTTTCACTGATGGAAAGATACGCTTGAATTAATAATAATCCAAAAGAAATGTCACAGTCAATTGTGAAGTTTTAAAATATTCCTATGTTTTATTATTAATTAGTATATTTTATATCAACTTTCACGATAATTTCGTGAAAATTTCTATAAAATATTGCTTCCTGTTCAATTATTTTGTACAGCTATAGTTTCTGATGATCGATCGATCTTCTTTAACTTGTACATATACATCCTTCTTTCATATTCGTATTAATCCAGTTCAGGTACCTAGTTACTCTGGTGTATACTCCAGGATATCCCGGTCTACCGCAACCAACGCCCCAGGACACTATCCCTGATGAAGAGAATCAAAATTAACAAAAATAATACTAAAGCAGGTAGATATTTATGGCTCTAAGTAAGTAACAAATACATCTTATTAAAACAGAAAAATATACAGAATAAAAGATAAGATATACAGAATAATTATACAGAATAAATAGTACTATATACTTGAAAATATCAATTTACTGTTTGTTTATTTATTTTTGCTGCAGCTCTAAAAAAAAAAAAAAAAAATGCAAAAGAATATGGAGATGAGAAATTATGTAATTTTTTAAATACTCGAATTTTTTTAAATATTTCGAACGTTGTGAGATAAACAGGATATGCTGCGTTAATTTCTCACCAACTATTTCGAGTTTGTCGCCTTCCTGTACGAGCAGAGGCCCGCCACTATCACCCTGACAAGAATCCTGACTGCCTCGACCGGCACAGACCATGTTTTCCGTGATTCGATTCGCACGATACTTCATTTTACGACACTGTATCAAACTTAATATCGGCACTTGGACCTCGTGCACTTGCCCAGCAAGCATTCCACCTTCCGACGTACGACCCCAGCCTACCACGGTGCCTTCTTTACCAGCCGGATCACTATCTGGAATTATTTTCATAAATTCACGAAAGAAAACGAAGAGAAAGAAGATTTGAAATTTATAATTTTTACTGTAGTAGATAGTTTTATAGATGTAAGGCAATGTACTTTCAGAGATTTAAAAAATTTCTCGCAAATGAAAGATTCTGAATTCTATTGTATTATAAAATTTTTCCATTCCCTTTGCTTTAATATTTCTGATAAAAATTTTATGTTTAATCGTCGACAGTTCTAGTGTAGGGATCAGTCGATCTATCACATTTAAACTGTCCAATTTATTTCTTAAATTTGTTGTCCTCTCTCTCTCTCTCTTCTCTTCGAAATTTCAATTATTCTAGTTGATTTTTCTGCTATGCTCGATGAAAATGCGTAGCACTGCGCCTTCAGTCGCAGAAATGTTAAAATTTTTAATACAATCCGCTGTATCTTTTCAATTTCGTTTGGGTGGTAAAATTCAGAACTACGTAGTGTTTAATTTGAATTATTTACGAGATTCATCGAGTTATCACTAAATTTTTATGAAATATAAAGATATATACAAAATATGAAATTTTGTATTTTTGTCTGATACAGTCTAGTAGCAATTTTAACAAGAAGAATTAAATGTTTTATTACCATTCATTACCTTTTTGAGGTAGACATACTGGTCTCACAGTTTTGGAAAACTTCACAGACTTTCGAAGCTTCAACAGGGCAACGTCGTGGTTGTACGAATTCATGTCGAAATTTCTGTGACGAATTACAGCGCTCACAGCTCTCATTATGGCTTTTCCGTCGGTATTCACGTGTTGATCATAATCACCGAGTATCACGCGGATCTTCGACCGTTTTAACCTGAAGAAACGAGTAAAATTAATTAAAAACAAATGAATCAAAAACAAAGTAAAACGAGTAAATGGAGATATCTGAAATATTCCAGAAAGTTGTTTCGTCAACCGGAGATTAAAATGTTGGAAATCTATTGGTGAAATATCAGAGAGTAGATGTTATTTCTTTCTCTCTGTAGAAGCGAACAGATTGAAATTTTATACGTTTATTTTTGAAACTCTGGAATCCACAAACGATGAAATAATTGTCTTCTTGTTGGCTTGAACAAATTGGTATAACGACGGTGTGACTCGTAAAAGAGATTTTTAATCGTTAACGACCATTTTTGTTCATCATTTTATATTGAAAAAATTTTGTGAATAATTTTATTTTCAAGATCACTTTTAGTTACTCGATTACTATAGATTTATAATAACACTATTGGAAAATAATGTACACTTGAATTAAATATAAACACATCTCTCAGTACGTAAACTTTTTTCATATAACAATAAATGTCCAAACATTTTTGAGAGCCGCAAAAAGAATTTTAATGAAAAGGAAAATAGAACAGAAACTGCAATGAAATTCCCACTTATAACATAATTACTCTTAATAAAAGATTCTGTTTCTTTTTAAATATCACTAGTTTATCACCAATTTATCATTAAATCCCTTATCAAATCAATGAATACTATACTGCATAATAAACTATTTCAAGTAATTAAAAAATCAAAGCAGCGAAAAATATTTAAATTACACAGAGACACCTGTACTTGTATACAAAATTTTCCCCTAATATGTTTCATTATTATTTCGATATAAAATATTATATCGTTGCAATAAATTCAATAAAATATTATATCGTTACAACAAATTCAATTATCGCAGGTCTACGCAACGGTGAAATAATTGAAAGGGGTGAAAACAGCGAGAAGTATCCAATTTGTGTTAAATGTAAACACAATAGAACGCTTCTCCGTGACAAATGCAATTTTTACCGAGTGCCAGTGCGATAAATAAAATTTTCACGAAAAAGAGAGAAAGCGACTAACTGAAAACCGGCGCGCAAATGAAAATGTCCAAATAAAGAACTTACCTACGTACACAGTGAGCAGCGGTAATAACGTAATCATTGTTAACGAGGCTGGCACCACAGTGGAAGCGACCCTCGTACACGAGTCTGGCCACCCACGGATATTTGTTCGGGGTTGTTGGTCGTCCACCGACGATTCGGTCCTCCTGATTCGATATGCCGCATTCTGAAAGGCAATTCATCGTTCATTATTGCTCGTTACATGCACAGAAGTCGGAAATGGCGGAGGAACGCTTTCTACTGTGTGTAGACTGTTACATCGGTTAGTCTAGCACGCAATCATACGTACTGACGTTATTACACTGGACGTGGTCAAGTGTGAACTCCGTCACGTGACGTAATAAGTTTGCAAAGTGGCATGGGGGAAAGTGATTTTTTTCGATTGCACTTTCGTTTCACGCCGAAGAGAAAGAGACGTGGAACACACGCGGAAAACTAGTTAGAAGGAAGTAGCTCTCTTTCTCTATTTCTCTATTATTTTTCTACTTTTTTTCTTTTCTTTTCTTTTCTTTTTTTTGTTTCACGCTGGTGAAATTGTCGTTTTTAGGTATATTTTAAATCCTCTGATGAGTGGATTTGAAGTTTTAGTATCGTTAATACATGAAGTTTTACTCGAGTTTAGATGTTTAATAAAATTCTCTTCTAAATTCTTTTCCTCTATTTAGATTTTTTCTGTCATGCGTTTTAATTTAAATGGTAAAATCGTTTAGTTTATAATATCGCAACTTTTATATTTCTAATTACTAAAAATAGTCGAAAATTGTATTCTAATGATTCCTGACAAATTTTTCAATAATATTCTCGTTATCTCAAACTACAATAGGATTAAAAGATTCCTGTCGAATATTTTAAAAATAATAGTAATTTATTTTCCAATTCTTTCACTGTAGATCTATCATCTGATTTGCAAATTATAAATAATTCTTAGAAAAGAACGAAAGTAAAATACACACTCACCGCAGGTACAATTCCTCGACACAGGATCATCGTCATCCAGAGTGCTACTTATGTCAAGGCCGAATAATTCGTCAAACAGGAACTTGCCCTTTCGATTGCGGATCGAATTGGTTATCTGAAAGAAATGTATTGGTCACTCTTCAAAATGTACCCTCACTCTCCATTTCAAATAAGCAAAAAAGAATCGAAGAAAGTGACCACGTTCCGAATTATGGGTCAAGGCCTGTCTCGTTAAGTTCGATTCTACACGAAACAACTAGGAATCTTCTACCCAATTCAATAAGAGCAATATAAGTATAAAAAAACGATCGAAAATTACATAAAATATTCGTGAACATGTTATCCAAAGAGGTAATTTCAGAGGTAAAATTTACAATAAACCGAATAATAAGTGTAAAAGAAACTTGAATTTCGTGAACGTTTCTCAGTTAAATCATTCATTCCAATATCTATTGAAATATTCAAAATTATTCTTGAAAATGTCACGCAGTCTTTTGAAATAAAAAATTTGCAACAACTCAAATGTACGTAATGTAGTGTGTAATTCTTCAATCGTGCTCCTCGATCGCGTACCAAAACATTCGCGTTATACAGGAAGAAAATCTCAAGTAACATCAACAGCAAGTGTTAAAGAAGATGAATCCATCCTCCATTAGACGTTTCCATCAAAATATTAAAACAAGTTCCTCTCCCCTTTTTCACAAACACGCTACGCAAACTCTTCCACGAAGATTCGAGAATAACTCCTCACTTTAGAGCAACTTCAGAAGAACATCAGATTAAAAATCACTCGCAGTCACTGCAAATCAATTTCACTATCCAATTGCTACGATTACTTACACTAAAATTCGACGTGGTCAATGAGTTATTTTGTAGAAACTTCACGTTCAAACTGGCCACGTGCGCGAAAAGTAACAAGATCGAGCCGAAGGTCCATGTTTCCCGCGATACGGTTCGTCGGCACATCATCTTCCGGTTAGAGACTGTAGTGAAACGTCACGATAGGTTTTCCCATTCGTCGATGAAATTTCCTGGACGCTCTATGTATTCACTGAATTTTCCATGATGGTGCATTCTATCGCCTTCCACTCTTTCGTTCGATATCTTTTTCCTTCTACTTCTTCCTCTTCTTCTTCTTCTTTATGTTTTGCCCCTAGATATGACAGAGAGGCTGCAGTAAATCGAGCGGACGTGGTGCAGACGCTTTCACCGCGCTTCCATGAACACGTCAGACTGACGAAGACCAAGACCAACACCGTGTGTTCGACTCGCTGGCGAAGAAAGTTCTTTCACTACGTCCTGTTGCTCTTCCCATTCAGTATGCGACGCCGATCGCACATGATCCTCTCGTTTCGAAATTGGCAAGATGGACGTGGCCGCGTCGATTCGTGTCACGCGACTGTCCAGATTCTTTTGGCGCTTCGTAATATTTGCACTTGATGAATTAAAATCGTTGAATGATATTTGGTTGAAATTGACTTCAATTAGAAAATAAAGATTTAAAGAATAAAAGCATAATCGCTAAATTATAAATCGTCGTGCGTGGGATTGAAATAAACATTTATTTATATATTATGTATTTTTTTTTTAATTATGTTCTTTTATATCACGTCATAGTAGCAGAGAATGTAGAGAACGTGTTATTTTGTGGAGAGTTTGACAATTAAAGTACGAAAATTAAAAGTATGTTGATCATTCGGATTAATGTATAAAAGAACCATTTTTAAATAGAAATCGAGAACTTGAACCTATTTGTCATTCCAATGGCACTTACATTCGGTAGAATGTTAGAATTATTTAGCTGTTGGAAATTAGAAACTCGAAACATAGTCCTTCAGTCTTTCGAGGCCGGAAACTGAGAATTCCAGAAATACATACATACATACTTCATAGAAATGTCCGAGACTCGTAAATATTCCGGTAGAAAAGTATTATATTGTTCAAAAATTTCACAGCTAATGCTTTTTGACAGTGAACATATTCTGTTTCGTGTTTGACATTGCGAATCATTTGTCATGAATTTCTCTTAAATATGAAAAGAGAAATCGGAATCGATTAATGAAAAAGATTTCGTTTTTCAACAAGATTGTGCTGGACGCTCGCTGGAGTGTTTAATCCCATTTATTTCACGGAATGTAGCACAGTGTCATGATTACTTATTCTCTTGTTTTCATAAAACTATTTCTAACGATGAAAAAATTGGATGTTTGTAACACTTTTTTAAAATTGCAATATTAGAATAAATAGATAATTATTATTATAAATTATTATATGATATTATATAAATAATTTAACGAACAAAATATACTATATCATATATTTTAAATGATTATAATATTTATATGCAAGAATGTTTTCATGAAACTATTTCCAACGATGAAAAAATTGGATGTTTGTAAGACTTTTTAAAATTGCAATATTAGAATAAATAGATAACTATTATTATAAATTATTATATGATATTATATAAATAATTTAACGAACAAAATATACTATATCATATATTATAAATGATTATAATATTTGCATGCAAGTTACCTTTTATTAACTTTAGTATGACTATAAAAATTTAATAACTTTTATTAACTTTCGTATGGCCACAAAGATTTAATAGAACTTGTTAAAGGGAACACTTTATATGAAAATCTTGTATATATTACATCTTTTCCGTCAGCAGTATCATCTGAAAACACTCTGAAGATGGTTTTCTTATATTACTTTTATTCGTTCGATTCGATTCGACAACTCCGCTTGGTGAAATAAGGGAGACACGCTTTCGGTGGCCTTTCAAAAAATTTCTCTTTTAGTGGCAGACCGGATGAACGGCGACGTGGACGCGTATTTCCATCATTGACAAATGAAATCGCACGGCGAGTACGAGTTTTCTCATGGGAAAATGTTATTAAAAAAGTTCCTCGTTCCTTGCTAGAACGTATTTGGAGCTTTGCTTTTAATTCGTATATGCTCTCTGACCGTCACGTGCTTTTTACAACGCGCAATAACGCGGTTTCTCTTTTCAAGAATTTCCATTACATCCGATTTTGAGATTAGTGCTTTGTGATTTCGTTGAAAACGACTCTCTGCAGAATAAGTTTCTAAATGAAATTGTTTCTGTGCTTGAGAATGAGATTGACTTTACCTTGAAGTTATATTGTTTTACTGTATTATATGAAAAGAGTGTCTCTGTTGCGATAAAATAATATAAATTTTTTTTTATCATATTCTTTTAAATATTCTTCTCTACGAATTATTTAATAAAAATCTATATTATTCACGGTTATACATTTTTCACGATGCTGTGATTTTTCGACTTTCTGTAACAAACAACACGATGGTCAATAAATTTTCAGATGATTGCAACATCTCCGAACATTTTATTCACTATCGCGTAAGCTCTTGTCTTTTCACATCGTGATAAATTATTAGAAGTTCAGTGAGGAAGTCGCGTTTAAAATTCAATAACCCAAAGAATAGGAAAGATCCCTCAGAAACTGAAGAAAAAGTTTTCTTATTATCCGTAATAAGAGCGAAAGAATAACCTCTCGCAATAGATATTCCATCTTTATTGTAATAAACGACGATCTCAAACTTCATAATTTAATGGCCATAATTTTTGAGAAGTCAAAAATCTCTTTTCAGTAACGCGAATGAACGTTGAGCTGAGCGTACAATCTAAATAAACTTACTGTAATTAGTGATTTATCACCTCTATCTATGTTATTTCAACAAATTTCTATCGTTTGACGTGACGTAACCGAAATGTCAACTTTTATTTAATATATTCGAACGGCTCTTTCATTTCGGGAGGAATTAGGAGTCGCTGGTAACGACTGCAGGTTTCACTAACCCAGATTCACCGTTGAAAGCAAAACGTTACTGACTACTGACCCGGTTTCCCTTATTGCCCGTTCATCTCAATCGAGGACTGCCGTTCATCTAACATCTCGCTGCGACGTTCAGCCCTATTTTTTCGAGGCGTCCTCTCAGCAACCGTTAGTTTTTACCGGTTCACTCGTGACCGAGCATTCTTTTTTTTTTTTTCTTTTCTCGTAATTGGCCCGCGTTCGCGAGATTTCGATTGGATTTCAGGTGAAAATCACGTGAAACTTAAATCACGCATTCCTCATCGTGACTCTAGAGTTTTGTAATTATTCGCGAATTTGTGAAATAGTTATTTTTCCTGACTGTGTAGATTTTGATAAAGAAAATTTTACCGTTTCAAGACTGCAATATAAAGAGACGACGATGGTTTCATATTTTCGTATTTTCACGGTCTACGATATATATAAAGATTCGACGTAATTTTATTTATTGCCGTAGGGAATTTGAGGTTTTTCAATCTTGTGGAGAGATGAAGTTGTGTGTACAAACGAAGTTCCGAGAAATTTTTAATAGTAACGAGTTAAATGTTTCTTTATTAAGACAAAACCTTGGCACTTTTATCACGAGCTCGAAGCGTAAGTTTAAACATGGAACTTTGAACCAATATTTCCGAAAAGCTAAAAACCAGGTCAATTTTTAATATTTATTATTAGTTCGCAATTTTACCTGATTCCTGGTAAAAATTTCATTTCAGCCAAGTTCATTTTAAATCTTTAAAAATTATTGGAATTTAAGAAATTATTGAAATTATTAGATTTTAAGAATTATTCCTGTTACAGTGCAATGGAATGCTTCGAAAACGGAATTGAGCTATTAATAAACATATTCTTTATTTAACAACTGTTTCATACAGAAAAACGCGACATCACAGAAAATTGAAGCTTCTTCGTGTATAGGTATATATGTATACTGGACTAGATCACCTCAGCTACGTGCAATTGAATAAGCAATTGCAATAAATTAACGATAAGCTACGATGGCTCAATTGTACAACTATTTGAAGACAAAACTATCTGCAGTCGGACCGTGAGCATCGATATTTGAACAAACAAATATTTCCGAACATACTATTGAATGTTCTTCAACGTCGTCTTAATACTGGTCGTACTATTTCGTCGAATATCTTAATGAAAACTAAAAGTATCGTACAATAGTATTCGAAAGGCATACGTGTTTTTTTTTTTTTTAAATAAATGTACTCATGATTTAAGTAACTATTCTCAGTAGTCGTAAATTAATATCGATGAGGTGGCGGACATACGCATTCGCCGCCTAGATGATCTTTAAGCCATCCGAGGTAATTTGTTAATTTCGTGTAAATTCCGGGGAAGTTTGGCCTTGCACATCCGCGACCCCACGAGATGATACCTGGACAATAATTTCAATATGCAATGAAATGTAAATGCGTAGTTATGTGTAAACAATTTAATATAAGACACCCTTAATGATATAGACATGAATACATAAATGGTAAATAATATTAACCATTACTTTCAATATAATGTATAATATTATTATTATTATGTTAATGATATATTTGTAAATGTACAATATTTTAATATGTGTTATAATGTTATTATGTTACACTGATATTATTATTATTATTATGTTAATGATATATTTGTAAATGTACAATATTTTAATATGTGTTATAATGTTATTGTGTTACTCTGATATTATTATTATTATTATGTTAATGATATATTTGTAAATGTACAATATTTTAATATGTGTTATAATGTTATTGTGTTACTCTGATATTATTATTATTATTATGTTAATGATATATTTGTAAATGTACAATATTTTAATATGTGTTATAATGTTATTGTGTTACTCTGATATTATTATTATTATTATGTTAATGATATATTTGTAAATGTACAATATTTTAATATGTATTATAATGTTAACAATTATTACCTATTACTTCTAAATGTCCAAACGTTCCTTTCACGTGAAGAGGACCGCCACTATCACCCTAAAAACGTTAGTAGTTTAGAGATTATTCAGTCTACAAAATAGAACACGCCGATTTCAATTCGCGTAAAGTTTACGGACGATAAGACTGCGAAAAATTTATTTCAAATTTGATCAGAGACTTACAAAGCAAGCATCGAGATCACCCTCCAGATATCCAGCGCAGAACATATTCTCGCTGATTCGATTCGTCTGGTAACCCGATTGATCGCATTCTTCCTGCGATAAAATTGGCAGATTCACCCTTCTCAGTTCATTGCTCACAGGCTCACTCTCTCCTGTCCGACCCCAACCAATTACTGTGGCAGTTGCTCCAGTGTAGTCGATCGCCTCTACAGAAATGCACGAAATTTATATTTATATGGAGCACACGATGCTGTACGCGATGATCCTTACGAAATCATATCATATTTAAGGGAGATAGAAGTAAAAGATGTTTAAGATAGAAGTAAAACAAGAGGCATTCAAGAGAAAAGTTTTCAATAGAAGTAAACGTGAAATGAAAGTAAAAGGACGAAAGACTGAGCGATTAAAAAATTAGAGCTAAAGCAATCATTCTCTTCCTGTACATGCTCTTTTACAGTTTACAAAAATTGATTTTTACAAAAATATAACAATTGTAGAATATTAATCGTTCCATCCAAATTATTCAAATCCAAATTGTTCTGGGAAAATAATTAAATTTTCTGTTTCATGTTTCTCACCTGACTAACAAAGAGTTATTTTACTTTGTACGTTAAGATTATGTCAGGTAATTAAATTAATAATTCCTTACTTACTTATCATTTCATAATATCATACTTGAACGTTTAATATAATATTTCAGTTATAATAACCAATAACTAACGTCATCAATTATAATGTTAGTAAATGGAAATATACATACTGTCTTCAGGCAAACAGGCAGTTCGCACGATACCATTCACATTCACTGGTCGATCCATCTCGATGATAGCGATGTCATTGTTGTACGTATAGGAATGAAACTTCTCGTGAATAACGACAGATTTGATACGGCGAATTATGGCATTTTTGTCAAATTTCTCTCGGTCATTGTCTACCAGGACAAGTTTGATGCTCCTTTTGTCGAATCTGGAATTTATTAACATACAGAGACATTAAGAACACAAACATTTATGCGAAGACATAAAGTATTTTGAAATATTTACATACATATAAATAATATAATAAAGCTAGTATTGTATGGTCACACGGATAATTACAGTAATTTATATTACAATTTATATATATTACAAAAGTTGAAGGTAAGTTTTTATATTCCCTCTGACAGAGATTTTAGTAACAAAATTGAATTGAATTAAAAATTCCAAAATCAAGTAACGTGAAGCGCAAATTTTTATGTCTTTTAACGTTCAATGATACAAGTTGGGTGTTAAATATCATTAAAAATGTCCCGTGTGACAATATTTACCCTTCCATGCAGTGTGCTGCCGTGAGTACGTGTTTTCGCGTGATTAAACTGCCAGCACAATAAAATGTGCCTTGTTTACTCATGCTAACAATCCAGGGGAATTCGTAGACGCTCGTCACGTTTCCACCAACGATCCTTGTTTTCCTGCCCACGCCGCATACTGCAATAAATGTATATGTATACGTGGATAGAAATTGGTCCACAGGCAAAACATAGCTGCCTATTTGTTCGTGCCTTTGTATATTTGCACCCCATTTTAAATTTATTTACATTTTTATTTAAAATCTTGGCGATATTTGAGTAACTCTTATGGTAATCAACATTGATTCTGTTTTAGTCGTTTAGTTATGTCAGCAGTGAGTAAATATATTTGCAAACCCATAACACAGTAGGATAAATAAGCCTGAATCCACAATCAGGATTTAAAAACAAATTTATCATAAATTGCAAGTTATTACCACTAGTTATTTTAATCATCTAGCAACTACCAAACATTTATAAATTTTATTTCACATAAATTTTCTCTTCTTTTTTTAAAGAATTCGCAAAGATTTTTCTAAAGAGAGAGAAATTTATTACAGATTTCCTTCACTTTCTTGATGACAGTTTTGAAAAGAAAAGAAAGAAATTGTAAACTGTGAGCACTTGTAAAGTCAGTACAGATTATTTTTGTTACAACGTTTTTTTAATTACCACAGTTGTTGCAGACGTTCGGCCTCTTCGACGGAATCGATGCATTTGAATTGAAATCGATGTAAGACACCTCGTCTATCGACAGCAGATCGTCGACCTCGGCGCTCGTAACGTTGTAGTGCGTTTGAACGTTTGACACGGGCAGATTCCTCTCCTAAATGTTACACAAACGTTAAATAATATTCGTGACATGTGGCACCACGTGTTTGAAATATTATTCTGCAGCCGACGTGTAATCAAAATCAAACTGATCTTCGATCCATCACAAGTTTAACAAAACGAACTTTAATAGTGCCAATGTAATGTGTCTGTTGCTGTGAGTTTTAATTAAAGTCGTAATTAATTCACTATGTTCGTAAATCTAGGTAAACTATTTTCACGGGATAAGAAAACCGTCAGAAAAAAGGATCGTAAAAAAAGATAGAGAAAGAGCTGTGGATGTAGTAACTTCGAAGATTCATCATAAGAAACAACATAAATACATCTATCTTACTGTGTTATGATCGATCATTAACAAGTTCGTTCTACGAAGTTCGATCATTAACAAGTATGTGTGAAAAGTAATATTAAAATTCTTTCCAAAATCTGGGATATCTCTAGGTTCTAAACGTTACGTTATTATTACAAAATGCGCAACGATATGACATCGAAGGATCCCATTAACTCTCAATTAATGCGATTACGTCGAGATGTTCAATAAAAGACTGGATGAAGTTAACTTTGAAATAATTTAATTATTTAATGGAGATCATCAATATATCTCGTAGGCATACATATATACACATAAAAGACAATTTAAATTTACATTATTTTATACACTCGAATGACGTATAACCAGTTCTGCAATTTTATGATCACGATTTAAGAAATAGAACCTGAGTGAACATTCAGTGTATGATCCTCAATCATCTCATGATCTAATATGTCTACTCGTCATCTGGTACAATAATGATAAACATTTATGCAAATTCACATTTTCCTCATATCTGTTTAATTCACTGATACATTCGTCTACAAGTGCCTGCTTTGTTTCAAATGTTTTACATGCCTCTACCCTTTTCTTTCTCACAAAACGCATAAACATCCGCGGTCGACACGCCATAAACAACTCATAAACAAGTTGCTCCACTGCAACCGATTGCAACCAACGTGTCATCCACTTCAACGTACGCGGATAACGAGCAAATCGAGGAAAAAGGGGGGGAAAAGAGAAAGAAAAAAAAAAAAGTAAAAAAAAAGAAAGAAACCAAAACGAATGAAACGTAACTCACCACTCGCGGGAACGCGTAGCCGTAACAGCTTATCCAGAGGAGGATCACGACGAGTGTTCGTTGCATTGTCGCGTGGCTCGACATATCGTCTGCCCCGAATGGCATATGCAGGCTTTTGCTTGCGTTCGGCTCGCTTGCTACTCGACTCGGATGGACGTCTCGCACACTCAGGCGTGATTTCGACCTCTCGTGCGTGGAATCTCGCGTGTACGATAATCGAGTACGTGCAGGGTGTAGCACGTTACGTGGGCTGTACGTGCCTGTGCCGGGCGTGAAAAGTCTAATGTCACCGGTGGGACGTTTTGCCGTTTTATAGTAAATTATAACTATCGAAGGAGCCGACCCAGCGCGGGTCGGTGGGGATCGTCGACCTTGAGCGGTGCGTTTGCATTGGCAGATGTTGCATGCGACAGCGTTTAAATCAACCGCGACGTTGTCTCACCTGCGCACAATCGCTCACGGACGAAGAGATACACGCGCGAACAAACAACGACGCTACGCGAACGAACGAACGAGAAGACAACGAAATTCACATGTGTGAGTGACGACCAATGTCAATCCGGACCACCACCACAATCTTCTTTCGTTTCTCCTCCAACGTTTCAGACCCTTTCGTATTTTACGCGTCCTTCATTCCTTCCTTCCTTTCGGAGATCCACCCGACTGTGGATCAATGTCACTTTCGTCAGACGAAATTCTTCGCGCCTCCCGCCGCCACCTTCCGTCCCTATTGTCATCCAACGGACGAACATTGTCGCACACACGTTGGCACACGCTAATTGGAAGGAAGGATCTCACTTATCAAGCGAGAACCGGGTCTCTTCGTCCGAAAGTGTGCGCGCTGCAGGTTTTATTGGTAGATGGACGACGCGATGGGCATGGGTTGGCGAAATTTTCTTTCATCAAAGAGTTAAATAGTTAGATTATGGAGTTCCATGTTCCCACGCGTAGAAATCTATTTCACCTATTTTTTAGTACGTATTCAAACTTCGTTAGTCATTCTCTTTGCAGATTTATACTTTCGACTCGGGGTAATTTTTGATTTACATTCTCTTTCCGTGAAATATACAATGTGCAATACAATAGTTCAGTTTGAAGGAAATCTCAATTCTCGTTTTGGTTTGTCGGTATCAGTGGAATTTATGCCAATCGTATTACCGAAGTCTCTGTCAGACGTTGATGTTTACTTACGATTACAAAATACAAGGACAACACGTGGAGAATCAGATTTATTAAATGAATTATGCATCGTTCGTTTCGACAGAGGGCTACAGATTCTCGTAGACCTCGAGGCCAAAAGTCGAGGCAGTCGCAGAAAATTGCCGCAGAGGTCCGTGAAACAGTTTTCGACGCGTAGGCGAGAAGTTTCGTGAGAGTATTACGCGTTTGCGGTTCGAAATCGGGTCAATGTAATATTCGTTTGCCCTTGCCTTCGGATTCGTAAAGCTACGGCAAACATTTGACAAAGTGTATATAAGCAGATCGTTTTCCTTCCATTAGAATTTCGTTACACCGTTCCCACTGGAGAGTATTGTGTTGCAACTCAATTGAAACGATCGTTGCCCGCCGTGTTTAATTAATTACTCGACGCGTTAAACGCGCACCTTTTGAGACCTCTAAACATCATCCAGATAAATCGCTCGGGGTTAAACGATCCTCGTTATCTTATGTAAATTCGTGAAACTGTGTCGTTTATGCGTTCGTTGCTTTCCAACGGGGTTATCGCTCGTGTTTCGTATAATTGCTCTCGGATAATTATGTTTAAATAGGTTTTGATTGTTTACGATCGTTTCGAGCTAGTGCGAATTTAACGGACACGCGGATTTCGTTACATGTTAAATAATATATCGCCGCGTATAATTGATATATTAATTGAGCATAATGTGATAATACATTACGAGCGTTAGATATCGATTACTATGCTGCGGAACATTTACGCAGTTCTAAACACAGTTAAACGCAAATACATTTATTAAAATTCGAAAATCGCGATTTATTTACTACACGTCCCACGTTAAAAAAAAAAAAAAAAAAGAATACACGTGAACGTAAATGAAGTATCTGGAAAAAAAATCATCGTTTTACTATTTTGCAAATTTCGTGCAAAAATCTCAATTTTCTGTCGCCACGAGATCGAGATCGAACGGTCATTGTTCCTCTCCGGTTCGGTGTACCGTTACGTTCAATATCGAACAAGTTTCGTTCGTAACGAGGTTCCGTCATCCCGACATTGGAATTCAATTATTCAGGGTAAGAAACTACGTGCTCCCTTGGTGCTTCGTGTCAACAACAACGCAGCCAGATGCACGTATTTCACAGTGAATAGCGTGTGCAAGAGGGAACGAGCGTAATTTATTGGACGAATGTGTGTGCCTCACGGGGTACAAGAAGTTACGGTGTAACGTGAATGTTGCTTGGATAGGGAAGCAAAACAGCTGCACGATACTGTTCGATAATTTATACACGCTCCTGGCTTCTTTTAATGACTCTGCCTTGTTCCACGATCCGTGAAATTAATCGATCACGTTCCAGCGACCGGTGGAAAAGAACGCGCTTCGACGAGCGTAATTTCAATTCGCGACGCAGCAAGAATTTTTCATATTTTCACGATGGTATTTGTGGTTTATGGAAATCGTGAGATTTTTATTAATGCCCTCCTTCGAGTCGAAGACTTCTCGACGCATTTCCTTCTTGAACGACAATGGCGCTTTGGCGTCAGAGTGGTTTCAGTGTGCTTTAGTAAGAATTAAACGTCGAGCGCGCGCTGCGTTAAGTGAACTTTAGTGAAAATGGAATTAAGAAGAAAATACAAGGGTAATAATAAACATAGATTTGAAACGAAGGTTTAATGATATATAATTTTAATAAATTTTCACACATTCTTATTAAATTCTCTATATCCTTCGATAAATATAATCACTCGAGATAAAAAATTTAGTTATCATCAAAAATGAGGTTAATATACTAGAATTATCAAATTCATTGAAATGAGAGTTCCTGTTTTCAAAAACCCTGGAAATACAGTATTGACAAAATTAACGTTGCAACGAGATACATGTATATCCGAGTGATGTGATACGTGTGTCGTTAGCAACACACCATAAAAATATGAGAAATATTAAATTTCAAAGATCAGTAATTATATCGTGTCCTAACTCGGAACGTACACACTGTTACTAGACAAAAGAGATACATTATCGATTATATTATAAAAATCAATAAATAATTAATGAACTTGATAAAGTGTATGATTTGAATTCATATTATAGAAATAAAATTTTCTATTAATTTTATATATTATATTTAATTATTTTTATTATTTTTAAATACACATATATTATATAATATATATGTTATAACATTACCGAAGTTACGGCAATTTGTTACAACCTTATCTTGTACGCCACGTAATTGAATTAATCATAAGTATGTTTCGTAGCTAACCGAATATACTAAAAAAAAAAAAAAGTTAAAAAAAAAATAAAATAAATAAGAATATCGTCAATACCGATACGTACTCACACAGACGAACGACAGATGTTGAAAATTGACATATACGAAATCATGCCCGTGAAAAAAAAACGTTCGAAATCATGGTGACAATCTGACCCTGGCGATAAGTGTAAATAAGGCAAGGCTATTGATAATGTTAGTCATCGGAGCAGACAATAAAACCGATGTCCCACCCGCATGAGGGTGCTGTGACCCATATACCTTGACCCACTGTCACCGGCTACAGGTGAGATACAATTCTACGTTCTACATCATCTTATCGTGTTTTTTTTTTCTTGGGATGTTAACTAGACTTGATAAGACGTAAATATACGCAGAGATCCCGCCAGTGAGTCGCGTGTGAGCGAGTTACAAGCGGACAGCGAAGAAACTCTATCGGGTAACTTTTGCAAGAAATAATTTTTCTGATCTTTCTGTAGAAAGTCGCAGGTAAGATTTATAGGTGTCTCGTGTATAGCAATTAAAAACAACAATGTAAGGAAAAATTGAAACTGATTGGCGTGGAATATGAAACTCACTGTCGACACTCATGGTTTCGTGTGCCTACTTTCTTCGCGCATTCGATGCTAATTGTTCATATACATACGTATGTGGAACGAGCAAGTTCGCTTGCAGTTTGAAGATTTTTGCTTACGAGTCTCTGTGTTACTGTGCGTTGTTTGATTTGCAATTAGGGAATTGAATTTTGCAATTAGGGATAAGTTGGTAGAAGTTTAACAGCAATTCCACGAGAATGTCTCTGTTTGGAACCGAAGTAAGAAAAATATCAACACTGACATGAAATTCAAAAATCATTCTTTTATTAAACCACCAAGTAGCAGCCTTGGTTTCATTGATCACACCTCTATTCGAATATTACGACGATCAGTAATGGGGGAAATATGGAAAAAATATTGAACCATCAAATCATCAAATTTATAATAATTGATTACGTCTCAATTTTCTCAATTATTTAAATAAATAAATAAATTAATTATACTTTCCTTCTATAAAATATTAAATTATTATCAAAATTGTTCTCACTTCAAACTATAATCTTACTTGACGAGAAAACCAAAGACACCAAAATTTTCCAATTCAATTTTTCTTTCCACATCACAATATTAAAAATATATATTGAACCAAAACTGTATCATTGATCGTACCTTTCATACACCATAATTTTCCCTTCCAATTTGCAACGATTATCAAGACCAAAGTTAGTAAACCGATCGTATGAACCGGTGAAATTGTTGCTACATGATTTCATCCGTAGCGCCGTATCCATACGCAGTGTCGTCTGCTCACGACTGTAAATTAACATACAGGTCAGCCTAAATTTTCACCTCAATAACCAGCCCAGTCCACTATTCCGTATAAATAACGAACTGGCGAGCACGGTGGAAGTGTTGTGTGAAAGTATACGTCGACTTGGTAGGAAGTATAGAACGCCGAGCCCGATTCAATCGGTTGCTCCGTTTTATTCAACGGCCGAGCGCTACGGAATTCACAGTATTCGTTTCGTGCGCGGCAAGAAAAGTGCGATCACCGCGAACATGTGCATCCGCGCGACACTATGCGTGGCCCTCGTACTCGCTGCGGCGTGTGTCGTTAATTGCCAGGAAGTAAGTAGCCGTTTAATCGTGCACCGAAGTTCGCAAAGTCATTCGAAACTTTCCCAATTGGCACGCGAACAGTTCGATCGGTATCATCGGCGAAACTGTACGAATCAGCAGGTTGTAAGTTGCCTCAGAATCGAGATTATATTGATTATCAATGACATTGAATATTGTGTCGAATGTTTTACTTTGACGATTTTATTTCTTTTTTTTTTTTTTACATATCGCTTTGCAATTTGCCTTAGACGTCAGTAGATTGTGTTTTTTATTCATTTGTCAGAAAGAATTTCGAAGAAATGATATTTTAAAAGAAGGTTTCATACGTGTACCTTATTTGACGCAACATTGTAAAATTGTGGAAAAGCAAAAGAAAAAAGAATCGAAATTTCTAAATTTTCCAATATTTACTGTTTCCTTGGATAATTTTCTACGTATGGCACGTTGTGTGAAAGAAAATCCTAAATGGCACTAAGTAAAATCGTGGATTTTAAGTTAAATAAAACTCGAGATTTAAAGTTACAGAAAATTCTGTAAAAAAATGTTCCATTTAGTAAATTTAGAATCTACTTTCGTTATGTTTCAGAGGAGAAAGAAAGAAAGCAGTAAAGTTAGTTTCGTACATGTTTCTTTGTGTTTTCATTAGTAGAAAGCTCATTTAAAGATGCACCATAAAATACGAATCGTTTCTCTCAAAATATTTCGAAATATAATGGGTAGTCCTTGAATAAATAAACGTGGAAAATAAAGAATATTCTTTGTCTCGGATCGGGTGAAAATATTTTTCCCAATGTGAGATAAATTCGTCCCCGCGGAGGTTAAGGTCGTTATTTAATAAAATAGGGTGAGTGAAATTGAATAGTTAGGTTGAATCGCGAATAAAGGACGGTCGTATGAAACTCTTATAAACTTCCTTTTTTCATCCTTTTTTGGCAGTAAAACGCGAGCTTTATCTTACGATTTATTAGAGTCCTTTTTTCACGCGAAGTGTCGTGGATAATTTAACGGACACTCTCTTGTGAAAAATGAGTGTTTGGATCTGTAATATCTAACCTTGTACGACGTCTAACACGGCTAAATGAATTTGAATTTTTGTGATATTTACTGGGTATCATCATTTACTGATTTTCGTATGTAACGAGGACGTATAACGGCGATTGAAGATGTTCAGATTAGTGCTCTGTGTTTTCGACATCGTACGCGATCAATGGTTAAGCTCATGTTTGCGTGAGTTGAATATTTATCGAGTTTCGTGGGACACGATTTTCGAGAACAAATTGGTGTGGCATCCTAATTTCTAGATGTGAATATTCCAAGTGTTTGGATGTGAATGTACACTTGGATAAGATAATTTTAATTATTTTGGAACTGAATCCTCTTTTCCAAACACTGAGAAAAATTACTAACGTTATAATGATTTTAATTACCTTTTGGGAATAACCTTCGTCAAGAATCACGCGATGTTGCAGTAACATCATCGACTATTAATCGTTGAAGCATTGCAACCTTCTTCTTTACGTGCTTCATTTATAAATTCTTTATTTTTCGAATTTTCCGTATATTTTCTTTCGTGCACCGAAAACCTCAACCTAGTTTCACCGAAGATAAGTGTAAAAATATTTATATCAATATTTCATGTTGTAAAATTTTTTTCATTATAAAAGATATTTGGATTTTGAATGTTAGCGACCTTGTTCGAATTCTTATGATGAAAAATTTACGATAATTAGGTGGATGAAACGTAAGATAAAAATAACAATTATAGATGCAGCCGGCAGCCGTTGAAGTTAGCTTAAATGTAACGCAGTATAACGTAACAGCTACGGACGATAAAAATTTCTGGGAATGGTTATCCAGTTTAATATCCGCTGGCGGGTCTATAAATGGTACAACTGAACTTCCGAGGCCAGCGACTACTGAACCGTGTTTACCTTGCAGTGAGTTGGAATTTAAAACAAACAGCAAAATTGCACGAATTTGATGCGATTGCACGAAGTCTCTGCGAGGTGCCGTTATTTACTCGTTGGACGTTGAAAACATTGCAAATGCATATAATAATTCTAAGAACCATTTTTTGTTAAAAATTAATTTCGTGCGATCTTTCACATGGATCTTTTATTCTATATTGATATTAATATCAAAATGAAACGACTGCAGTGATGACTTGCAAAATTAATAAAATATAATAAATTGTTTATAATAATTGTTTTTTAGAATGTGGTTTGACGAACACGCAGAAACGTATTGTAGGCGGTGTCGAGACTCAGATCAATCAATATCCGTGGATGGTGTTAATGATGTTCAGAGGACGATTTTATTGCGGTGGATCTGTTATAAGTTCTCGTTACGTGTTGACTGCTGCACATTGTGTCGACAGGTGATTTTATATAAATTATGAAATTTAGCACAATTTCGTCAACTTCGTTACTTTCACATACAGTGACTAAAGTTGCAATACAAAGTTATTCCAATATTTTCCAGCCAGCGTAAATGCAATTTAATGCAACGCTAATGAAATCGCGGCTTGTTGTTGAACTTCAACTACATCGTACATAATAATAACAATAGAATTATAATGTCATACAATATTCTAATATTATTTTCCAACCAACACTACCACAAAAATATACAACAAGCGTAGAAATTTTCGACATTTTGGTCTTTTTCACTGCAGATTGTAATTTTTCCCTAAAGACAACAAAACATAGAGTAGCAATTATTCATTGCACGGTATATTTATCTAGTAACAATAGAAACAGTGCGACAGTGCGTTGCAATCGACCAGTTACAAGCCACAGCGTGACATAAATCTCATGAATAATTGAAATAGGTTCGATCCAAATCTGATGTCAATTCGGATATTGGAGCACGATCGCAATTCAACTACAGAGTCAGAGACCCAGGAATTTAAAGTCGAGAAAGTGATCAAGCACAGCGGTTATTCTACGTTCAACTATAACAACGATATCGCGCTCGTCAAATTGAAAGACGCCATTCGATTCGAGGGAAAGATGAGGCCAGTTTGCCTTCCAGAACAAGGTAACGCTCTAAATCCTCTGGCGTTCAATGACACGGTGGCACCATGCCTGACACAGATTACAAATTGATTTTCATATCTCGCGGCATCTACTCTGTCCGATATAACTTTGAAATTAATTTTACTTCTTAGCAAACGTTGGTAAATTATTATTATTATATCTTGGTGTGCAGCGTTTCAGAGAAATTCTACTTGTTCGTCCACAAATTTGTAGAATTTAAAATTTCGCTCGAAATTAGAAGCTGAATTCCATTTTAAAGAGGAACACAGTTGTTAAATATTGTCACTGACAGAAATGCTTTTAGAAATATTAAATATTAAAAATAAAGTAAAAAATTGTATTAGAAATATTAGAAATAAGAAAAGAATATTATATTAAAAATATTAAAAATAAAAAAAGAATATTATTAAAAATATTAAAAATAAAAAAATTAAAAAAAAAGGGAGGACATACGAAGATTTGATTTGTAGGGAAAACTTTCGCTGGATTGAATGGAACAGTGACTGGTTGGGGAGCGGTGCAAGAGGCTGGCGCCATATCGCAAACTCTACAGGAAGTGACGGTTCCGATTCTGACGAATGCAGAATGTCGCGCGAGTAAATATCCGTCGCGAAGGATCACTGACAACATGCTGTGCGCCGGTTATGAAGAGGGAAAGAAGGATTCGTGTCAGGTAACGAAAGGAAAATTCTCCTCGTCGTTAATGTTTTAAACATCTTTTCGCTTGACAACACATACAAATCGAAAATTGTTACATCTTTATACATTTTTTGCATTTACACATATTACGTGCGCCAAATTTTGCATACAAATTTCGCCTTATCGTTTAACAACAAGCAGAAAAATGTGTCGTATGAACTTGCTTCCTCACTTTGTTTCTATTTCTATTTCCTTTACTAGGGAGATAGTGGCGGCCCCCTGCACATTATTAACAACGACACTTATCAAATAGTTGGTAAGATTTATGCTCCATTGCTTCGTAAAGTGTGGAAGAGGTATAAAGCGAATATTTTGTAATTTTAATGTTTCGTGGAAGAGTTTGATGAATTTAGATTTTATTGGAAAGTGAGGAAAAATTACGAAATTGGTAAATAACGATACTTTCATATATTTTTATAGTAGGATCAAGTAGATCAGTGACATTAATATTTAATAAGAAAGATGAGAATAAATTTAATAATATTTTAAAAAATAAGATATTTAATAAGAAATTCAAATTTCATCGCACTTGTTTTTAAATGCTTTTCTATTAGAAAATTATTTAAAAACATTTCTTCTTCTGTTCTGAGAATCAGACATTAATGAATTAATTCTTGGAAGAATCAATCCTTTAAATTATCCATTAAGAACGTCTTGTAGATCTTTAAATCACCCGTTAAGAACGAATTTATTCTCGACAGCAAGTAAATTCTTGTCTTCTTTCGACAAAATCGAAATTAAATATGTTTAATTTAACGCGATCACGTTGAAGTCCGCTTTACACCTCATCCAGCGACTATTTTAACAATTGAACGGATCTACAAAGACGCATCTGAATTCGCAGGAGTGGTATCCTGGGGCGAAGGATGCGCAAGGCCTGGCTACCCCGGTGTTTACAGCAGGGTGAATCGTTTCCTTTCGTGGATCAATCGCAACACCGAGGACGCGTGTTACTGCTAATGTAAAACGGTGAATAACGCTTCGATTATTTTTAAATTCATCGAGTCTTGGCTGACTGAAAACTCGATACTGTAAAATGTACCTCTATCTCTCTGTTTTTTTTTTTTTTTTTTTCTTAAAGACTAGAATTATTCGTGGAATATTTCCTCCGTGAATTTAAAGCTTTTGAGAGTATTAATAGACGACCATGTGAAACGAGTACAAGTACCAGCTCGGAATATTTATTCCTGGTAATCTCTCATTGCGTAGTAAATTGATTTATCAGCCATGCGCGAATATATACTAGATCAATCCTCTATAACACCGTGCGACTCAGAAATATTTGCATCCGTATTTTTTATAATATTATTACTCATGTTTATCGTGTCTTGGAATTTTGACAGCGGCAACTGTCAATTTTTCGCGAAGAAAGAATGATCTTCTGCGTCAAACATAAACAAATGGTTAAAATTGGCAAACAACGAAATCTCTGTATTTTCAAATATTTAGGTTTGAATTTCTATATCGTTTAAATTTACATTTCCCTATCGTGTTTCACTGCTAAATTAAAGCCAAGTGAATTACGTCGTTTAACGATGTTAAAGTGAAAAGAAAAGTGAAAACGTGTACGGAAAACGTGAAGAATGATAAAGTGTTATAGAGGGATCAGACGAGTCTTACCGTGTTCACGAAAAGTTGAAACGAAGAGGTGGCTACGCGTTATATCCGTTATATCCTACGTTCGTGCAAGTGAGACGATTAAAAATTAAGGCACGTATCGAGCATCCGACTCGTAACATCGAACGTACGAGAAAGAAAGTTAGCCGAACTTTCTCTGTTTCATTGGACTTGGAATTTTGGTGAAAACTCACGTACTTGCCACCCTGAGCGCTGAGCTTCATTTGTCGTGTCACACACATGACAAAAGTTGTCAAACGCCTCGCGTGCCGTCTTTGCATCACTATTTCGCGAGTTACACGCACAGTGAAACGTCGATTGTTTTTTCATCTAATAAAATACCGATCGTTCGTTATTAAATGAAACGAAATTAACCTCGATATTTATAGATATTTATATAGATATTTATATAATAGAATGCTCGACAATACTCGATTTGTAATTTAACTTTAATTTTATTGTTGTATTTATTTTTATACTTGTATTACACTCGAACTTTTTATATTGTTGCTATTATATAAATAAAATTGTTGATATTTATCATCGTGAAATTAAATATTTGTTCTTCACTTTTCTCGTGGATAGAAAAAGATACAAAAATTGTAAAACTAAAAAAGATGATGACAAGGTGAAATAATAACGTGAAAAATGAAATACAGTATAATAAATACAGTGTAATAAATAATATGTATAGATGAAATATGAAACTATGAAACTATGATGAATATTCGAAATGATTTTATACATGTAAAAAATGTTTCATTATATTTGAGAAAAATCAAATATCCGTGGATGTATTTTTTTCTTCTTTGTATTCTTTTCTTTGTACAAGAGAAACTGTCTAGAAAATGTTATGAATTGGAGGAATACAAAAAAATATACAAGAGAAAGAATTGCTGGAGCGAAGAAAGTAGAAAGGAAGGGAACTGTTGTAGAAGAAAGGATCTAAGGAACAATTGAAAAAGCTCAACTCAGCAAAAAGTCTCTAAGCCTATAGGATACCGCGAGATAGCGAAGTAAATTAGGAAAAGAGAAAATGAAAGAAAATATAAACAGTGGAAAGAAAATTTCTTTTGGTAATTTCATATCTTTTCCTTTTTTCATCAATCGACGAATCACTTTACGAAACATTCCATAAGTAATTCGTTAAAATCTACGAACGACAAAATACTTAAAAAATATCCGAGAAAACGCATATGTCAATTAATTCACTATGACAGATCTATATACATCGCCATAAAATTAAATTATTCTAATTATTTTGCCTAATGCGTGATTCGCACGTCAATAAAGTGATTCTGATTGTACCTAACATTGCTCTTCATAGTTAAAATGTTTCATTCAATAATTCTTTATTTCTGAAGAACTGAAGTATTTGAAAATATTTGTGAACAATATATTTCTTATATTTTAGCAATCTAGAAATTCATATTAAATTTAAATTCGTGTATATTCAGTAATATATTCTGTTCAATACGAAATTTGGTATCTAAATTCTTGCCAAAATTTGTTTCATTGTAAAATAATGTAGGTATATTTTTTTTTATACATCAAGCTTTTAAACAGAATAATATTGCGCAGAAATCATTACAGAATAATGACTAAATATTTTAAAGATGTAAAATTTCAATTTTCCTCGATTTTTTTTAAGCACTAAGACAAAACATTTTAACCAATAATAATTGAATAGAATGATCCAATTATTCAACTGTAAAAAAAAAAGAAGTACAAATAGTAAAATTCGAATATTCCAGCTCATCGTTCTAAACATCAGTGACTAGAAGTCCTTCCGGTTTGGCTTGCTGCTCCGTTGATTTAACATCCGTTGCTACTTTGTCGGACAACCAATAAGTTTCCATGTTACCCTTACCCTGCTCGGAACAGTAAACCAGCGAATTATACGACACGGCGGGTGAGAATCCCTAAATTAAACTTTTTGCGATACGAACCTTGACCCAAACCAATCCGCGCGATTCAACGTGATAGCGATCCGGTGGTAATAACGCTTTCGTATCCGATGAGATGTGTACTTTGCCCGGCTGTGTACCGTGAAAATATTGAAAATAATTTACATCGATAGGTTCGAGTCGCTTACAATTCGCAAATCTAATTTATTTATTTCTTGTGGCAAAAGAGTAAATTCTCATTGCTTTCAAATTACACGGACGGAGCAATCGAATTTTAACTCGCGTGATAGAATTAATAAGAATATAACCTTCATGTTATTTGAATTTTTCAATGAGAGCAGTAAGTCCGAGTGGCAAGTTAAAGACATTATGAATATAAATAATTTTATTATTTTCAATCGGTTTGAATAAAGAGCAAAGAGCAAAGAATCTGCTCTTTGTACTTCTTTGAACCTTCATCTCGAACAATTCACTTTAAATAAACTTACCAGGCTAGTTGTTTGCATTCTGGAAGCGGTATTCACAGTGTCACCGAAGAAGCAATATCTAGGTACTTTGATGCCAACTACACCTGCCACAGCTGGTCCAGAATGAATACCTATGAAAGTAGAACATACTTGTACGCGATTATGCTCGTTCTTGCTCAATATTTCGAATATATTAAAAAGAAAAAAAAATCAGATTGTCTTCTGTGAAAAGTAAAACAGCAGAGGAAAGAATAAAAGAGAAAGGAAACCATAAAAAACAAGAAATATTGTTTGGAATCTTCTCTCTCTCTCAAAGATAAAAAAGAAGAGAGAGAAAGATAAAGAAAGGAACGAACCGCGGTGCAAGCGAAAAATCGAAAATGAATTTTAATTAAAAACGAAACACCTTAATCTTAATTTTAAAAAAGGAACCAACTGTAGAAAATCAAAAAGAAAATATTGAAAATAAACCAATTGTGTCAAGTTACATGAAAAGAAATCCCCTGTTGAATGAATTTGAATGTTTGGTAAAAGATAATGGGAAAAGGAAAGGAAGAAAGAAAAACGTAGAAAAGATAAGAAAAAAGTCAGAAGTATTGGAATCAAATCTCACGTCGAGTTACCTATACGAATTTGGATATCAACGCCAGAGGGTAACTTGAGGGATCGAACGTGTTTTAGCAGCTCCAACGAAACATCCGCGATATTTTGCGCGTGATTCTCCGTTCTATCCGGTGCACCACTGGCCGCCATATAAACCCGGCCGACGGTTTCTACCTGTTGAAAGTCGTACAGATAAACTTACGAAAGAGATCTATAAAGGTATCGAGATTACTCTGTTCCTGTTCCTTTTACTCTTGATCCGATGAAAGTGGAGTGTTCAAATTACACGCGACACTTACTTTGTACACATTGAATTCATCCATCAACGAGTCGAAACATGAGTAAACAGCGTTCATCGACGAGACGATGTCCATCGCGCCCTCGATCGTCGAATAGTCCAGGTCGCAAAGTTCGCAGAACAGCACGGAGATAGACTCGAACGACTATGAAAGAGGAATAAAATTTTTATTAAAATTAAGAATTTATTAATTAAAATTATATCGAATACACAATAATAATAATAATAATGAATATATAATATAATATAATATAATAATAAATAAAATATAAATAATATATATAATATAATATAATAATAAATATCGAATATACAGTAATAATAATAAATGTAATATAAATAATATATATAAAAATAATATTATGATAAATTAAAAGCACCATAAGTGATCAAGTCAGTATATAATAATGAAATATCATTTTACTTTGTAAGAAGAAAATTTCAAAATACTCGACATTTCGTTCGTTCAATTATTAATTTCGAACGACTAAATATTATCGTCTGGTTTCATCGATATTTTAGAAGATATCTTTAAATACCTCGCAGGTGCTCAAAGGACTAGCTCCAGCACGCAATCGATCAGCAACTGTCTGCGGGATCATGGAGTATAAAAGCTCGTCGCTCTTATTCTTCCAGCGATCCAATAACGCGTAACTGTTCTCCAATTCGGTCGACCTTTGCTCGGCTCTCTCGAACATCATCTCCAATCTAAGTCACAGTTCATCGAAGCACGTATGTATGTATCTCGTCGACGTTTGGTGGCGTTTGAATTGAAACGAGTGGAATAGAATAGCTCGGTTAGCCTTACCCGGTAATTAAAAAAATAATATTGTACCTTCCGCAATGCTGCCATCCGGCGAGTACTAACTCACGACTCAAGCCATGGGGATTCAGATCGTTCAGGTACAGTCCCATGTTAAGCAGTTCGTCTAGACTGTTAATTCTGTCGAACAAATTCGTTCTCTTGTTCTATTTTTGATGTAATTTTTCGCATCGTTGCTGCGAGCCACTCAGAAGCCATACTGATCAACTCTATGCAATATTAGAACTCCTATGATTTCTCAATATTCGATTACCGTTTCAAATTGATTTTGAATCGTCTTATCTCCGACTCATTCAGAGTTCTTTATTACGATAAATAAACTCGTAGAAGAAAAGATAGATAATACGATTATAGATAAGGATTATCAAAGATAATGTAACTTGACAGACAATGCAAGTTTATTTCTTGAAACAGTTTAATGCAGAAACTATCACGTAACAGTCAAATGATTCACAAAACCTTAGGATCCGTAGGATCGATGAAAATATAAAATCTGCGAGATCCAGCTTCTGAGAGGCTCGTGCGCGCGCGTGTATCTTGCCAACTTACAGGGGGCTACACAGGAAAATAATTGCTTTAAGATCCTCGATATATCTCATCTGACCTTTCAGCAGTATGCTTCTAGCTCCTTGACTGCCTCGCCTATCCAATCCGGAGCTGGTGCTCGGCGTATTGTCTGAGTTTGACGAAGCATCGTTATCGTTTAATCTGATTAACTCCAGTTCAAACATCACCGAATGCAAGTACATCACCTGCGCACGTGTGCATCAATTCGACGATTGATCGGGAATTAATGTAATACGAATATCAATTAAGGATTGAATTGTTAATAAGGATCGTTAAACGGAGATTAATTACGCAAATGAATGATGGCCGTGTTGTGCGTTGCGTTAGAATGAGCTCTCGTTCAGGAAAGCATTAACGAAGCATCATTCTCTTCTGAAGTTAATGGCTTTGTATGGAGTTAATGAAATGTGTATAAGCCTCCTTTAAGTAACTAATTTATTAGTCAGTGCGTGAAATGATGGTAATGGTACTGAATATTTATATAATATTTTGTTGTTCTATGTATGAATTTTCGTGCGTTTATATAAATAAAGAAATTCTTAATATTTAGGAAAGCGACTGATATAAAGTCATAATTAAAAAACTGGAACTTCAGCAGAGATTCAGTTTCCAGTTATTAAATATTATTTTAGACACTTCCTTTTATAATTTTTACAAGAGCAATTTAGAAATTTTGCACAAGAGCAGTTGGAAACGATGTCGTTTGATAACACGATTAATTCATAAAATATGAATAATTTCACAGTTCAAATCAAATTTACACATTCCATTATGCGTTCATAATGAATTCTGTTTGATCACAGTAAATTGTCACAATTTCATTAATTCCATAAATTCTATTTAATTTCAAATCCAATTGAATAAAGAAATTATTTCGTTTGATAGAATGATCAATTTGTGAAATAACGTAGTGACTATAACATGTGTAAACAAATTCCAGAAATTCTCCAAAAGGATCTACAATGTGAAAAGATATTGTATCATCGAACTAAGAAAAAAATCTGATGTAAAATGACGTAATAGCAATAATACAACGTCCTGGTTTCTTTGCTCCGAGAAAATATACGAGAACGATGCTGGAAATGTGACATACTCTCTTTTATCTGCCATAAAATAACCCCTTACGTTTCCCCATGTGAAAGATATCCCTTTAGGCCTGCGAACTTTAAAAACATCCGTGACGTGTTTGTTCAAGATGGACGAACTGCCGCCCCACGCTTGCAGCAATTTATCACCGGCCCCCAATATTTTCATGTCCTTGTTGATTATCACTCCAAATGGAAAAAGGCGCAAGAGGAACGAGATTGACACCGGTGCCAATTCACGGCCAAGCGGAGTTTTCATACTGTTGTTCTTCGCGATCTGAGAACGTGAATACGAATAATTTGAACTTTAATTAGATTAAATCAGAAATATACGCAATATACAGAAGTGTATGAAAAAAAAGCAAAATAATTTCCTTTTGATAAAAGGAAGAGTACAATAATGATAATAAAGAGTACAATATGTTACAAGGACTGGAATGGTTTATATCATTCTAACGTGTAATTATATCCAACATTTGATATCTAATGTGCAACATGTTTCATTTGAATTTCCTAGATTAATTATTTATAAAGACATTTTCCTTTTAAAAAAGGAATTGCTCGGCTATCTAATCGTTATTCACCCGTCAATTACTCACGTATTCACGATTGTCGAAATCGATTCGGAATTTAACCATTACGCTTCTGGATCCAGGGATATTGTTTGAACTTCCTAATACTCGTATGACCAAATCTGTTTCGTACAGCTCTTTTGCTATTTGAAACAACTGACCTAAAGAGAAATACGCAACTGAATCTTTGATGCACACTTTTGAATTAAATTCAAATCATATAAAAATGTTTAATTTTAAAATTTTTCCACTTTCACAAATTCATGTGTATATATATATATGAATTTGTGAAAGTGGAAAAATTTATTTATATATATACGTTTACATGTATAGGTTAAGAAAAATATAAGTAAAATTATACTAAAATTATAAGTAAAAGTCAAAAGAGAAATAGTCATTAAACAATGGAAATTTTTATTGAAAATTTTATTCTACTCTACCTTACCCATGAGATAATGCGTAAATCCTTTCCTAGTGCTTCGGTAAACCAACACTACACCTTGTGGGTCGACGTGTGTAGTGTACATGGAAGGACTTTTCATTCTTGGGTACGTGAATCTCATCTGCATGTGAATATTGTCGACGCTTTGTAGAAAGTCACAAAAATAGCGGCCAGTGGCTTTTATCATGCAGGCATATCTGTTACAAAGACAATAATTACCGCTGAATTTTGATCTGGAGAAATTTGAATTTGAACTATAATATATCTGAAATATGAATGAAAAACAGGCGTTCTTGAACGAAACGCAAGTTGTATAAAATTAATATCAAATTATTTAAAAGTATCTCTTACGCCCTTAAACTTTAAATTACATTTCAAACAATTTCATTTTAAAATTTCCAATTTGTTCATGCTTCTATTATATACAAAAAGTTACAAATCGCGTCCGCAAGAAAGTAGAATCTCAAGTTCGTTAATCAATATTTATGTATTATTGTCTAACGTTTCAAATTTACAATCTACATAAATCACGCCCCGTGTCTTATATTCAGACGTCGCATAATTTTCTCCCTTGAGACATCGAATAAGACACTGATAAGGCAGAGTATTAAGTACGTATTCCCTGTCGCCTATAACATGAACAAATACGTCATCGAACCAACTTAACAAACTGTTGGCAATTTTCATTTTCATTCAGTGAAAAATGAGGGAGCGAACAGTGGAACAAACTAAAATATTTAAAGCAGAGAGTGTCGCTTTCAGCGTATGACTTGCTAATGAAAAGGAGTATCGATTCAAACGCAATAAAACATTAATCCAAGCTTTTAATGGGACTTGTGTTCCACCCCGCAGGTAATAATTAATTTCTACATCACATAGTTCTCCATGGTATAATGGTAATTGGACCGTTTAATTAGCCAGAATCTAAATCCAATATCCAGCAGCACGAGGCTCAATCCAATCATGCACGTATTCCAATTCGTATGACCATAAATGGATACATTGATTCCGTTCATGTTTAAACATCACAGTTATCTCTGACCGATTCCTCTAATTTTACAAAATAAAATGATAGGTTTTTGAGTAATTTTTTTTCTTTTTTTTTTTTTGTCTACACGTTATTCTTCCTTTTCTCTTTTTTTCTTTGGATTGCCAAGAATCACATACCGGTGATATTTTTTTAGAGTAATCAAAAAGGATCATCAACAATATGTGACTCTTAGTTACTATTTAAAATTTAAAAAGTTCAAAATTTAAAAACTTTAAAACTTTTAAATTTTAAAATTTAACGTGTAGATTAAAAAAAGTTTTTGTTAAAATAGAGGGTTTCAAAATTTTTCTTTAGAATAATATGAGACAATTACTAATAAATATTTATCGAGCATGAAGAAATGTTTTAATTTCAATTCAACTGTCATTGAATTACACACGATTCATGAAAGTTTATATTAATCATCTTAGATTCATAAATGAAAGCCAGAGTAAAACCGTTTAAAGAAAAAAACGACTCAAACTTTTGTTGTCAAAATAGGTTGTTCATTCGACGTCAGATGGAGAATACATAGCTTTAACTTCACCAAGTTCCTTTCGTGCGGTAAATTACTTAATCCTGTCTTGTCATTTCTGACCCAATTGTGTTTGCATACCATTATGAAATTTCTTATATCTATGGTAGAAGATATTTATGGAAGAATCGAAATAATTAATATGCATTTTTCATTTAAATTCTGTAAAACGACAAAATCTTCTCCATTGAGAATAAAAACTAAATTGTCACATGAAGATTAGAGAAATATAATAGATCAATCTTAAAAAATAATTCTTTTCAATTCCTGGAAGCAGTACCATGAATGTACAAAATATATGTAATTGGATATAATACATTGTGTATACAGAATATAGCAAATTAAATATATGGACGAAAGAACATTAAGTATACCAAATATGCAAAATCAAAATATACTAAATATACATAATTAAAATTAAGTAGTCTAATTTATATTTAGATTACCGCAGACAACTATGTCTCCGGAATATCAATTGTGAATTGAAAATTCGAATTTTTGAAAATGACACTTACCCTAAGTTGCTAAAAAATCGAACGAAACACTTCCCAAAGAATTGCATTACATCCTCCATGGACTCGCCGTTGAATTCGGCCAACGCAGCAGCTAAATTCGTCATGAGCTCGTCGGGATACGTTTGCCGCGTGTTGAAAACCATATGCTTGCAATCAGCTCTTTCCAGGAGCTGAAGCCACACATCCTCGCCATATTCTAACTGTAACGAGAATTTCATTGCCCTTTCAGCTTTATCATTTTCTTTGATATTAGCATTCTTTTTGAACAAACTTTCCCCTCTACGTTCTATATTACTTTCTTCTACGTTCTATATTACATTCTTTTTTCTTTTTAGGGGGAGGGAGGAAACTATTTTATGTTACTTTAAGATTTTATCTTATTACGTTGGTGCAACACTATAATGAAAGTCATATTGCGTCGTGGAATTCAGTAGAGACGATGTTCTAGAAAATTTTTTTTTAATTTTAAGATACATCGTAATGTTCTTTTGAAAAATTTTTTATATTCAGAAATATATTGCGAGAACATCTTAATACCCTAGAAAATATAGGAAATTTGTTGAGAGCTTGAAAATGTAATGCTACAGAAAAATTTTAATCTGTTCTAAGAGATAGAGGAGATTTAAAAAATTTCAGGATTTGATATTGCGAAAACTCTTGAGATGCTCGGGAAAATATAGACGATATTTCAACTTTTACTTTCAAAATGTAATATCGCGAAATGAAGGTGTCAAATCAGATCGTTACTTTCATGGGAAAATGATCTATCGTGGTCCAACGTGTGAATAACGCGAAAAAAATTTCGTTCACGTAGATTTCCACGCCGGCAGATGATGGATTTTCGATAAAGGTAGCTTAGAAACAGTGAGAAAAGACAATATAAAAGAACAGAGCGTGTAGCTGTTTCTATTATACCCTAGGGAAAGATTCCACCTTTCGTATTTCCCATTGTTCCCCTTATCGTAAAAAACAAAGAGCTAACTAATACGCTGCTCTTTACGTCATTCATAAATAATGATCGTGAAATGTTGTACGTAACAAATTGCAAGACACGTACATTCCTTATCCAACCATTAATTAAATTTTCTTCGTGAATTTCTTTGACAAACACTGTGAAATTTACTGAAAAGTATCAAAGAAGATCAAGTTCTTTTCACTTCACTTATATCCTTAGGGAAAATTCTTCATTTTTAAGAGCCGTAGAATCATTCTTAACATCCAAATGATTTTCACTGGCTATCAATGGCTTTTTTCCTACCTTTGGCATGCATTGATCCGACGTTATTATTGCTGTACTTTGACTTCGAACATCCAGAATTACCAACACGTGGATGATATTGAAATTTCCCAGAAATACCTCCGACATTGTTTTTCATAGATCGTTGCTTTTATTGTCCATTATTTTTCATCGGCTACAGCGTTACTGATATCGAGTAACGAATAAAAAAGTTTTTTAAAATGGTGATTGGATTTACGAAAGAGAAGAGAAATGTATTTCATAGATGATTCACGGTGAAAATAAAAGGAAATGACTTTAGCATCTTAAAAGATTGTTTTAGCAAAAACTTTACTTTTTTTTTTTTACCAAAAAAAGATCAAACTGAATATGCACTTTGAATATCGTTCCATTCTTAATTATTCCCTGTGTTAGGTTTGTTTTAAAGATTAAATGTCAACACAGTACGAAGATATTACAAGAATTTTATTCTGCAGTACTACTCTATGATTGTAAAATTAAAAGTTGAATATTTAACGTTATTAAGTTTTATGAGATTAATTTTACGAAATTAAAAGAATTAAATTAAAAGGCAACCTTCGCAGAATTAAATTTCTTCGTTAAATAAAGTGATTTTATTGATGATCTCGTTTGAAATATCAGTCGTGTATGTTTGAACTTTCGTATTAGATTTCCTAAACTTCCTGAATAATCACTTAGAATTTATCAATGTAGGAATAATGTACGAAACGCACATTGTTCGTTCTACATATTCACAAGAAATCGCGTAATTAAGCCAATTTCTTATTCACCGTAGAATAATCAATGTTCGTTCTGACATAATGACTTTGGTCACGAAAATTAATACGATCTTCACATTAATGAAACCCCGCGAGACCCAATATGTGAAATGGACACGCAAATTTTTGAAATGAAACGAATCGATCAGTTTCCGATTATCAAATATTAATCAAGTGCTAAATTATACAGAAACTGAAACGTTTTGTCGTATAACTAGAAATACAAATCTAATTAAAATAATTAATTTGTCCCGTTAATGATTGACATTTTAATATCTAACGGAACGATTTTTTAAATCTTTTAATTCCGCAATTAAATAATTTCCTAATTATTAAACGAAGATTGTTGAAATGTTTAAATTTTTAATTAAATAGATCTTTCTTATTATATAACTTTCAAAGAGAGAATTTTCTAATTTTCTAATCAAACGATTGTCCAATTTCTAATCAAACGATCTAATACATTGTCGAACAATTTTCCAGTTTCTAATCGAACGACTTCCCAAGTTTTAATTTAACAATTTGGTACCCATTTAATGCCTGATAGCATCTGCTCAAAGAAGCTAATCAAAACAACGCGACGCATGTTAACGAAGATAATCTAACCGCCTTTCCTCTCGCGCAAAACTTATACCTTAATTAATGCGCACTTGCTGAAACTGCAAACGAGGTTTTCTCTTTCGCAGCGGGGAGCAAAGAATGATAAATAATAAATCGCTGATTATACGATCGACGTCGATTCATTGAAACTTAATGCATTAGAAAAACAAATTAACGTCCTTAAGTGACGGAGGAACGATGCTATTTTTAAATCTTCGTACAATTAAGGCTCAGAGGAAGCCTGGATCCATCCATATTCAGATACCTTGTTTCATTGCGTACCTTCAGACCATTTCCTTCGACTGCTACGTGACTCTTTTAGCAACGACCGATTATTTTTGCAACAAATCAGCAACTTGCACGTCACCTTGACAAATATACATTACTGTTCAAATTTGGACAATAAGATGTGTAACGCAAGGATAATACATTATCTATAATGCACTGTTAAATTTCACGAAATGTTAACGAAATTCTGAGATACACAGATTATATTCTGAAGATATATTCTGAAATATATATATATATTACTTATACAATGTTCAAATATTAATAAGAATCACTGTAATACAATTATGAAATTATGAACGATTCGCAATAATTCTGATCTTTCCAACCATCATAGCTACGTGTAATTAAATTTAACGCGATTAAATTGATTTACGACCATTTATGCCACTCGTTTACGAAGATAAGCACAACTTATAAATGTGAGATCTCTTTGAAGTTTTGCGTATTAATCGCACAAATGGATAACGCGAAATAATTTGAAATATTCCTTTACGGCAAATAAAAAAGTGAGAAGCGAAATGAAATTTATGAATGAAATATCATTTCTGGTTTTTAACATTATTTTAATTGTACGAAATAATTTTACGAAAAAATGCACAATTAACCATAGCAATTTTACGAAAAATGCACAATTAACCATAGCAATTTTACGAAAAATACACAATTAACCATAGCAATTTTACGAAAAATACACAATTAACCATAGCAAATTTATGAAAAATGCACAATTAACCATAGCAATTTTACGAAAAATGCACAATTAACCATAGCAATTTTACGAAAAATGCACAATTAACCATAGTAATTTTACGAAAAATACACAATTAACCGTAGCAATTTTACGAAAAATGCACAATTAACTATAATGTGATTTCCGAGACGTTCGATTGCTCAACTATGCTTTTGTTACGTCAGTAACAAGTAAATAGGATGAATCACATGTTCGAATGTTCGAATCGGCTTGCGATCGGTTTCACCTCGCGAACGTTCAGCAGAGGCGAGAAGTTATCCCGAGGCAATTTTTCCAGAAGCACGATCTCACGATCGCGCTCGATCGTTTTGAGCGGATTAAAAACTCGTTGAAGAATCGGAACATTTATTCCAGTCGTCGATATTTAAACAAGTTGGGACACTTTATCAAGATGATTAAGAACGGAACGTGAATCTTCTCGAGGCCGAGGAAAGGAGGATATTGGAGAAAGCTATCGCGTTGCAGATCGGATCATGTTCTTTTATGGTTGCCATTCCTACGGAATTCTCTCTTAGATTAATTTCATTTGTATTCGCACCAGGGATGAAATCCCATCGAAGGATTTCTACTCTTCTAACGTTAATCGATTTGAAGTTGTATACATGTTGCATAAATATGCGCATTAATTGTACGCGCTACTCTTCATGGTTACCGAGTCATGAATTATTCTGAACTGATTAATTAATATGCCGTTAAGAATTTAATTATTAAATAATTTCCAAGAGCAATATTGCTTTACGATCGTTCGGCCTTTATAAATTACGTTTGATATGTTGATGGAAATTAATCTAGAGCGGCATTACATTTTTGTATGTGTTCGTCGTTCGTGTTTCAATTATTTAATTTTTATATCATAAAATTGGTGATATGAAAGAGAAATATGTCACTCCTATACATTATATACGTATTCAGTAGAATTTGAAATTTAGATTTTCTTTCATTGCGAGAGGAAACTTTCGAATATATCTCGTTATTACATTATTTGAGATTGAATTGCCACGGTAATTTGATGAAATAAAGGAAAATTAGATTACTTTTTATATCCGCTGAAACTTAAAGATACACTTAAGATTTATATTCTGCGTACTGAAAGATTTAATTGTTAAATTAACTGAAGAAAATGAAATTATTATTATGAATGAAATATCTGCCTGCCACTTACGTGCAAATATTATTCTAATTATCAAAGTGCACAACGATATATCTATTAAATTAGATTATATATATAAATTTGCAAGAAGCTCTTTGATTTTACGAGAACAAATATATTCGCTTAATTGAAAAAGAATGTAGAGATTTATACTGAAAGAGAACTTCAGAATAACAGCAGTAATAATAATTTAATATAATTCTATACAATCGTTGAAGGGGAACGAAGAAAAGAGTAGATAAAAGAGAATTTATTTTCGCCATTAACTCCATAATAATGAGAACTTAAGGATATTTTTTTTACTACGTACATACATAGATAATCGATTTCTTTAGCCTGGCTTTGTATGTAGTCTTTACGTGTTCCATAAGAATTGCAGCAATGCGCGAAAAATTCGTTTTTGATCAGGTATATACATAGAAAACATGTACAAAAGAATCAGTTATTTGTATGCTTTTCTCATTCAAATTGATGTACGTAGTTCAGTCAATATCATTGGTAAATATTCGGTACACGTGCGTGCAATAAAATAAGGAAGTAATGATGGCAGTGCACTTGCAGAAACTTTCATTATCAGTTCAATTGGCACGAGTCGGAATGGTCAACATTAAATGTACAGAGTGAGAGAAGAAAGAACGTGAACGAAATAAAAATTGAGATGAATCACGTTTTCATTTTAAAGTAAAATTAGAGAAAATACCGCGGAAGATTTCGATTATCCTGAATGACGATTGTTAAATCATTTTGCCATTGTTCGATAAAATTTTGTTGTACGATTCACAGTTTTGTTCCATCGTTATATTAAATGTAATGCAGTTACATTTAACAGTTTCATCGAGTTTTAAATTATTCATTGAACCAGGAAGTACAAATAAACCTATATGTATACTGCATACGTTGGCAAATATTTGTATTTATGTGTGTCCGCAGCAGGAACTGCTTAGTTTGAAGATGTTGAACGCGAAGTATATAAAACATAAAACTCAGTGACAAAAGTTTTACTTTGTGGATTCTATTACTTACAAGAAATTTAAAAACGACGGACGACACGTAATATGTAAAAATATCCAAAATAGTGTACTCGTAATATTTATTATTATTATAAACAAATCTCCACTTCGTTATTGTGTCCACGGAGATATAAATTTGCATGAATATCAATAATATAGCAATGAGTTTATCCATTTTATTAAAGAACAATTCATTGCAGCAGACCAGAATCTTTCTATCATCCTCCAATTTTCTTAATTTCGTTCAACCCCGTTGCAGATCTCAAATTCTAAAAATCTTTTTTCTTCTTCAATTGTCAACAAAAATGTAGAATTAAAAACCACGCACATTAAATTTGTGAGATACTTTTATCTCACTTAAAAACACTGCAACACTCTGAAAAACCCTCTCCCCTGATTTCCCTAATTTCGTTCAGCCTTGTCACAGACCTCGAGTTTTCATAATTTCCTTTTTTAATTTTTAACAAAACGAAAGAGGTAAAAATCACCGTGTATCAACGTCTCGAGAAACTGCAGAAAACTTCCCAACAACAGAAAAGAATGAACAGAAAACAGATTGAAAGAACAGAGCCATGACTGAAATGCGGTCCCAGTTATCAGAATCATCTTCTACACACACCGGTGCATGTGCATTGTTCCCTTTTTTTCTCATCGTGTAATCACATTAATTCGGATCAAGAAACCAGCGTCTATCCTATCGATTCTTTTTGAACTGGGTTTTCGAAACGACGGTTTCGATTGTCCAACACAATCGAATAAACTTAATCGAATAAACCAAAGTGCGAGTACACGTTAAATCGGAGTAACAAAAGAGTTACCTGTCGAAACGAAATCAACTGGTTCGACGAACAACCTAGCACTGACACATACAAAGTCGTGTTTTCTGTTTTTTTCTTTTTTTCTTTTTTTGCTTTATATACACACTTTCGTTCAAAAGTGTCAAAACGGATTTCGATTTTTTAAACATTCAATTTTATTGTAGACAACGAAATATCAATTTCTCAAATTCATTAATCCAAACTAATAGAAAAAAATAGAGAAATTGGTAAAGTAATATTTGCACATTTTTTCCTGAAATTTTTTCTGAAATTCAAACTCAAATAAACATTGTTAGTTTTATCTAACGATGCACCAAGTGCATAAAATAGTATTTCCTTGAAATAATCGCATTGGCATCTGAAATAAATTACTCATTACTATTCCGCAACTTGTTATTCAAAAAAATTTTTCTTATTCACTGGTTACTTATTCAAACGTAATTTTTAAGGAAATTTATTCTAAATATAAAAAAGTCAAGGCGTCAGTCAGTGTATTTTAGTTGATTAAAATTTAAAAGAATTCAAAGAAGTTAACTTTTGTTCGTCGTATTGACTTCAGTTAGAATTTACAATACTTCAACAATACGAAACATTTCACAGTTAAACGTAAACGAAATCAACGATCAATGCAATCATTCGCAGGTTACAATTTCGAGCTACAAAAATAATCATCACACTGATTTAAGTCAATTTGAACCTGTGAAAATTATCAAGAATTTTTGAGTCAATCAACATCGATCCTGAAAGATCACTTTGATCACTTTGATCTGCAATGTATCGGTACTTTGTTACAGTCACGTAATTAAAATTTTGATGCAAATGCAAATACTTGTCTCGAGTCTTTTGAGAGAAAGCGGAGAGGTACGTTTTACCGACCTGCACGAAGTGCTGGACACTCTCCAACAGCATGCCGTACATTGTTCCGGCTGTTTCCGAGATACTTCACCAAGTGACGTACGCATTCATGAGGCAAAGTCTCGTGAGGTGAGAATTGAGAAAACGTCGATCTTTCGGCGATCGTCAGACGGTGATTTCCGAAAACGCGAAACGATTCGATCGCATGGCCGCGGTGAAACGCGTCGCACCGCTGCCTTTCAGTCAAGTGTTTCGCGCCATTACCACGCCGTTTGCCATTTCGACTTGCTCGCTTCTCTCGCGTCTCTTAACAAGAGAGTGAGTACTGAGAGACTGGCCTGGTTCGGCGGCGCGCTTAACTTTGAGTTTCAGTATCGGTGCCGCCGGGGGTTACTCGCAATCCGGGAAGGGTGGTTTGGATTCACTGCGTGCGCAGCACGTTGCCACTTTCGCTTGATTCCTGCCATCTTTGAACACCTGTTCGCCTATATCCGGGAATTTTTGTTTCCCGTGGAAATTGTCTCAGAGAAACCTGAGAAACAAAGTGCTAAGCTTTATGTGCTATATTTGTGAGAAAATTGAGAATGCAGCCAATATAAAAAAGAAGAGATATAAAATATCTAAAGTGGAGTATTTGGTGTGATTTTTAATAAATAGAAAACATCTCTATTCGTCTTCCAATATTTTCGTTTCTTGTGGAAATTTTGAGAAATGTGATCAGAATGTGGATTTTTACGTTAATTTTTGAGAATACAATAATATCTAAAGTAGAATATTTGGCGTAATTTTTAATAAATAAAAGACATCTCTGTTTAAGTTTAAAAATCTTTAATTTCTTATATTCTAATATTCTTATTATTTCTAATATTCTTATATTCTAATATTCTTATTATTCCAGTAAAGGATGCTTCAGTCTTTTGAATGGTAGTATATATATCAAACTGATCTGATTTTTCTGCTGTCAAGATGATACGTAAAATGCAGAAGACAAGAGTACGAATGTGGTTCTCTCCAAACTCCAAGAAACTCCAGAGAATTTTGAATTCAATGTTAATTTAAATGTCAGTCACAGATTTTAAAAAGAATGATACAACAAAGCTTACGTACTCAAGAGAAAACTCTCTTTGTGATCAAATGCAGAGTTTTCAACAACTTGATATTTCAAAATATATATATCTCGAGATATCAATTTGAATATTGTACTAATTAGAGTTTAGTAAAATTGATATCTTAATTTAAATATACAGTTATACAATGAGAACAAAGAAAAATTTGTTGAATAATTTTTCAAACTCTTGAGAAATGTAATGTAACGTTGATCTAATTTTTCACTTACGAAAACGCTTTGTGAAGTAACGAGGACGAGAATCTAAGTGAAAACTGTTATTTTCATCAACGATTAAGTTACTAAGAATGGAAAGATTTAATGTAACGTTTCTGTCAATAAAAGAATTATTAAAAAATGATAGATGTGACTTATACGCAGACCTTTATCCAGCGGAGATACTTCGTAAGGGATGAGAAGTAAATTCGTGACTGAAATTGTACATTTTGATGTTCAAAGCGTTTTAATTTAACATGTGAGACATACGGTGTTTCGAGGTGAGTTTCAGTTTGGTGAAAATGGAAGAAAGTTTGTTTGTTTGAATAATTTATCTGACAAAGAGAAAACTCTTAACAAATACGATTGATTTAAACTTTTTCGTGTGATACTGTTGTAAAGGGCAACAATCGTAATTTTTTAAAACCGTATGTCATAAATCTGACACGTTGGTAATTTACGCGTAATATTTAATTAATGAAATTCAAAATTTATATAATTGGAGGGAAATCCATTTGAATATTTAGTACATATATTTAGCGAAAAGTGAATTTTTCTTGTATAAAAGTGTTGTATATCTCGCGAGAAGTAAAAGACAAGATAGCGGTTAGAACGTAGTGTTTGAAGTTTGAAACTTTTAAGCATAGCAAATGGAAGTATAGATGTATAGTTTCAACTAAGAAAGTAAGTTCAAAGTTAGTGAGAATAAAGGAAAGTTGGCTTGTCCGGACAAAGGTGTGTCTTATTTATTCTGTTCTCTAGAGACTTCCATCCTTTCCAGAGACTTAATATGATTCTTGATATGTCAATTGTCATGTAACCTAAATCAATATAAACTTGATATGTCATGTAACCTAAGCCAACATAAACTTGAGATTAAAATTTAATCGAAATTACTGCTTCAAGCAAGCTTGACGTCTCAAGTCCGATAAATTATTCAACTTCTGTATCATCCAATATAAAATAGTTCATGCCCGATGCAAGCTACGTAATAGACTCTTTAACCAGTGAACCTTGCTCAAGCTAATATTTAACACAAAATCAATCATTTAATCTTCAGTCTATTATATCTTATTATTTGGAATATATTAAACTATCAGCATAAATTTAATGTGCACACAAAGCTCGATTTGATTTGTTCAGTCTACAGATTTAAATTTAACTTAAATTTATAAACTTGTGATATATTTAATTTGTCTGTACTCGAATCAAGTGCGTCAGTTGTACGAAATTTATTTAAAACTTGATATATAATCTAGTCAATTAAAGTGATAATTCATTAAATAAATGATAGTTCATCGAGATAAATGGACCAGTTTCTTAATCGCACATTTATCTTTCTGGGACGTATTTATTGTACGCGCGAGAGAATGAAATTGTGCGTATGATAATGTATGTCACAAAAACAACATGTATAAGTCGGCGTAGAAGATGTACTGTTATCTTTGCTACACACGTGTTAACGTTTCATCGTATATACGTGTTCAGGAGAGACATACACGGCATTACAATTCGTTTTCGAAAGTGGGAATTGAACGTGCGAGGATGGTAATTTTCTTTCGTTTCTTTGACAGGAAATTACAGCTTCCACGGAATGGAGTATTGTTACACTACAAGATTACTTTGTATCACTTACAAATAATTGCACAACATTCATAATTGTAAAATATGTAGGTACATAATTATACAAATTTTATTTAATTTTTATACGCTGGCTTTCCAACGTGAATATTGTATCAGCAAACACGATTGAAGCTTCTAAAATATACCATTAATTTATTTATAACAGTATTGATTTATAGCGAATTACAATGCATGGGTAGTTGTATCCATTAATCTCAAATAATAACACTACTATTATTTATACAAATAATAATACTGTTTATAAATTTATATGTACGATAAATTGTAATTAATCATATTGACAAATAATACTGGTTAATGGTTATTTTTGTTTAACTCAACATGAAATCAGGACAATTTATATTTCCCTCTAAACAAGTATATTTCATCTAATGGACTTATTCGATCATTAATTACATTAAGAATCAACATGTAATGTTTCTTATCATTGAAATGGATTCTACGACGAAGCAAATGTATTTTGTTCGGTAGTGATGGGATATTAAAATTCTGTAATTTTTAAATTTAGTTTATTATTAGGTACTCCGTGTGGATTGAAAGATGTTGTAAAATTATAAATATATTTAATGATTAATATTTACCATATAAATTGTACCATAAAGACGTTATATATTATTATCTATGTTTATTAATAAATACGAAATAATATGATCGTAATATATGTACATTATACTGATATAATATAAATATAAATTAACGGTATAAAACTATATACCACTGTAACTTAAAACTAATTAACTATGAAACTATATAAACTGAAAAACTTTATTATTATAATAAATTATTATAATTAACAGTAAAAAATTAACTATAAATTAACTATAAAAAAAACTATATGTTAACATGAATTAAAATGAATTTAATATTCTTTAAAAAACTATATACTAACATAAATTAAAATGAATCTGATATCCTTTCCAATCCTCATAATTTATATCAACGCTTCCCTCGGCAATTTACATATAGAATCAATTATCGAATCTATTATCTTTCCTCATGTTTTCACAAAAATGCACGTTTAATACTAATATTAAAAATACACGTTCTAGAATATAATTCCAACTTGTTACTTAATTTTTTGTAAATTGTTCTAGAAAAAAAAAAAAAAACTAAGTACTTTTAGAAAACCACTCTCTCTGATTTTCTGTGGGGATCCATAGGTTGGAAGAACGTGTATCGAAATAAATAAACCATCAATCTTCAAGTTACCGCGCTATTGGAAATGGCGCTTTTGCGGTACGCCACACGACGAATGATCTCATTATTAGAAATCTGAGAACACGTTCGAATCACTTCTGTGATGAGTTTCCGATAAATTGAACGTTCGCTCCAATTTGATCCACTCCTGGTGAAAATCGGCTCGATTCGATCGATTCACGCCGAGGCTTGCTCGAGGTTCTAGGACAACTTACGATCAGAAGAGCGTCGTTCCCATCGCTAGCTAAGAGTGGACGAGAACGCGAGGACGCATGAACGTAGGCAGCCACTGGTTGGCAAGCGCGCGCGCGCGCGCGAGCGTACAGTGAAAACGTAAACATGGCCGCGGTGAGTAGTGAAGGTTTGCCAATATCTCCGTCCGAGAAATCGTTAACCGGTAGCTTAGTGTCCGAAGAGAATGAGAAAAGTGTATCGCGATCGCCGTCGACTTACTCGATTAGGGAGGACAAGTGGCCGGATCTCGTAGTCTCGAGGCCTAGAAAATTGGACGCTTGGTGGTTACCCAGACGTAAGTACACATCTACGATACGTGCATGTTTCCGATCCGCTTTCGGCGCGCGTTTCAAAGTAGTCGCAACGTAGCCCGTCGATGCGAAGTGCGCGTGATTGAACGTCGATGCGCACACGCTGGACCGCTGTTTCTTTATCGCGAAACGCCTACTTTGCAAGTCGACACGCGGTCACGTGATCATCAATGGGAAATATTACACGTGTTACATGCCACGGCCAACTCCACGACCGGGACCGGTCGTTTACCTCGATGCGAATTACACGATCTGCATTACTACGATTTAGATCGTTTACTTTTACGATTTAGATTAACTGATTAGTTTAGATCAGCCGATTCTAATCAAGGTTTAAATTGGCTGAAAATGAGATTGGCCATGCGTGTAGTTCAATATTAATTCTTGAATTAATAGAAAATGGGATTATAGATGCGCGTAGTTCGATGTAGTTTTTGAACCGATGAACGAGAACAAGAGTTAGTGGATTAACAGATGAGCAGCAGTAGAACGAAATCGATTAACGTGTTTCAATAGTATAGTTATTTTAACATTTAGCTATTTCAAAAGTATCATCCATTTGATTTTTAATAAAATAACTGCGCATGAAGGTAACAGGAAGTTAATTTTAATTTCGTTTGTTACGTGGGTGTGAATATTACGATGAAATAAAATAAAAAAAACACCGCTTTACGATTTTTAAAAAAGTTGTCCAATGCATGAAGTAACGTCCAACGCATCCGTAGAAAATTACATTAGAATATTCGTAGAATATTCGAAATAGAACTTCATTTATTAAAAGTAAATAAAAATAAAATTCCGTAATATGTAGCTAACGTAGCGCGTAATAACTCTAGAAATTATTCTCTTTCAATCACGTCACGATGAAGTTGATGATCGAGGATCTTAGCGATTTTGTTTTCTGTTCTACCGATCGAGTCGTGACAGATGGCAGCACCATCTGGTCTAGCTGCCCGAGCGCGGGTATTGATTATCGTAGGTGGAGGTAAGGTCGGCGGGAGAATCAATATTACATTTCGCCGGCGACTCGCCATATTCTCGTCGTAAAAATTTCCGTGAGCAACGGGCGCACGTCATACGCGGTCATACGCGGTTTCCCTCGACAGTGAATCGGTCTCAGCGATGTCGAGCTACTAAGGAAGCCAACACCGCAACGTTCAGCTACGATGTAGCACGAAACCGAGTGCGAACGATCGTTTTTCCGCTTCAGCCAAACGTTTCTTTTCGTTGCTTTTACCGCAGTGTCTATATTTCGTTTTTCTCCGTTTCACGAACTAACGCCTCAGTCTAACAAACACCGGACAAACGTCGTAGACCGAAATCTATTTAAACGAAAAAAAAAAAAAAAAAAAAAAAAAAAGAAGAAGAAAGAAAGAAAAAAATCGATCGTCGTTGCTATTCGAGTAAAAATAAAGTGGAGGAAATATCGTGAAATCGATTCGACGAACACGAACGAAGCAAATTGCATTAGTGAAACGCATCAGCTGATTGAAATCGTCAAGAGAGCAGCCTCGGCTGAGAGGATTTGAGTGATATCGTCGGAAAATAAGAGGATCTTTCGTATCGAGAAACGATCTCGTCTGATCGATTTGATATACCCGAGTCAAAATTTTAGAACGAAAGGGGAGAGGAGCTATTCTTCCGGTTACGTCGTATATTGGCCCAAGGAATATTCACTGAGAGGATCGATAAAGAAGAGGAAGGCCCAGTTGAGTGAAAGATAGGAACGCTGGCGGGCGGATTGACCTAAAGGGATCCATTGTTACGAAGGATCTTCTATGCGGCAAGAATCCAAAAACGGTCTGAAGATCAGGCCACCGGGTGACCATCATCACGGTGTGCATCATCACGGTGGGGTCATGCTTGAAGAAGACATGGCTGGCGCTCAGGATACGATATACCTGTGCAACTTCCGCGTGTCGGTGGACGGCGAGTGGCTGTGTCTGAAAGAGCTTCAGGATGTCGAGTTCTCGTTGCAGGACTCGATGCAGCGGTCGCCATCGCCGCCGCTCGCTCTCAGTGGTATTAACCATCATCATCATCATCATAATCACCATCGTCAGCAACAGCTTCCCGATCAGCGAGAGCTTCGCGATATAATGCCGCCAAGCCCACCGCCATTGCAGCACGTTTCCAGCTTGTGTCTGTACTCGATGTTCTTGCACTACTCGCTTCATTTCTGTCTTCTTTCGTTCGTTCGTATATACAACATAGGCACAACATTTGGAAACCGCGTTGGAAATTTGTGCACCAATCGACTTTGCTGATTCGAATTCAGATTCATTGTACTACTTTGTGTCGTATTGACGATTTAGTTGGACGAGTTCAAGTTTCCAAGCTTTGGTTGTTCTTTTCCGTCTTCTTTTTTTTTTCTTTTCTTCCTTTTCGTTAGGTTTATGGAATTAGTCCATCGTCGAGGAAATTTATTCTGGCTTGTTTGATTACTTTTGCGTCGGTGAAAAAAGATTAATGAGTATCGTGTCGTTTCGTGAGCGGAGGATAAAAAGAAAATTTGGGACGAGAATTGATTTTTCATGTTTGGGACTACGAAACTAATGATTTGGGTTGGAGAAAGTTAACAAAGTGAACAACTTTTTATAAATTTAGAACAAAGAGTAGATGGGAAAATTCTCGACTGTACTCTTTTATTCTGGTTAATGTCGTCTTTACTGCATACGATTGAGTAAATTGAAATTACATATTTTAAAGTTTTAGTTTACTTTTAAATTTTAATATGGAATGATCCGATAAAAGTTATAACAAAATTACCGAGAACTTTAGGTTTTATTATAACGAACTGTAACTTTTACATCTTATATTTCTTTCTAAATTTTACCGCGAGATCTGTGAATTTCAAAAAAGCTAGAATTCGTTTCCTTGGGAATTTTTGATTTAAACAATCTTTTCTACCTTCTGTCCTTTTGTACATTTCTCAGAATCGCGTATCGTTTAAGTCTTTTTTCCTCGGTAGAACATAATTTAATTAGCATAATATTTTGTTTGTTAATAATTTTACGTTGCGCTTTGCCGATACTCGCATTCATACCATCATCATCACGCTTTCGGGGAGAATTCCATATTTATTTTATAATTTTTCGACAATACGAGAACATACGAAACGAAACCTGCGGGTTCAAACTGATCTTTCCCCTAATTCCAACTGGAACGAGGAACTGTTGTTTTTACAGCACGTGATCCGGTCATCATCGAGAGGAGTAATCTCGTGAATATTTCGAAATTAATCGTGAAGGAGCTGATCGAAACGTCTTTGAAGTATGGTCGAATGCTCGACTCCGATCATATGCCGTTGCAACACTTTTTCATCGTTCTCGAACACGTGCTCAGACACGGTTTGCGACCGAAGAAGGTAAAGAACACCTTCGTCATAACACTGAACACTGACTTACAAATGAAGAGAAAAGCAAATGGCGCTAATTGCCTTCGATTTCAGGGTCTACTCGGACCCAAGAAGGAGCTTTGGGATATACTTCAGCTCGTTGAAAAATATTGTTCAGAAGCACAGGACATTACGTCTAGTATTCGTGATCTACCCACTGTTAGGTATATATAACTCCGTTTCTGTTTTTACCCATTTTTTCTCGCGTGTGCGCACGTGATTCATAGCAATTGCACAGAATCATAGAATTTTTTATTGCAAATTTTGATGACAGAAATTTTCAACTTTTATTACAAGTACCGATTATACATCTAACATAAAATAGAAGATAAAAGGTAGTAAATTGTAGTTTTGCTTTCTGCGATATTAATTTCTATACACACTTCGGTAGAATATTCGTTAAAATAAATTATCGCCGATCACAGAAAATTTATCAATTTAATTACATCTTGGTTTACTTCAACGAAAGGTATTAACTCTCTCTCAAAATCAATCCAAATTAAGAGATCTCTAACGTCATCTCCTCTCAGATTAAAAATATCTTCATCTTTCTCTACACAAGAGATCTCGATAAATCTAATATCTTGTTTAACATACTCAGCAACGTACACGTATCTCAAGAGAGAAATTAACTCAGCTTTGTTAGATCGCTTCTTTGGCGATATCCGCTTGATATACCCCCGTCTGTCGACCGGGGCTGACCTTTTCAGGACCGCGATGGGTAGAGCGCGAGCATGGCTGCGTATGGCGTTAATGCAGAAAAAGCTGGCAGACTACTTGAAAGTTTTAATCGATCACAAGGAGGATATATTGTCCGAGTATTTCGAGCCGGACGCTCTGATGATGAGCGAGGAAGCAATCGTTATAATGGGCTTGTTGGTGGGCTTGAACGTCATCGACTGCAACTTCTGCGTAAAGGTCAGTTACGCGCGTGTGTGCGCGTGTGTTTTTCCACGCCGGGTTCAGAAGTTTCGCTAACCAGGTTAACACCGAAAACTGTAAAAAAAAAAAAAAAAAAAAACTGTCGTAACAGGAAGAGGACCTCGATTGTCAACAAGGGGTGATCGATTTCTCGTTGTATCTGCGAAACAGCAATCACATACCCGGGGAATCGCCGGATGACGAGCTTGAAAACGACAACATGACCACGGTCCTCGACCAGAAGAACTACATCGAGGAATTGAACCGACACTTGAAGTAATCTTTCCATATTCGTGCTTTCGTGTTTCGCTACCGATTCCCTACCGATTCGAACGAACAGAGTAGATTGAGAAGGTGTGCTTCTACGTCGATTTCAGCGCAACGGTGACTAATCTACAAACGAAAGTGGAATCCCTGACAACGACGAACGCTCTTATGAAGGAGGACCTCTCTATTGCTCAAAATCACATACTGTCGCTTTACGAGGAGAACAGACAATTGAAGAAAGAGTTGGGAATCGAGGTCAAAGACACGAACGAGGTACGAGGGTTTTGATGTCTAAGCGGTTCATTTTTTATTTTTTTTTTTTTATTTTTTTTTCGTTGATTCGTCGCTCGTCAAAACGGGGGTGGGTGATTTCTCTGGTTTCAGAACGGGAAACCACCGATCAAAATCACCGAAACGACGACAGAAATCGAGGAGTTGAGAAGTAGGTTAGAGGCCGAGAAGAAAATGCGGAAGGACGTAGAGAAGGAATTGGAATTACAGGTGGATGACGATTCTATCTCGTAATACCTTTTGTATCTCTTTTACTCTTTTTCGTTTCCTCAGGTCTTGAGCGTTTGATATACGGTTGAAATACGAATTAGAACGTTAGAGAAATCGAGAACGGGAGAAATGACTGACTAATTTTTTGTGAGCAGATTAGTATGAAGTCGGAAATGGAAGTGGCTATGAAGCTGTTGGAGAAAGATATTCACGAGAAACAAGATACGATCATATCATTGCGACGACAGCTCGATGAAATCAAGTTAATTAACTTGGAAATGTATAAAAAGCTACAGGTGATCAATTGTATTCCTTTTCACGCGTTAATCGCGACGCAGGACGCTTTACAAGTCCGAGTAACATATTATATCATAATTTTACTCCCAAGTTCTTTGCAACATTTGCTACATTCGTGTAAATTTTTGTTTAGTTATAAGTAAACCGTGGATTTTTATGAATATATAAATTGCATAGAATTCATATGATAAAATATCCAAAGTTGTCGATCAATAATATTTTTCATACGTCTCAACGAAAAAATTCAATTCTTTTTTTAAAAAAAAATGTGAATTTGCAAATTGTGAAAAATCAAAAACCGGGAATCTAACTTCAAAAAACTTCCTCGACACTTAAAAATCACGAGGCAAATCCTTGTCGCGATTATCGTCACGTTTTAAATATTGACATATGTGTTTCTCTCATCGCACGCATTTGCGCTGTGTTTCTTTTCTTTTCTTTTCTTTTCTTTTCTTTTCTTTTTTTTTCTTTTCTTTTCTTTTCTTTTCTTTTTTTCTTCGTCTCCGCTTTAATCCCATCAGCTTTTCAGATTTTTGAGCCTAGACTTTGATCCCACACTCACAGACAGTTTCTAAGTTACTCGTTTGCCACGCTGGGGGAAATACGGGTTTTTACTTTCGATTATTCTCTTGTTTCTGGGACTATTTCCATTATAGGAATGTGAGCACGAACTAACGCAGAAAGGCGAAATGGTGAGCCGGCTGCACGCGAAGACCAATCAGATCGGCAAGATCCTGAATAATCTCGAGAAGTGCAACCACATGAAAAAGGACGGCGATAGTATTCGTAGCCCGACAACGCCGAGCAGTGTCTCGAAATCGATTCTAAATAAGACCAGTCCCACGTCGCCGCGATGTTACTCGTCCGTAGACAATGTACACGCGGCTGACTATCAGCACTCTTCTAACAATCAGCACCAATCGGCTAACAATCATCAGAAATCGTCTAACAACCAGCAAACTAACAATCAACAACACTCTGATAACGTTCAGCAACAATCTTTGATTAAGCAGCCAGATTCTCCGAATAATAACAGGGAGACGAGGGTTGACGAGAAAGTAAACGGCGCTAACGGCAAGGGGACTGCAAAGCCTGATAACGTAGAGCAGAGTAAAGCGAACGGTGAGGTCTCCATGGAGGCGAAGGAGCAATCGGCTGCATAAGAGAACACCAGTCTTTGGAGAATGGTTTTTATATTACACGTGCATCCTCACCTAGGGCGTATGAACGATGGCTGATCCTTTATACGAACGTGTTCCTGAAATGTCCAATGACATTTTAAACAGTCGTCTATGTATATACGAGTAATAGCGTGTTTAATTGATTAATTATTACCCTGTACATAATTTGCGAAGTATGAGTTTCATCCCGTTTCTTTTTATTCTGGAGTTTCTTCGAGTTTTCAGTGAATTGTTGAACGTGTATAACTGACTACCAATAATCTCACGAATACGATAATTTCTTTAACTCAGATATTTCGTATCTTTCATTTACGAATGAATTTCATTTGTTGTGTCGTATTTATATGGGCAGGGATTAAAACTTTCCAATTTAATTAATTTTAAATTTCCCAGAGATCTGAGAGGTCTTTCATTTCTACTAATAATAAATCAATAATATATATATATATATATCATATTCGCAAGAATTAATCTGGTTAACAAGTTGATAAATTATCCAAGTAAGAAATTTGCATTATTCTGAACTAAGTTTCTATGAAACAGAAGGAGCTTATAATAGGTGTGTCATTTAAGTTAGTAGACGTTAACCGTTAATCGCCTAAAAGCATAACTGTTACGAAAGAATTTACATATATGCATTCGCAGACACTATGGTTGTTATCGAAATAGAATTTAATCACGAGAAATGTTGTTGGATCATTCAGAAGCACTAACTATTATTACACTCAACGTTAAACAAGCTGTATCAAAAGTTATCACGTAGACCTTTCACAGGCCAAGACTTTATACACACTTGGAAACGCGTAGAATATATCAACGAGAATGAAGTATTCGATATATTTAATTAATCTAGCAATTCATGCATCAATAAGCTTTCGAATAGAACGTCTATCGTGGTGTGTTTCGATCGAGATACTCTACGAGATTATTATTAGCTGTGCTTTATTCACGGCATAGTTTACACGCTGTTTCAATGAAATTCCTATTGCGTGCACTATCGAACTATCGAACGACAATAACATTAACACGTGTTTTTCGTATCCAATCGATATCTGTTTTATCGTTCATTAGAACTCTGGTTATTAATTATTATTCTCTGTGTGTAGAGTGTCTCGGATTATTTCATTTCACTTCATCGCGGAAACATTGTATTTCAATGAATATTAATTATCCTGTTACATTGGTATTGATCTTCCTCCCCGTTGAATAATCAATCAGCAAATATTATTATTCGTTTAGATTCTGTCGAAGTTTTGCCCGCGAGATAATACCAATCGACGGATGATTAACGTTCCCCATATCCAACTCGACGACGGAAATACTTAAATTCCACTAATTCACGTTTCAATGGGATTTGAAAATTCACGTTGCATGATTTTTCGACTAATCTCCATTACCATTACAATTGACATTAAGTTAATGACGCCTGAATCTTTTACGTTGCTACAGGATGAGCTTCTTGCAGCCACAGATTGTACGTGTGCATTTCTATCTTTAAGGGTTACGTGCAATTTCAGGACAATTTCCCCTTTAGTTTTAGAGAAACAATCGAAAAAAGAAAAGAAAAAAGAAAAAAAGAAAAAAAGAAAACGGTTCTTTCCGCCTTTCACTCAGACAACGTTTATTTCAGGAGTGCGAAGGCTCGCTTAAGCATAAAACAGAACTGATCACTAAATTGGAGGCTAAGACGCTATCGATGACTGAAACCATCCAGAAAATGGATGAAAAGTACGTTTATTTGTCTTTCATTAGTTGTTAATTACTTTGTAAGCACGACTGACTCATCGGTTCTTAGATTACGATCAATCGCTCTATTGAAGTTGATAACTAACACCCTATCGTGTTATTACATTATACTTCTCGCTTCTCGAATATAATATAATCGCTGCTTCATGCCATTTATTGTAAGAGTTCGTTAAAACGTTCATCGCACGACTATCAAGAGGATCTTCATGCTCACAGAAATTCTGATTTCGTCATATTGCGATGAAATTTTTGCACGATCGAAGTGTCAGACAATTTTCATTTTTAAAATTCGCCGCAAGCTTTCTGTCAGAATCCAATTGATCCTGACTCAAACAGTATATAGTTGAATTATAGATTGTCAATGATATAACAATTTATGCTGGATCACTAGAATTTATGGTATTTGATTTTATTTCGTATTTTACAAATATCTTAACACTAAGTCAGTAGCCCAATAATACCAGTTAGGAAAGTTGTTATAAAGAAACAGCGGATTTTTGCAAAATCTCGATAAGAAAACTAATATTTAACTACGCTTCGAATATTCTATTATATTCCGTAGAATAAACTTTACACTTTTCTCTAAATACGTAAAAGTTCGCAGTCACATTTACGAAATATTGTCTGACAATTTAAATCCAATTCAATGTGAAACTAAGATTATTTATCACAGATCAACCTTTGAAGAATATAAGCAAGGAATTTCTGGAGCATCAAGTTCTTCTTCCAACATCATCGTTCCATCTTCCCATTAACGCTTTTCATTTCGTTCAAATCGTTTCACGTACACTCCCTCGTGGAAGGAACGCTATGGTAGAACGGCCAGAACGGCAGAATATTACTAATACTATCTTTATATTATCGTTAAACGTTTTAGCATTTTACGTACAAGTACCTAGTCGTTGTGATAAGGGATTTTTCTAATAGCTCGTGGTTTGCTCGACGCGATATTATCGTGGCCGACGACATCGAGAAACGATACGCGGCACGACGGCTGTAGTTAGAGGTGATTTATTTTTTACTTAGGCGTCGCGAACGCGATCTGACTTAGGATAGATTAGTCGAGACAAAAGAATCTTCATAGATCTACTGATTCGTTAACGGAGATGTTGGCAAACCTTCATTCAACGGCTACTTCGATTTAAGATTATTAAGTCTATATAATATAATATAATATAATATAATATAATATAACATAACATAACGTAATCTAATATAACATAACATAATATAAATATTAATGTTATAGCGATAAATTCGTGTTTTAATTAATTAATTGGTAGATTTATACCTCGAGATCGAGTGAACGAATAATCGTTGGATTTTAATCGATCCCCTTTCTCGTACGTGAAATACTTACTCAAGCTTTTCTGTAATTTACGTCAATTCTTCTATTTGATTGGCGGTCAATTAGAATTATGAATTACGATATAAAGGATATCTCAGTGTTTCAGCAACTGACTTGCGATCATTTTTATCGTGGCTGATTCTTTCTCTTCTCTTCCGCCCCCCCCTTTTTTGTTTGCTTTTCACGTTAGATCCACTTGTTTCTTACGACTTATCATACACATATATATACATACACATACTTATACATATTCTTGGTCGTTTTATATATACAGACACACGCATATATACACATCGTTTCGTGTCGTTCACGTTCACCGGGAGAGACTTACGAAACAAACGTGCCATATATGATATATCTTTATATGAATATAATTATGTATAAGCATCGAGCAATGGTCTTTATAACGCACCGAGACACTTGTGTGCTTGTATATCAATGCAGCGGAAATAAATTCATGACAGAAGATAGTTTGCATTTAATTACCCTGAGATCATCATCGTTTAGACGTAAGATGAGACTTTTCGTTTGAACAATAATGTTCACAGCATTTTGTAATTGAAAGAAACAAAACTATGTCTCTCGAATTCTCTTTCATTTCGTCATTTTCCTTTTCACGAAGGTCTCGAAAGTTTTTTCAAGTTTCTCTTTAGTTTCAAGTATTAACCAGAAGCGCAGACGCTTATTAAAATTTGATTTTAGCGACCTCTTTGACTCTTCCAATTCTAATTAATCGTGAAAGCTGGTTCTATTCAATTTCTGAAGATTTTAAACATTTAAGATCTTAGATTGAAAGATCTTTATATTAAAGGTTCAATTTACATCAAAAAGACACCCAAAATGTGTTGAAAGAACCACACGTCTATGGCGCGTATCTTAGATCGCAAAGATCGAAATAATCTTCACGATTGATTAGAGTTTTCCGTGGAAATCACGAATTCCCGACACGAGGCGCAAGGTAAGTTGAGTTTTTGCCACGTTTTTGTTGGAGATTGGATTACGAACTCCGGGGGAAAAACAGACGAGTACAGAGATCCAACATTTTGCTGAAATTCGCTGGGGATTATAGTATAAAGCCATTAAAAAAACATCCTGCCTGTTTCTTCGGCCGGATAACGATATTCGGCCATGAATAATCATGGAAGAAAGTTCTGCACCGGAGATCTCTGACTAACTAAGTTACAGATCCTTGCCTTTTGTAACTTCCTTTTGTCGAGCAGCTTAGTATTTCTGTAAACTCGGTCAGCCAGATCTGCGTAACGCTTGGCTCCTCGAGCGAATTTTGTTTAAACGAACAGAGCCGTATCGGTTGTTATAATAATTTATTCATCGCTCGAAATAATTTTCTCGAAATAACGTCGACAAATAACTGCGGAAGTTTCGCCTCCTCGTTTCGTCGCTTGAATCGTTGCTTCGTTACGATTTAATTAGGTTGCTTGAATCGTGTCCCCGTTAAATGATCGCAAGACAGTTACATAAATAGATTGCGAACTTAAATAATTAAAAGAATAAAAAAAAAAAAAAGAAAATTGTGAACATCAGCTCGTTCGCCGAAAATTCGGGGATAAGTGACAATGGTCGTTCAAATTTCAATCTTAATTGCAATATCATGACTCATTTTTTTCATTAGCTTCATAATATGTAGTAGATCATTAGCTTCGTACTATGTAGTAGATCATTTCATAAATGAATTCTCAAGTAGATTATTTTATAAATTTTTGATTGTGGTATATGACAAATTATTTCCTGATTTATCAAATTTTTTTACTGTCCTTTTATTTATGAAATGGCCTAATAGAATTCACTCTTTTTAAACATCGCATGTCAAATTCAACTATTCAACTCGCTTGTCTCTCAAATGCCAATTTCTCCATTTTTTCTAATTCAATTTCTTGCCAATTGTACCCTATTTTCTCGAGTACCACCAAAAATTAAAATCACATGATTTTTTTTCTGTAAAAACTTCAATCGTTGCACGTAGAATATTTTCACACGTCTATCACAGTCTCCTTTTTTATCTTGGTTTCAATTATTTATCGTTAAGATAAACTCGACAGCTCAAAGATAAACTCGACATTGCACTCTCTTAAATATCAATTATTCCCACTTTTCCAGGATTTCAAATTCCAAGTTACCTCTTAATTTTCTATTAAAAATTGAAAATTCACTCTAAAATTTTTCCTCATTAAAACTTCAGTCGTCGTCCATGGAATAGTTTCACGTTTCTCGATTGTTTCAGAAATTCAACGTGACAAAGAGAGAGAGAGAGAGAAAGAGAGAAAGAGAGAGAGAGAGAGAGAGAGAACGTGTGTACATGTGTGCGTGTGTGTGAGTGAGTGAGAGAGAAGAGGTAGAGCATAGTATTGTATTCGACGCTTTGAGTACCAGCGATTTGACTTAATCAGGTGCAAGGAAATGGACGACGTGAGATCAGGAGCGGTGGAGAGGGTGAGGATTTTGGGAGCCGAGGCTGCCGAGAGAGAAGCAAGGGCGAACGGGGTCGAGAGGGAATTGCGACTCGAACGCGAATGGAGAACCTCCTTGCAGGAAGCATCGATCTCTAACACGGAGAAGATCTCTCAATTACATCAGGAGATCGATCAGCTGAGGCGGGTGTCCGAGGTACGTTGTACACCGGCCTAAACTTCACCAGCTTCCAAACACCGTGACCAAATTTTGATTGGAAAGAAATCATCGGAAGAATCAGAATTTTTCTTTCCTTTCGTTTCCTTTCACTGTGACGTCGAAAGACAGTAATAACAACAATTTGTTCGATATCACTATTAATTGCATCAATTAAAATAAATTTTTAATGTTTCGTTGCGTTTGGTATATCGTGAAGTTGTACTCTTCATTTTTACAATATAGAACGTCAACATCAGACACGATAGAAGAAAGGAAAACACAACTGCAATCAATTCCTTTGAGCCACAAAAGAATATTTATCGCCTCGATGCTATCATCATAATTTCTCATTGAATTCGGTCATCAAATATCCCCATATTCTGCCCGGAGCAAGAAACACCCGACACAATCACCCGAATCGAATCCCCATAGTTTCAATCAGTCATTGGTTCCTTCCCACAATACCGCATTACCTCGCTACCTTCGTTCCTCGCAACCCCAAAACACTTCGCCTTTCCCGATCGATTTTTCAAGCAACCACTTCCACCCCCTCCCACTCCCACTCTTCATCAATCTTCCAGAACTTCGACTCACGGCGGAATCGAATCTCCTCGCTAATAGTCGACGCAGCGCGACTTCGCAATCGGCCTCTCCTAACAACCGATAACCCGTTTGGGGACAGGGGAAACAGATGGGGAACCCTTCGTCTGCGACAAAGTTTGCTGGCGTCGAAGAAGGGAGTGGGAGGGGGAGGGGGGGGGCTCTAGTGTAATTCCCTTGGCCATGTGTTGCAGAAATACCTGGCGCTGCAGGAGGAGCATTACGCGCTGAAGGAGATCTGCAACGAGCAGGAACGAACTCTGGAGGAACTTGGCGGACAATTGAGCGCGGCGAAATTGGCGGCGGTGGAATTACGCGAGGCCGCTGACAACGCTCAACACCAGCATCACCAGCAGAGCCAGCAGCAGCAGTGGCAGCAGCAGCAGCAGCAGCAGCAGCAGCAGCAGGAGGGTGCAGCGACCTGGGCGAACGATCGGCTGGTCACCCAGTGCAAGAGCTGCAACCGAGAGTTCAACATCACTCGTCGCAAGGTAATCAAACTTTTTAATTGCTCGTACGCCTTCCACCTTCCTGTTCGAGGATCCTCTGCTCTCTTTTCGTTTCTGCCTGCTCAGTCGTCGCCGTCGCCGTCGTCGTCGCCGTCGCCGTCGTCGTCGTCGTCGTCGTCGTTGTCGTTGTCTTTGTCGACGTTCGACGCGCAGGGATTGCTCTACTGAAAGGCCGAGCCCTGAGTTCGCTTAATCGTTCAATTATCCTTGCCACCCTGAAAATTACCGGGTCCAACCGGCTCCAGATTTCTCCATAGTTCCATAGCTATGCACGTGTCCCGATCGTTATGCATGCCGACACGTTTTCGAAATGAAATTAACGTTGTATATGCGAGATCTCTGCGGTGATCAGCGTAATCTGAGAGGCAATTTCGTGAACGGAACTTTTCTCGATCGTTCGCTTGAATCAGAAATAACCACGGCGAATAAGCTTGCTTTTGCTCTAGATACACATAGAAATCCAAATTATTTTAAAGATTATTCTTATGAATATAAATATAACAATCAACAGAAATGTCCACGAAAAGATAGATTACCGTAAATCATCATTTTGCACATAAACTGTCTTTTCCACGTAAACGCGTTTCGAATTTTTGAGAAATGTTTCCAAATATTGCTACGTATTTTTTCCACCACTTCCCGTTACTAATTGTCATTGAGTCTTTTAATAGATCTCACTAATCTTTCAACAGCTAACTTCGTAATTTCTTGAATATTATCTCGCATTTTTCAAATTCTTTCTACCGTCTCTGTATAAAAGCAAATACGTACAAAGCAACGTCACGTGTCGTACGTGTCGAGAGCTTTTATTTCTAGCCACGATCTCCTCCTCTCGACCTTTAACTCGTGCAGCCGCCTCGAAGATGCGAATCGCGTGCACCAGCCAAGGGAGAACTTTGATGCATGACAGTTCTGTTATTAGAGATAACACGGTGTATCGGGCTGTGTTACGGCTTGCAATTACAACCGGTCTTCCTCTCCCCCTCCCCTCGATTCCTCGTTTGTTGGTAGTCCGTGCCCAGTCCTTCCTTCCTTCCTGCCTTCCACGACCCACGGATAATTGAAGAGATTTCGCGGTGGATTTTTGATTAGATTCTATCTGCGTCGAGCCGCTGGTGTACAGATGCTTGAAGATTTGAATTTAGAAAACGCGGGTCATTTAGATTTTAATAGACTCTGTGCCCAATAGGGTTCAGGGATTACGTGAACTTTTTTTTTTAATCTCAATTTTTTTCTACTAAACGACTATTTGATAAAACGTAAAAGCGGTCATTTTATTCTGATGGAACATTAGGTACATATTTGGGCTTTTAGGTTAGGTTCAGGTTTTTAGAGATTTTGGCTGTTTTTTTTTTTTTTTTTTTTTTTAATGTTAGACCAGTCTAATGATACTAGAGCCAAAAACGACCAATTTCGGTAATTTTTAATTACTTTGGAAGTTCTTCGGGTTTAAATTTTGTAAAATATATAGACAGAGACTTCTCCTTTTATTATATATTTTCATTTCATACCTTGTTTGATTCCATCTGTTTACCTCAGCCATCGATAGTTTGATAGTTAAATATTAGCTGAAACTTTGAAAAGTTGATTGTGAGTTCTGATGCCCTGTGATTGGAGGCTCTGTCCCTGAAATAAAAGCTTTTTCATCTTTGATGAAATGCTGAAAGATATCTGTGATCGAAATTAGTTTTATATATTTTTGTGCATTGACACAGTTTTGTGCAGCTGCACT